TTAGCAGAGATGAGAGATTGAAAATGCAATCCTTTGGCTTATGTAGATGATTTGCCTGCTATATTTACGAACAGTTTCATTTGGGGAACTTCCCTTTAATTTTTTTTGAACATGATAAGATTACAACCTGATGTTAACATTAAAATAAATGTGCAAAACATTAGAATCTTTAAAGATTTGCTTAATTTATTGTGTTGGGAGGAGTTATAATAAGACAGCAGACAAAATAATTGATTGTTGTGGAGTGGCTGCTGAGACTGAGGAAGCAATCTCTAGAGAAATTGAATGTACAATTGATATTTTAGCTTAGCATCTGAATAGAGAGAGCAAGAAACCAAAAAGTTTTGTTACATCAGTTATTTTATGCCTTTACTTTTGATTGAATTACAGTCAGTTATAGGACAGAAGTTGGGAAGACTGTTGCTTTGAACCAACATTTCTATTTTGTCTTCCCAATGCCGTGGTATTTCCTGAAGCAGTCAGTGAGTTAGTCCAGCAAGTAGCTGAATAATGTGAACCAGGTTTTGTTTTTTAAAAAAAGGGTCTGACAAATGCATCTCTGCAACTTTAATTCGATGATGAGTTAAAGTGATGACTATTAATTAATACACAGTTGTTCTTATTTCAGTTCAATGAGCTGCTATTTAGTGTTTGGAAAAGCTCAGCAAGTCTGGCAGCATCTTTGAAGAGAAATCAGAATTAATGTTTCGGGTCTGGTGACCCTTCCTCAGTCACTGAACCTGAAACATTAACTCTCTGATTTCTCTTCGCAGATGTTACCAGACCTGCTGAGATTTTTCAGCAACTTTTGTTTTTTGATTCTTGTCTCTGATTTACAGCATCCACAGTTCTTTTGGTTGCTATTTAGTATTTCCTTGGCTCCCAGAATTTTCAAGGAAGTTGGGAGTAATGTGCTATTTGGATATTGTGCTTGAAAATGGTTTATATCGCACCTGGAGTAAAGTTCAAGCAATAAGAAATGGACCACATCCTCAATATTTTTGAGCTCGAATCTTTCTTGATTGAATGAATTATTACAGTAAATTCATACCAAATTTGGCAATCTTGTAGTATCCATTGAACAAACTTTTGAGGAAGGGTGTTGGAAGGGTATTGTGTGGTTTTGGGCAAAGGATGTGACAAAGCATTAAAGCTGTATGAAAGTAATTTGGAAGATGACACAATGCTTGTACATTGTGTCCAAAAAGGTTAAGGTAGCTCTCCATATGGAGTAAGTGCCAATGAACAAAATTATGCTCAGGTAGAAATAGTCCTTGAATTTTGGAGGAAGAAGATTATATAAATTACTGTACGGCTGTAACCTCAGAATTGAAACTGATCATAAGCCACCGATGGCTATTTTGAATCCCAGATGCAGTGATGAGCTTTGACTTTAACTGCTAATAAATATGACATTAAAAACAGACATTTAATGTCAATGCACTGTCTTCTAGATTACATCCCCATCAAATGAAGCTGTTAATAGGGAGGATGTGTTTTTCTTTTCACATGTGAGCTGCCAGTTACTGCAGATGATAAGGGTGGAAAACTTTGAGGGAATTTCATGCCAAGGGTAAATGACGATATCCATGGATATGGAATTTAGAAGGCAGGCCATTTTTTAACCTTACGAATGAGTTGTCAGTTGATAAATGTTTTGTTTTGTCAGGAGCTAGAATTGTAATTCTGGAAAGCTACAGATCACAGTTCTTATGATCATGGTCTAAACTTAAGAATGAGTTTGACAAATAGTCTAGCAAAAAGCTACCTTTATGGCCAAAGTTAATTAAGGACATAGAGAACCATGAAACAGTGTAGAGTTTGTCAAACTATAGAAAAGTAGCTGCTGGAACCATGGAAACGGCCCGTGAGAGTGTGACAGAGCCTGCACATTGATTTTGCAGAATTTGAAGGGCAATGGATTTTCATTGTGATAGGAGTGAATTGATGATTTTCTGATGAATTGAACAACTATTAGCAAAACTTTAGAGATTTTGCATAGTGTGATTGTGCTTGTAGGTTATGCCTGAAAATGAGCCTCCATTTTGTTCAGAACAGCTTTCAAATGTCATGATAATGAATGAGGTAAAACAAACGTAAGTTCACTGTATTATCGTGCTTTGAATAGAGCTGCAGAGCCCACAGTACAATTTTAACTAAATGCTGGATACAAGCTGGAAGAAATGTCAGATGTCATAGTGATTTTTTCTTTGATTTTTGTAACATACATCTTACTGGTACTGATAAAACAAAACTGAATTGTTTCTTTCGAAACAGCTTGGAACAAGGTTTTCATTGCTGAAGCCACATTTTAGCACACTTAGTAAATGTAAAACAATCCAAATGGGAAAACAGTCATGATAGAGGTAGAGTGAGAGAAAGAAATCTGAAGGATACGGTGAAAGAACATCATATATGGTTGATGAGGCTGTTAGGGAAAGTCATAAAAATATGATCCTCACACATATTTAGTCAAGATGTAAGATGTTCAGTAATGAATTGTTAGGACTGTACATGTTTTACCTACAGAGGTTAATGAAGGAGGAGGGAGCTGGGAAGAATCAAATGAGTTTGATGCATTGAATAGTTGTGTTGGAGCTTACTCCAACACAAGTTGTGCTTTAAATCAATCCAGATCCAGTTCAGAGTCAGACAGGCTGATCTGATGAAATGGAAAATTCAGTTGAAGGTCAAGGGCAAAATCAGTCCCTGTTAGGGTCTCAGTCTCTGGCTAAGACAAGTCAAGGCCTTTCCCCAGGTTCTGAATGCTTGAGTCCAGAAAAAAAGGTATTTTAGGAATGGGAAACCAGTGATAAAGTTAAATTTATAATTATATGGAAAACAAGATATGCATACAAGTCTTATAGAATTTTGAACATTGTGTAAGATTGTCATTAAGGAGGGAGGAGTGTACTAACATCCTCTCTGATCTATTTATATACACATAATATGCACACATAGATGAATAAAGTTCAGTGATGTACATAATTTGTGCCAAAAATACACAATTGGATGTCAGGTGAGGGCAGAATTCTGCACAGCTTTAGTTTCCCTCTCCTGTTTTCCTTCTGGTAAAATAGCCCACTGATCCAAAGTCAAGCTCACAAATAAATAATGTTTTCTGGGTGAGGAACTGCCAAGAAACTAGAACAGTTCTTTGAAAAAAAAATCAATTCCTGTGATCTTGTTGGGATAGGGAGAAATTGGTGCAAAGAAAAATTGAGCCTTACTGTATTGAGTTGGTAAATTTTATTTTTGAACTTTTCTTTCCCCTTTTCACATTTGTGTCTTTTAAATTTATGTCTTTTTTTTAAAAATGTAAGCTGATGTTGCAGTCACTCGGAGCCAGATTTGTACTTCACGGAAACAGACCCTTCGATTCAACTCGGCCATGCCGACCAGATATCCTAAACATATCTAGTCCCATTTTTTAGCATTTGGCCCAAATCCCTTTAAACCCTTCTAATTCGTATACCCATCTAGATGCCTTTTAAATGTTGTAATTTGTACCAGCTTCCATCACTTTTTCTGGCAGCTCATTCCTTACATACACTACCCTCTGCGTGAATGAGTTGCCCCTTAGTTTCCTTTTATATCTTTCCCCTTTCACCTTAAACTACGCCCTATAGTTTTGGACTCCTCTACCCTGTGAAAAAGACCTTGGCTCTTCACCCTTTCCATGCCTCTCATCATTTTATAAACCTCTAAAAAGTCACCCTCAGCCTCTGATATGCCAGGAAAAATAGCCTCAAACCTGTTCATCCTCTGCGTATAGGTCATACCCTCCAAACCTGGCAACATCTTTATAAACCTCTTCTGCACTCTTTCAAGTTTAACAACATTGTTCCTATATGAGTTGAATGTCATTATTTTCCATATTACTACTTTCACCAAGTTAAACTTGAGCAATGTTCCTGATTCAATATTAGTTCCCCTGGGATGTCCAGCAGCATGCAAACTTCTGGGGCTAAAGATATAACATTTCACTGAATTAAATCAAAACAGTCTAAGTTTGACGATTGTGCTGATATCTGGTCTTCATTTTGGATGGAAAATCCTTGGACATTTAAATGGATGTTAGGTGTGTTTATTACTTAAACACCCATCTGGCGAAGAAAGAAACCGGAGACGATCTGTTTTCCACTTGGGTTCCTTCTCAATATGCCGTATGGCATAAGTACACACCATGTTTCCTTTCCAAAGACGAGCCCTTTTCAGGCAGAAATTGATTCTTCTATGTTTGCCCTAACTGTTTCCCGATTAATATCAGCCACTCAATCACAATTAGAACACGTGCATACATATAGTCAATTGACACTAAAATGTCAAATATTTATGCATTTGCAACATTAGCAGGGGGAGTGTAGGGTCAGTCTCATTTGTAAAATTCATTACTCATTAACAAATTACATACTAACACGTACTCTGCAAAGCAAAATGGCCCCTGAATGGAGTATTACTGCTTTTGCCAGTGGAACTAGCAGGAGATGAGGGGAAAAGGAGAGAAATCAGTGAAAACAGGTCTGTCCATTTCAACAGGTATGTTATTAGTGGTTCCTGGAACAATTTACTAACAAGTATTAAAGTAGTGAAAATAACCATTAAAATATGTTTTGCATAAATATTTGACATTTTAGTGGCAATTCAAAATTCTGAAAAATATATATGGTAACATTCTTGACCTAGCAGGAAATAAGCCAATGGTTTCAATATAATATTGAAATTGAGTGAAGAGTAGACGGAATTAGTCTTGCATGTCTTGGTTTAACATTTTTTAGTGACCTTAAAAGTGATCTAATATCAAGAGACTTCTCCTTGATATATTTGATTGATGTTGAAATTCTGTCATTTTAAAAAAAAATGACTAAATCCAGTGAGCAGTTTTATAATTCTAACTAGTATATGATTTTTTTCAATGTTAATCAGCAGTGGTGTAAAGTTACCTTTTTGAAGAAATTTTTCTTGCAATTAAAAACATGAAGCTTTAATTTTTTTTTAAGCGTCCGTTCAGAGAGTCCAACAAACAGTGCAAAACCAGAGTCTTTTACAAGTCAACTGGATGAAACATTGGAATTATCTTCCCAAAAAGAGGAATGGGACTCTAGGCCTGGTAAGTTGAACATGTAACTTGCAAGCTTATATTCAGGATAAAATTGTCTTGCACTGGCTTCCCGCAATTCCTGATATTTAGTTTAATTGAAGTCAGTTAGAATAGAGATCCTGGTGTACAAGTGCATGCGTGTGACTCTTCAAGCCATGTGTTCCAAATAATGTTGCAAACATAGGGCGAATGCATGCTTTCATGTTATTGATCCTATACATTGTGGAGATATCAGTCATTTGGCGTATAATGTATAACTTGATTATATTGTTCATTTTACACTGCCATCAAGATAAATTTTTAATTTTGATTTTAATCCTCTAGCACTTGCATCAAATCCAAGCTGTAATTGGGAAAATAGCTTAGTAAGAAAGTGTAAGCCTGATATACAAAATTAATTGAGATGATTGTGAGCTGCTAGCTGCTGGAGCTCTAGTTGAGAAATGGATGATGTGGAAGAATTTCCAGTTCACTCAATAGCCAATTTTATATTGTGAACATGATCAATTACTTAGGGAGGTTAACTTATTAGTTAATTTTTTAAAGGCAGCTTTAACATTTTGACCAATACCTCCACAATGTGTGTTTGTTCTATGTTTGCAAGATTGCTCGGAACACATGGCTCAAAACAGTCATATTAAGGGTAGCTCAGTGAATTGGTATGAATGTAAACAGAACAGGAGGTTCCCAGATAAATCTTTAGTCTGGACTGTGCTAGTCCAGCTAAAGTTGGAGTAGGAACTACAATTAGTTTCAGCAGCTTTGGTTAGGAAGGGGAAGATGCTTGTGATCATTTATCCAATGACACCTGCAGGAAGTAACTTGTGCTTGAACATTTGGTAAGAATGGTTTTAACTACAGTGCCAATCCACTTGGGTGGCCTCCACATGGATGATGGTGATTTGAGTGAGATGCTAGACACAACATCATGAATCCCTACTGCGAACATAAAAAGAACATGAGGTTGTAGACTTGCTTGCCGAGCCGGTGGGTTTGGTTGCGAACGTTTCATCAACCTGTTAGGTAACATTGTCAGTGCACCACCGGTGAAGCGTTGGTGTTCTGTCCTGCTTGTTATTTATATGCCTCAGTTTGTTGGGGTGTTTGGTACCACTTCGTGGTTCTGTTTCTCAGTGGTTTGTACACAGGGTCTAATTCAATGTGTTTGTTGTTAAAGTTCCAGTTAGAATACCAGGCCTTCAGGAATTCCCTGGCGTGTCTCTGTTTGGCTTGTGTGGTTATGGATGTGTTGCCCCAGTCGAATTTGTGACTCTCTTTGTCTGTGTGTAGCGAGATAGTAAGCATTGAAGAACAAGTCACCTGTGGTGGATGAAGAAAAGAATGAACTTCTGTTTATATAATGCCTTAGAACCTCAGAAGGTTCTAAAATATTTCATACTTAATGAATTCTTGCCATTGGCATGATAAAAATATAGCAGTCATTGTGTACAGAGCAAGGTCCCACAAAAACAGCAATGAGATAAATGACTAATTAAACTGGTTTATTGGTGTTGATTGAGGGATCAATAAAAAACTAAAAATAATTTATTTGAATAATATTGAAATTTCAACTTTCTTTCAGCAAGGCAGCGTTTGTGACACTTATGCAAATGTTTTAAAAGTGCTTTTCTTTGAAGAAAGCTGGCCACTGTTGCAGTATTACAAACACAAAACACATGGATTAAGTTAAACATTGACTGCCTGTATATATCTATTATCAGCTGCACTTATTTATGGATACCTGATCCATTTCAGTTCACGAGCTAGTGCAAATCCTCAATCTAAAATGGCTCTGACAAAGTCTGTATTTTATCTGGTAACTTCTTGTATTATGGTAAGCCCCCTAGAGGGTCAAGTAGAAATTACTCAATGTCTGGATCTTAATTTGAAAAGAACAGGAGCGTAAACTTAGCGAAAAGTATTGTAGAAAAATCACTACCCTTTAAAATGTTTTTAAATGTACTGAAATTTGAAAATGAGGGGTCATCATTTTGATCACTGAGATTGTGATATAAATATGTTCTATTAAAACATGTCTGTCCAGCAGAAGATACTGTTCAATCTGTATGGATGTCCATGAATTCTGGAAAATCCCAAGTGAATGACAAGCATTGCCTTTGGGAAGATCAATTACTGGATCAACAGGACCAGCTGGGGAAGGAAATGGAAGAAGCCAGAAAGATGATTTCTATCTTACAAGTATGAAGTTTTATTTAGCGACTGTTTTAAATATCTAATTATAACTGATTTGAAATGTTATGTTTTTAAGGGCTAAAAATAGTAATTAAAAATACAGTAAAAGTGTAATCTGGTTCCAGAAGGATACAGGTACAGTATGATCACACAACTTTTATCTGTTTTGGTCTGATCAATATGTGTCTTTAGCCCACCACTGTGGTTGCTCTTCAAAGCACTTCAAAGCAGCAAGCTGCTCAGTTGTCAGACTACCATCATTGCCACGTTCATAAGTCAAATTGGAATAAATAATAAATGTGACCTGGCCAGCTCTACCTAATCCCTAAACATTTTTTTAAAATGCTGTACATTTACAAAAGCAAAATACTGCAGGTCCTGGTGGTCTGAAATAAAACTGGCTGGAAATGTTTGCCATTTTGCATCCCTGATGAGAGAAGTGGGGTTAATGTTTTAAGTTGATGACCTTTAATAAGAATTGTTCTGTTAGTTCTAATGAAGTATCATCAATGTGAGATGAAGAGTTATTGAAACATGTGGCAGCAAACTAATTTTAGGGTCTCCTATATTTCCACACACACACGATGTTACTCTATGCTTGTTGCCACTTCTCCCTACTTCTTTCACGAACTTGCTGTTTGATCCAAGGATAAATGTAGAGGAGGTGGTGGCACAGCTGTTTGTCATAAAAACCCATCTGGTTCACTAATTTTCTTCAGGGAAGCAATCCAGCCTTACCTGGTCTTGCCTACATGTGACCGCATGTCAACAGCAATGTGGATGACTCTTAAGTCCCCTCTGAGCAATTAGGGATGAGCGATAAATGTTAGCGAAGCAAGCAACACCCACATCCCATGAATGAGTAAAAAGAAACAAGGTAAGTATTGGGATAGGGTGGATGGATGGGATATATGGGTGATAGGTATTGTGGCTGGGGGGAAGGGAGGTGGGGTGTAGTGAAAGTGTTTAGTGTAGTTTGAGTGGTTACATGGTTGGGCATTGTGGTGATGTTTAGGGGTGACGGGTGAGTCAGTTCTGGTAAGGTAAAGTTAGTGCAGGAAGAATGTGTCATGTCTGGAAGGGCTGAGATGGGGGAGCGGTTTCCAGTCTGGAAGTGTAGGGGTGTGCAAAATCAGAGACTTTGGAGGAGTAGTTGGATGTTCACTGGGAGTCAGGGTTCAGTTTACTAGTTAACCAGGAGTTAGAGTAGAGTTTTAATCATCTAACTTTTTCTAATTAAAATTCTAATAATTAAGTTTAAGTGAGTTAGAAATTATTGATGTTAAAATGAGGATTCCAGATACCTGATAATTGCCGATCAAAATTTTCAATTTCCTGTGCAATTCATGCAGAGTCAGTTACGTTAGGATTTCCTTTTGTCCTGTCACACAACTGCAGTGTTTGCTGCTGTAGCAACTAGTTGGCCATTGAAATTTCTGAGTTTTGGTTTTCAAGATGGCAATTTTACTGGAACAGTAAGCAATGCTCAGATAAATAACGTGCAAAAATACCTGGCACGCAAAAGTGCTTAATTTTACTGAAATCGAAATATCAATACATCAATCAAATTTGATTTGCAGAAAGGCTTTTATGCAAACTTGAGTCAGTTCTGTTCGATTTTTGAGTGATCTCCACAATAATCTCCTATAGCATGAAAATTGTTCACTTAACTTGCACTACGTTACAAAAAAGTTCATTTAATATTGTTGAGTGCTTCCTAATGTGAACAGATTCTAATTGTGTAACAATTGCTGGAGAAACCTGAATGTCTTGAACATTTTGTTATGCGACACCATGTTTTATAATGCTGATTTTGTTGCCAGGGCCTATTGTTGAACGGTTCACTTCCTGAAGACGAACAGGAGGGATCGTTTCCACTGTGTGAGCAAGGAGCAAGTGCGGAAGAACAACTGGTATGTGCTGTTTTGCAGCTGGTTATACTGTTTGATCTGTCTAGATTTGCTTTTTCACATGTTTGAAGAAAATATTGACAGTAAATTCTTGTATTGCTTAGGTTATCATCAAGAGTCGTCTAGATCTAAGCATGGATGAATGCAAAGAGATGAAGGTACAAAGAAAGGCTACTGTTCATACTCGTTCAAAGTGTTTACACTTGATGTCTCTGTACGTTGTTCTGCTGTTTCTTTTAGCCGAGAAAGTAGAAAGATTTTCAAGTTGTGGTTTGTACCAAGTTGCATTATGAATGTCTGTAGCTGAAAAATTTGAAGTGCTGCTTTTGAGAGCAAGCTGCTGTAACTGGCTTCTGAAATGTGGGCAATAATTTAACCTTCAAGTATAGATGGCTTTGCTTCAGGTGAGAAGCACAATTTCACACACTACTCCACTCACCTAAGTTCAATTTCAACAAAGGGGTGAATGGGATGGTGGCAGGGTTTAGGGTAGAACCTATGACTGATACTGTTTCATACGGCAGATCACATATGAATGGTTTTCTTGATACTACATGCTCCATATATTTTTAACCCATTTTGGCCAGATTCCACAGATTTTGACAAGTTTAATGGAGGCAAGAAGAAATGGAAGTAAGTGCATTTGCTGTGCTGTTGTGGACTGGAAGTAGCAGTGTTTCACCCACCGAAAGGCTTTCTGCTTCCAGCTTTGCAATCACAAATGAACTTCGTATCCCCTCCAAGCTCTTTTCACTTTGTGCTCATCACCCCAGAATCTCCCCTTCCACTTTCAACAAACAGAGCCTCATTCCCCACAAACCCAATCATAATCCTTCCCTCCCTGGCTGTGCTCTTGGGGTCATTTGCAGCCTCATGATGCAGTCTTTCTCTTCTTTTGGAAAGCCAGCCTGTGGATCAGGCTAACTGTCAGGCAGAAAACTTGTGAAATAAATGTCAAACACATCCGTTAATATCTTCCAGATTTCCCCTCTAGAATTCCTCTCATGTTTCAATAGAAACTGCTCACTAACTTGTAAGTCGTTTGATCCCAGCTGGTGGTAATGCTGGACAAGTCCAATCACAGGGTGAGACCTGGCTTGATAAACCATAAGTTTCCTTTTATTTTCTTTACCATGGAATTCAGTTAACAAACAAATCTAAAAGAGTCTGCCAGAGTATTTTAACACAAGAGCATGAAGGTTTCTTGCACAAAAGAAAAATACAAACAATGATGCATGATACAAAAATTCTTTGAAATAAACTCAACAGCAATCTTTCTGACACCAGAACCTCAATAAACTGGAAGTGGCTTCAATGTTTTTGATATTTACTGAATAGAAATACAGCTAGGCATATCTGGATTCCCAAGTAGCTACATGCGATTTGTAGCTAATCATATTGGACAACAATGATATAGACAATGCAAGACTCCTGGACATTAGAAAACCCTTGTTTAGTAAGCAAAATGGACCCTATTGATAAACCTTCACTATAAACTGATGTTGCATCTAATTCTTATGAGTGAGAGAGAAAACTGGATCAAGCATCAGATTATTTAATAAAGTGAGTTGGTCATCTGATGGTTCAACCTAGTGAAATATTAATATGCTGCGTCACAGTAGAATCAAACCTCTGCTCTGCTATTTGCTAGATTTCCAATTTTAGCTGTTAGTTTTTATGAAGAAGATAAATTTTCCCTCAAACTTCATGCAATTTGGGCATCACTGGTTAGGCCAGCATATATTCCCATCCCTATTTGCCCTTGAAAAGATGTGGTGAGCTGTCTTCTTGACCTAGAGTCACAGAGTCATACAGGATAGAGACAGTCCCTTTGACCTGCCATGTCTATGCTGACCAACAAATACCAAACTAACTGATCACATTTACCTACACTTGGTCAATGGCCAACAATGCCATGGTGTTTTAAGTGCTCCTCTAAATGCTTCTTAAATGTTGCGAGAGTACCTGCTTCCACCGCCTCCCAGGCAGCACATTCCAAATTTAAACTCTTTCCTCAGATCTCCTCTAAACCACTTACTCCTCAGCTTAAACCTATGCCATCTGGTCTTAGACACATCAGCCATGGGGAAAAGATTCTCATGATCTACTGTATCTAGGCTTCTCATAATTTTTTATATCTCAAGCAGATACACCATCAGCTACCTCTTTTCGAAGGAAGACAAACCCAGAATATCCAGTATCTCCTCATAATTGAGATTTACCATCCCAGGCAGCATCCTGATGAATCTCCTCTGCACCCTGTTGAGTGCAGTCACATCCTTCCAATAGTGTGGTGACCACAACTGCACTCTTAGGTCCAACCCTAATTTTGTTATCAAACCTGCTAACAAAGGTGGTGCTGTTGTAGTCTGGCACACTGATCTTCACCTTTATGGATGCTCAATGCCAAATCTCGCACACTTCTTCCTACGTCCCCCAGACCATGACCCCACATCCGAACATCAAGCCATTGTTGCCAGGACTATCACTGACTTCATTACCTCCGGAGATCATTCCCCCCACCCCCGCAACCCCTCCCAACCCCCAACCTCCTTCCCAAAATCCACAAACCAGATTGCCATGGTAGGCCCATTGTGCCAGCCTGTTCCTGGCCCACTCCAAGCTCGTTTCGTCCTACCTTGACTCCATCCTGTCTCCACTTGTCCAGACCCTGCCCACCTACATCCGTGATTCCTCTGATGCTGTTTACCATATCAACAAAGTCCAGTTCCCTAGCCCTAACTGCCTGCTGTTCACCATGGATGTCCAGTCTCTCTCTCTACCTGCGCTTCCCACCAAGATGGTCTGAGAGCTCTCGGCTTCTTCCTCGACCAGAGGCCTGAACAATCCCCATCTCGCCACTCTACTTTGCTGAACTTGTTCAGTCACTGAACAATTTCTCCTTTAATTCATCTCCCTTCTGCCAAGTCAAAGGAGTGGCTATGGGCGCCCACATGGGTCCTAGCTATGCCTGCCACTTTATGGGGTATGTGGAACAATCTTTGTTCCTGTCTTACATGGCCTCTCCCACAACTCTTTTTCTTGATACATCAACAATTGTTCAGTGCCGCTTCATTCTCACACCTGGATCTTGAAAAATTTGTTCATTTTGCCTCAAATTTTCAACCCTCTATAACTTTCACATCATCCATTTACAACACATTTGTTCCTTTCCTTGTCATCTCTGTCTCCATTTTGGGGAATAAACTGTCCACTGCCATCGACTACAAAGCCACTGACTCCCAAAGTTACCTTCACTACAGGTCTTCTTGTCCCATGTCCTACAAGGATTCCATCCCATTCTCTTAGTACCTTCGCCTACATCAGATCTGTTTGGATGATGCCACCTTCCAAAACAGCGCTGCTGGCATGGCTTCCTTCTTCCATAACCATGGTTTGCCACCCGCTGTGGTTGACAGGGCCCTCAACCACATCCAACCCATCATCTGTGCTTCAGCCCTTGCTCCCTTCCCATCACAACAGCATGATCAGTTCCCCCTTGCTTCCACAAAGCTGATATTGGGCAGACACAGATTAACAAATAAAAGCTGACTTTCTCTTGATCCTTGGAACTGTATAGAAGAAACTTCCAGGACATTGATATCAGTCTATACCATTACAGTCTACATTTTTACACCCAAATAATTCTGTTCATTCTATTGTTCTCATAATTTATATTTCATATGGTCATTTGTTCATCTAGATTTATAACTTACTGGTTTTGATAACTTAACTTAAGTTGACCCGAAAAGATGATCATTTATGAAGTTTGGCCTAGTTTTCCTCTCCTTGTTGAATAATCCCAGAGAGATATGTTTAAAAACTGTTCTAGATTAGACATTTGTTTCCATCAAAAATACATTTTTGGTAGATGAACAATTCATTTCCTTTTATTTTCCTTCTAATTTTGTGTAACATTTCAGAAATGAGAACAGGGAAAGAAAGGGCACCAGAAATGGTAAGATTTTAATTGGAGCAGACTTGCAGAGGGACTTTGTGTGTAGTTATCAGGCCATTAACCATGACAGTGTAGGTAGTTAAATCCATAAAAATGGCAAAAAATTTTGGTCTTGTATGTAGTAAATACAAAAACTGTAGGTATTGTTGAACTTATTTCACAGTAAAGCTACAATTTTAGATATAAATATTTAATCATATTTAGTGCACACCTTTCAGTGATTGTATCCCTCCTTCCTTCCCACTGTCTTGAACCATTTTATGGTTTAAACCATCATACGGACAGTATAACATTTTTGAACAATTGAGTGTGATATTTGGAACTATTTTAACAAGCTCAATTGACCCTTTCATTATTTATTTGCGTATGGTGGGCATGCAGTCTCTTTTAGTGCCTGCCCACCTCTGTACCATGGGAGTGAGCTCAGGGATTGGTGTAATGTGGTGGACTAACATGTGGACCTGTATTGCATGGCCCCTGATGCAAAACACACCCAATGTGACCCCTCAAGTCTGTGAAAATGTGCACAGAACATCAGCAGCGCAAGCTGTGATTGTAGGAGTTGGTCCTCAGGAATTCTGTCCATACAACTTGTGGTGGCCTCGTGCTTGAATTTCCATTGGCATTTTGAGGATGAATTTATCCATCCCTGCCATGCGTTTTGAGTTTTGCTGTGTGGTCAATGAGCCTGGCTCCCCTAGGGAACAGATCCTGGTGATTAGCGTCATTTCACCCTCTCTCCTGGGCCCTGCAGTCTCCCCATTCAATTGCATGGCTTCAGCATTTGCAGAATCCCAGATGCCTAATGTGATTCAATGTAAATGCAGAACATTAAATGGTCATGCTGAGCAATATCACAAAGTACTCTTTCCCTTAATTATCGGACAGAATCTATTTGAAAATTGCATTAAGTCAAATCTGGATTTTGTGTTTCAGACCATAACATCACTATTCTTAAGAGCACACTGATGACTGATGTAGAGTCTTGAGTCGGAATATCAGACACAAACTTTAATAACTTTAATTCAATTACAAATTTTACCTGTGACAGGTAAACATTGGGTTAACATTAACAAATATATATAAATAGCATCAAGTAGCATTGATCGTAGAAATAGTATTCAAACTTGATATCATCTCTAATAATGAATAACAACTTGCTTGCTTAGTGGTACAATTACACTAACTCCTCTGAAGTTGATATCACGAGTTCTATGTTCTAAAAAAGGTTGGTTTGTCAACAGGATCATTACATGCATATCACATTTCTTGCCTGCAGCAAAATTTTGTAACAAAGGTCTCTTAAATGAAGGGAAAGGAATTATCTTAGAAGTGCAGCAATTGAATAATGGATAAATTTTGCAGTGATACAGCACAGCCTTTCAACCCATGTTGTTTGTAATTAATACTCATCACATGACTTATGCAAGTTCGTGAAAAGGAATTTGACTCTATAGGCAAACAACAGTTCCTACGTATTGTATTATTTTCTGAAATCAGTCTGAGGAGTACTGTTGTATCTGATGCATTTCTACAGTCTACAATTTACTTTGTAACATTATCGTGCAAATGCTTGACATTTTTACATGAAATTTTTCTTTTGGCTGTTTTATCTGAACTATTTAAACCATTTGTTATAATAAGTTGCTAATATCGCACAGCATAATTTCTCGGAAGCATCTTTCTTATGCACACAGGTAGCTTGACAGCATTGTCAAAATGACAGCATTGCAAGGAATGGGTAATTTATTATTTTACCAATGAGTACCCATACTCAAATGAACCATTTCAGAGAATCAGAGGGAAGACATTCTCCAGCAAGTGCAGGAGAATATAAAAAGCAATTATTCAAATTATCTCACTTTTTATTCACCACAGAGGCTGGGACTCTCACGTTTTTGTTTTAAATCAATGTATAATTCTTAGAAATATTCATTATTGCTTATTTTTATATAGGGTTATCTTTTTGATAATACATTTTATTGTTAACAGTTTCTAAATCTCAATGATTTTGAAGATAATTACTGTGAATTTAGTTACTTGGGAATTGTACCATAGTGGTAACATTATAGGGCTAGTAATTCAGAGGCTTCAACTGATACTGTGGAGCCACTATGACAGATGGAGGGATTTAAATTCATTGATAAATAAATATGCATAATAATCATTATTAATGATTATAAAACTATCAGATCAATGTTATAGTCCACCTACTTCACTAATACCCTTCAGGTCAGCGAAATCTGACCTGTTTGACCTACATTGGACTCTGGATGTACACTACAGTGGCTGTATCTGATTTTGTCAGCTGAAGTAACCCAGCAAGTAACTGGGTAGCTAATGGCTCACTGACACCTATTTAAGGGTAATTAAGAATACCAGTGAATGTTGGCATTGCCAGAGATCTGAAGAACAAATGTAAAAATTCCCATGGCTGGATTCCCTGGGGGAGGAATATTTTGGAGAGGAGGTGATCTAAACAGGTTAAAGGTTGAACTTCTAACCCGTGACTGGACAGGAAGACCCATCCTGAGAGTTCATTAATGGACACTGCTGGGACTGTAAGCAGTCGCCCCCGAAGAAACTCAGTGACCAGAGGTAGGTAAGTCCTGGGCTTTTTGGTGAGGAGGGATTGGAGAGCCCAGGCAAGGGATAGAAAGTGAGGGGCTTGGTTTTGCATGGTATTTGGTGAGGAACAAAGGGAAGAACAACACGTTGGAAGGGGTTGGGGAGGTGACCTGATGCACACAGGGCAACCTTATTTGGTAGAAAACCACAACTCTATCTCAAAGATACCTTTGGACTTACGCCCACTTCCCACTACCCAGCACTTTATGGAAGTGGATTGAGGCCTTTAATTGCTTATTCATTGGATAATTAAAGACCTCAATAAAGCTAAGGGGCAGGCAACCTAGTTGGCATCTTAGCCAGTGCCCATAGAGAACAGGTCAGTAGAAAGGACATGGTCTAAGCATTTGATAAATTTTATGTGCCAGCAAATGCCCCTGAAAACATGCTCGGTAGGGTCCATTATTTCTAGTTCATGATTTCCTGATTGAATCTTAATTATGTAACTATGGCTATGTGCATGCAGGATCATAACTCACAGCCTGCTGGTCTGAATTATACATTGTTAACGTTCAAGATTGCTGTGATGCATTTTAATAGTGCAAGTGATGCACTGGCAAAGGCACGAACACACATATTGGAAGTTGTTTAACTGCACTTCAGTAATCAGACAGATAATCACCAGAAAACACAAAGGACTGGTGGTGGTGGTGCTTTCCTACAGATCCGCTGTTGTTATTTTTGCTGTCATTGGGCTGCATGCAGCCCACCTACATTAGGTAGCATTATTAACCCTTTTTAGTCCTTCTCCCAGTATTGGAAGTCCATAGCCAGAATGAAGAAGGCACAATTGTAGGCTTGTAGTAGCTGGAGATGAACAAAGTTGCTGGTGAGCAGTTCCTTTTTGGGTTGTATTTATGTTGCAGTGCTGCTGATTTTGCCTTAAACCACCAACAACATCATCTCTGAAATTTCGTTAGCCATAATTGGTACAGAATGAATGTTTTGCATTGGGGAAGGAAAAAGATCATTTTTTATTTTCAAATGTGTTTTTTCTTAATTATAGAGGGAACTATTAAAATACAAACAAGAAACCAGGAATCTGCAGGGAGTAAAGGTAAGAACAAAGTGTAGTTAATCTTCACGTATAAATGGGCCTGATACTTGTGGCTTAATTTATGTCATCAACTGAGGACTCAAGCATAACTTGAGTCCCAATCTATTATGTTGGCATTTTTAGAGGACCTTAGTTTAAAATATATTTCATAGCAAAGTAGAATTACTGTGGCAAATTTGTGCTGCCGTAATAGTGGAGGATTTCAGTGATTCTCTTCCTGTATTTCAGAAGGATTTAATGACTTTTGTATGAGAGTACACACCATAATTTGTTGAGAGATTATAATAACTGTGGATGCAGATGACTATTTCCCACCTCATTGAAATACTTTTCCCCCAGGATGCATTGCAGCATCGGATGGCACAGCAGGAAAGCTCTATCCTTCAGCTAAAACAGGAATTGCTGCGAGCAAGCATGGCAAAAGATGAGCTACTGAGTGAAAATGTGAGGATCTAGCTTTCTGTCTGTCATTGTGATCTGCTTGCTTGCATTTGTAGGAAATAAGATCTGTAGCAGTACGCATAGATTTATACCAAGGTTTGTACCAGCACGGTTTTGCATCTTGTTAGTGGAAATGTACAAGTATCTTGTGATAGTTTCCATCTTTATTGATTTTAATGAGATGGCTACTACAAAAAGTTACTTCTGTCACCTTTGTTTTCTATTGCTAGCTTGACCTACAAAGGAAGACTGAAGAAAGGAACAGGCTTCTTGGGGAATTTAAAGTAAGGCTTACTGAAACTCTCACTGATAAATAATTGCATTATTAGAATCAAACAATATGTACAGTATTAGGTTCAATTATTGTGAAACAATCTCATTGGCATCAACAATGGAGCAGAGAGAATCTACACATCAATTGTAACTCATTAAAAATATCACAATATAACTGGAATGTAAATTACATTATTTGTGTTATTTTTTGTCTGGTATGTTTGTCACAAAGCTGCATATGTAAAATTTAGTGTAACAGTTATTTTGAACACCTTACTGGTTTTATTGGTGGATGTAGTGCTTTTATATTTCCCACTGGTAAGAAGATAATGTTCGCTGATATTCTGATGCAGTGCTGAGGGGGTCGCTGATTTTTGCAGATGCTGCCCTTTGAATATTTTGTTGATCTTTCTGTTTCAGAAGTTCAGGCGTAATTACACATCTCTGACACTTTTCAGAAATGATTCGTTCATGAGTCCTCAGCAAGATTGCACCCTTAGCCTTTACTACAATAATTAGTTAATTGAATCATTCAATTGTGCAGCCTTGCAAAATGTCCCCATGTTTGCATATATAACAGCCCAAAGTATTATTTAATTGCATATTGAGAGCTATGAGATTTTTCTGAGAAGTATGTTTAGATGCCATATAAATGCAAGTCTATCTTAATTTGTGGTGGATTGTACTTTCTTGTAGAGAGAATTGGGTCAGAAGGATCGACTGTTTCAGCAACAGCAGGCCAAACTGGATGATACTTTGCGGAAACTAACAGAAGCCACTCATTTAAAGGTATTGGAAAGGAGGTTTATCCAGTGGAATGCGTTACATTTGAGACCTTGGGTTGTATAGTATTTACATTTCAGACTTTGAAAGAAGTATGAAATAGTCACCTAAATAACCTGTATTGTCCTAAAGATTTTAAGGATTAAGCGGTATTGAAACAAAATAAACCCAAGTGCAATCTATTAATCTATTTTTGTGATCTAATTCAAAATTTAATAATATTCTACAATTTTTGACATTTCTTTCTTTTCGTACGTCACAATTGTTTGGAAAATGATAAACAATAAGGCAAATGTACTTTGAACTACAAAAAAGACTTCAGTATCAAAAAAGTCCAGAAACATGCCTTCTGTTTATGGTGTGGAATTACTTATCAATTCATCACTTGCTGATAATGACAACATGTTTATAATCAATGATTGAATAAGTTTGCCATGCACTCAACAGATTTTCATGGCATGTTAGTTTTAGATTGTTGAGACAAAACTTTGAACTGTATTAGTTGCATGACAAGCTGTCTATTAAGTAATTGTTCAGTGTTGAATGTTATAGCATTTCAATGAGTGGTAACTTGCTTAAAATGCTATTTATCCTACTTTCAATTATTTTCAACCATGGAAATTGCTCCTTGGTGATTACAGTAATGATGTACCTGATCCTTTCTATTAGACAGTGCTATAATTAATATGTAGCAATTATAATGGCCCAGAATGTGCTGCAAAAAAATGAGCTTACAGTGCATACCATTATTAATGAAGCATAAAATGCAGTCGTTTATAGCAAGGAAGAGCTCCTTATGTTGCAAATCAGCCCAAAGGAGTGAATAGATTTGCTCCAGTTTTCCATTAGCCATACAAAAAATTAAGCTCGTCATCACCTACCCTATAACAGTCAGATTTCTGCATTTGCATTATATAAGGGAATTGAACTTTCCAGGAAAAATATGGCTGCTATTTAACTGAGTAAGGACCTAGTAAATAGAATGATTTATTTTTCCAGTGGTTTTCTGCTTTGTTTCAGAGATAGCAGGAACTGCAGATGCTGGAGAATCTGAGATAACAAGGTGTAGAGCTGGATGAATACAGCAGGCCAAGCAGCATCAGAGGAGCAAGAAGGCTGACGTTTCGGGCCTAGACCCTTCTTCTTCATTTCTTGGCCTGCTGTGTTCATCCAGCTCTACACCTTGCTATCTCAGTTTTTTGCTTTGTAACTGATTAGCAATTAAATTATTATTGTTCCACATAAGCTATGTAATGTATGCAGCCAGGCTGCATTATGAAACAAATATAAATCCTTTATAGAGAAAATGAAAAAGCGTAAGAGAAAATAACTCTGGGGGAAACGATGGCCTGGTGGTATTATTGCTGGACTGTTAATCCAGAGACACAGATAACCTTCTGGGGGACCTGGGTTCAAATCCCGCCATGGCAGATGGTGGCATTTGAATTCAATAAATATCTGGAATTAAGAGTCTAATACTGTGATTCCATTGTCGATTGTCGGAAAATGCCATCTGGTTCACCAGTGTCCTTTAGGGAAGGAAACTGCCATCCTTACCTGGTCTTGCCTACATGTGAGTCCAGACCCACAGCAGTGTGGTTGACACAGCTGCCCTCTGGGCAGTTAGGGATGGGAAATAAATGCTGCCTGCCCAGCGACACCCTCATCCCGTGAATGAATAAAGAAAATACCAAAGTATAGAACTGAAAGGAGACAAACAAGTGTCGAATTGAAAGTGTCTAGTCTAATTTTTCTTTCTAATCTGCAATCATGAGCTTATCATTGTTCCACTCACCCTTAAGATTTTGTTTACTAATTGCTCTCGCAGCCCTCTCCCCAACACCAATATTTTATCAAAACATTTGGCCCTATCATAATGTTCAGCAGCATTTTGAAGTGAATGGTTGTGCTGCTCCACATACACCAAAAGATTCCAAATCTGCATCCCTGGTCTTTTCCATGTGGTTAACCCTGACTAGACTACAAAGTGACAATTGTAATTAGTCCTTGTATCCCTAGCTAGAATATTATTGTCAGTGTTAACTCTAGTGAAAATGAAGGCTTGGAGATATGATAAAGCTGGATTAAACTCCAACGTTTTGGTTGCTCCAGTCTAAATAAATCAACATAAAGTTGTCATATTCTCAGAGGACCATAGGACTGTTCTCTCATTAGAAAGAGAAAGACTACTGGTGATGTTAACCCAAGGGTAACCACGTCTCGGGCGAGGGAAGATATTGAGAAGGACAGTCCTTCACGGTAACCTCAGCTGGCGTGGAAATTGAACCCACGCTTTTGGCATTATTCTGCAACATAAACCAACAGTTCAGCCAATAACTAACTCCCAAAATAAATTAAAATGCTAACATCAAGGTTTATACATTATTTTGTGAGCATTTCTATGCTGCACTAATTTTTGATTTCTTTTTTAAATTGTATCATTCCTTTCAGAATGACTTGCAAAAGGACTTGGAACGAAAAGATCTGCTTCTTCAACAGTTGTTGAACAGAGATGAAGAAGAGGTATAAAGTCATAGAGTTATACAGCACAGAAACAGACCCTTCAGTCCAACTCGTATTCATGTACCCATCCGGATGCCTTTTACATGTTGTAATTGTACCAGCTTTCACCATTTCCTATGGCAGCTCATTCTATACACCCACAATCTGTATGAAAACGTTGTCCTCAGGTCTCTTTTAAATCTTTCCACTCTCACCTTAAACCTATGCCCTCTAGTTTTCGACTCCTCTACCCTGGGAAAAAAGACCTTGACTATTCACACTATCTGTGCCCCTCATGATTTTATAAATCTCCGTAAGGTCATTGTTCAACCTCCGACACTCCAGGGGAGAAAAAGCACCAGCCCATTTAGCCTCTCCCCACTGCTCAAACCCTCCTATCCCGGCAACATCCTTGTAAATCTTTTATGAACCATTTAAGTTTCACAACATCTTTCCTATATCAGGGAGACCAGAACTGAACGCAATATTCTAAAAGTGGCCTCACCAGTGTCCTGTGCTGCTGCAACATGACATCCTAATTCCTATACTCAATGCACTAACCAATGAAGGCAGGGTACCAAATGTTTTCTTTACCACTCTGTTAAGTGCAACTTTACTTTCAAGGAACTATGCATCTCCACCCCTAGGTCTCTTTGTTCAGCAGCATTCCCCAGTCCCCAACCATTAAATGTAAAAGACCTGCCTGGTTTGCCTTGCCTCACATTTATCTAAATTAAACTCTATCTGTCAATCCTAGGCCCATTGGCCCATCTGATCAAGGTCACGTTGTACTCAGCCTTCTTCATTGTCCAACTTTGGTGACATTTTCAAACTTACTAACCATATCTCTTACATTCACATCCAAATCATTTATACAAATGATGAAAAACAGTGGACCCGACACCAATCCTTGCAGCACACCACTGGTCACAGGCCTCCAGTCTGAAAAGCAACCCTCTAATACCACTTTCTGTCTCCTACCTTCAAACCAGTTTTGTATCCAGTTGCCTAGTTCCCCGGATTCAATGTGATCTAACTCACTAACCAGTCTACCATTGCAAAACCTTGTCGGATGCCTTGCTGAAGCCCTTATAGACGTTTATCGTTCTGCCTTCATAAATCTTCTTTGTCACTTCTTTAAAAGCTCAGTCAAATTAGTGAGACATGATTTCCCATGCACAAGTCCATCCATGCCTTTCCAAATGCATGTAAATCCTGTCCATCAGAATCCCCTCCCACAACTTGCCCACCACTGATGTCAGGCTCACTCGTCTATAGTTTCCTTGCTTTTCCTTACCACCTTTCTTAAATAATAGCGCCATATTAGCCTTGTTATTATATTGTTTAAAGCTAACTTCTGAGATATTATTCCATATAAATTAGTTATGCCAAGGTATCAATAATTAATTCATGGAAGTGATCTCAATGCAGTTATCCAGGGCTAACATAATAACCAAAATGATGGTTATAATTATAATTATCTGAACCATGAGATGAGAACATCTTTAGAGTAACTCAGTGCCAAGTTTTACACCACAAAATAGTAATAGATCAGAATCAAAAAGACATGAATCGGTCAATTATTTCTGTTTCTGGAAGGCTGGTCTCCATAAAATGACTGCCATTTTTGCCTGCACAAACAAGAGGACTCCATGTAAAAGTAATCCATGAAGTACATCAGAACAATCTGAAAGATATGATAAAGCATTTCCAAGTTAGGTTGCTGTGTGCCCGGAGAAAACTTACAGCTAGTGGTGTTCCCATGTATCTGCTGCCCTTGGCTTTTTAGGTGGTAGACGTCCCCGGTTTGCAAGATGCTATCAAAGGAGCATTGGTGGCTCGATGTGTGCAATGTTTCTTTCATGTGGTTTTATCAATGTAGGTATTGAATTTTTAAGTGATCTCTCTTTCTCTCAAAAAAGACTCCTGCAAAAGCAGGGCTGGTGGATTTATATTGTTAGTAGGTAAAATTGTAGAATGTGCTCCGTAAATCAGGGAAAAGTATCCTGAAGTGAACTTGAATTTTTAATTTGTCATTAATCAGTGCTATATATATTATCTATTGATGTGTATTCAGTGATGAACAACAGGCATTTCCAGGAAATACATCGTACCACACTCCAGGCCATTAGCCAATCTAGTAACATTTTGAGAAGATGAGACAGCATAAAGTGAAAGCAATTAATTTATGCTGCTTAAGTCTTAGAAATATGCCACATATTGGAATGTGTATACTCAAGAGAGTTAGTCATTCTTCTGAATGTTCCACCAGTAAAAGTGTCAAAGGAACATTATGATGTTAAACTTCCAATTGTACATTAGAGCCAGAAACATTGTTAATTCATGTGATAAGGCCTGCAGTTAATTCAGGATTGTTTTCAGTCAGCTGATACAAAGGGACACCATTGCTTAAACACAGGGTAAGCCTTTAACTAACAAAAGGAAACAGTAAAAGGTGATCTTTACAGTCTTCCATGTTATTGTTTCTTGTCAATTACTCTAGATATCTGCCAGGCTGTACTTTACACAGCCTCAACTGTAGAAGGCACAATGAACTAATAAGTGATTGCCTTAATATTTGATCACAAGCAGAAATGAGAATTCTAACTAAATTTGTCTTTGGTTTTAGTAATAGCTACCAATCGTGGTTCTGTTTAGAGTTGAATAGGGAAACTTATCCTTTTATTTTCTATTAAGTAAAATTCGTATTTTTAAAGTTACATACAATTAAATGCTTATACAACAATTATAAGCATTTACTTTTGGGTCTTATCAAATGTAATGAATGTTTTATTGAAATATAGACATTACTTTAAATTAAATATAAGACCATAGGAGATAGGAACAGGGGTAGGGCATTCAGCCCTTCAACAGGATTATGACTGATCTGACATTTCTCACATCCACTTTCCTGTGTTTTCCCCCTTAACCCTTGATTCCCCTAAGATAAGCTTCATTATCCATGAAGAAGTTGAATTATTTGGACTGCCAGCTCAAACTGAAAAATTTACTACATTTAATTGGGGTTATTGTTATCTCTGCCTTTAACCAATGTCCAAAGGAATCTGCTTGTAATTGAACTGCACATTATCATTGCTGGTGTATCCCATGACTACAGCCATTGCTTGCGTTTTTTAAAACCCATCCCAACCAGCAATTTAAGCCTTATTTGAGGAATCAATTCCCCAGGGCTTTGTAACAACATCAAGACATTGTGAGAAACTAAACACATCTGTGTTCTCAATTGTTTACTCATTATTGTAAATAATGAGGTCTGATCTATGGCCCAAGTCAGTGGATACAGACATCACAAGTATCAAATAAAATCTCAGATGATCTTCATTAGTCCCACGCCTAAAAGGAAAAGGAGAAAGGGTAATTTGTGTAACAGACCTTAATATTTTCACTCACTGATGCATGGCAAGCCTGAATTCAAACTTTTCCAGAGCACATACTTGCTTCACACTTAACTGTCTTCCACTATCCCTTTTATCCATCTTTCCTTCAAATATGGATGAAGCTTTTTATTAATTGTTGACAAGGGAGTATATACACAAGTCATATATACACAAGTCTTCTTATCTTAGATGATTGATTACCCCTAACAAATTCGTCTTAGTCCTCATGGTCTATCAAAATCCTTAACATTCCATAGATCTTTCCTCCTTTGTCGACTGTGAAATTAATATCCAACTGCGACAATCCAACAAAACTGCCCCATAAAATTAAATCAAAAACTGTGGATGTTGGAGATTTGAAACAAAGACAGAAATTGCTGGAGAAACTCAGGAGGTCTGGCATCATCTGTAGGGAGAAAACAGAGTTAACATATTGAATCTGCTGACTCTTCATCAGAATCTGCTTCATAGCAAGACAGCAGTGAACGCAATACTGATCGTGGCCTACTCCTCCCACCTCCTGCAGACCTGATGGACTTCTTGTAACTGGCCCAGAAATCTAACCTTAAACACTTTCCCACATCAATGTTGCAATTCCTGACCTTTACACTCAAGTCGCGGTAGTGATCTTCACTGTCTCAATTGCTGAGACTGACCCTAAGAGTCTATGGCTTCAGGCTTCATTTCACTGATTTTCAGTCCTAACCTCCTGGTTCTTCCTATTAGGAAGGGAATTATTAGGACCTTTGTGTCCATGACCCTACCAGGGTTTTCAGCCATTTTCATCCTCTGCTGCACATACCAGCCTACTTGTACATACCAGGGTCGTTATGTTTGAGTAAATCAGTGAAAGTGAGGTGTGGTGTCTTTGGGATGGGAATACTTTAATTCTGTCATGTTTAAGTGGAATAATGCACGCATAAGGAGCCCTTGATTTGTTTACATTTTGTTAGGTGTCTGGGTATCCCAGTAAACCATTAGCAAGTAATGGCTACATCCAATCCTTGAGCAAAACTACTTCTCCAGTGTATAGAGGGGTGAGTATAAATTTGATAAAATATGCTAGTGTTATTTTTGTTGGTCTCTCTTATGTGTAGAATTTATCTTGATAAAAATATACTACGCTAAGATTTCCTAGTTGCCCTTGATAAATAATTTCTGGATAAAAATGGAGTAATGGCATCATATTCGTATATCAATCACGTCATATTAATTATCTAGTATTCCAGCAGTCAACATCAGTACAACCTCTGCTAGAAATAAAAGGGTCACAAACCTGATAAAATAATTGTATTGTGGCTTCTCTTCATAACCATTTTCCACAGGTCACGTAAAAATGGATATTCACAACTGCACTGACAAAAGCATGTTAACAGTATGAATACCAGGAGTTTAGACCACAAAGCTCCTAGAATCCAAATTAAAAGTAATATTAAAGCAGTTAATCTCTTCCACAACATATTCTTATTTTTAATTGTCAATTTAAAACCACAGATAAAGCCCATTCAATTTGTGTTGGAGCTAATTCTTTAATTGCAGTGTTTTCACTGAGGAAAGGGTCATGGAGACAGCCAATCCCTGCTGCATCCCCATGGCAGTTTCCTGACCAATTTGAGTCAACTTGCCTGATTTGAATTTTAACACTTGGCTAAGTCAGGTAACTTTACTGAAGAGAGAGAGAGAAGCAGGAGAGTTGGAATTACGTGGGGAACAAGAAAGATGATGAATAGATGGACATGCAAGACTCAATTACAATGACCTTTTGTTAGATGTAAGAATTGTTCACATGTTAAAATCAGATTCTGAGAATATGAAATGAAAGCATATTGCTGAAAATTGTTCTTTTTTTCAACTTGTTAATGTGTACCGTGCTGTTGTCAGCATTTATTTGGATTATTTATATATATACATTGGAAAAATAAATATTTTTGGAAATTTAAGAGAATCATTTACCAGTAATGGTTAACCGGTGAAGAAATACCACGTGTGACGGGGAGAAAAAATTTTAGTTATGTGTAAGAGCTCATGTGGATATAAAAAAGAAGACAGACAGGTAACAATTCCTGCTATATCTGTATACAGACTAATCAACATCATCTTCTCAGGCTGCATAAATTGTTATTCCCTTTCTAAAGTTGGTTTGCTAATGTTTCTGTCTTGATGAGCGTAACACAAAAGGTTTTGACTTTTTTAAATCTCTTTTTAATAATTTCTGTTGGGTATCTTTTGTCAGATCATAACTGTCTGAAGGTTAAAGTCAAACCATTTAAAATGTTGGAAGTCTAAAATAAAAAGAAGGTAGATCATTTGAGGAAAGCTTAAAATAGCAGCTTTTTGAATAGGCTTCATGTTGGATTCTGTTGGAAAGGAAGTGGGCCTGGCTGTATCCCAGACACTGTTTAATGCTGCTGCCAAAGTGGGGCAAGATTACCAGGACAGATTGGTTAGTATTTTATGAGTGACTGACCTCAGCATTAACAGTGGAGTAAGGAGGAGTGTGGTGGGATGCATTTATCCACCATGAAACCTGGTGGGATGTAGCGGGGAAGCCCAATCAGTTAATCATGGAGTTGAAGGTGATGGTTGCTTTGGGGATCCAATCACACAGGCGTAAACCAGACTGAACAAGGGGTGGGTAATTTACAGGTTAGCCCTGTGGGTAATGGCAAACAATGCTTTCAGGCAGGAGTGCCTTTAAGGCACATAATCTTATGGAGTTCAGGTAACATTTGGTAATATTTCAGGCCGTGATAACCTTTCATCTGATCCTTCATCAATAATCCCTCTTGTTGCTTTCTGACACCTTTTCATAAATCTTTGTGTAAGTAATTGCTAACTTAACGGCCTCAATTGGATTCAGGTGGAAAGGCCATACATGGGCCATGGCCTTCCCACCATGGACTTCTTCAGGGAGAAGGTGGGAAGGTAGCAAGATCCCAACACTTCACCCTCCAACCTGACAGTGTTCTCCTGGCATCAAACATTCCACAGGGAGGGTCATTAAATTCCACTTAACATGTTTGCTGGATGAATCTGTGATGCTATAAACTTCAAAACTTTAACAACTGTTCATAGATTAAAAGAAGCAGCAATAATTCTCACTGGAATAAACAATTAAAGGGCAAAGACATTTTTTTACAGGAATTGAAACCAATTAGCCATATCTGGGAAAAGAACAAGTTGAGGCTCCATAAACAAAACTGTTTTGCCATCTGCTTGATAACTGGCTGCTTTATGCCACAAGGACAACTAATTGCCCTGCAGAAGAATTTAAGAAGTTAATCACAGGGAAGCTGTGACTTCAAACAGACAAGGCAATGCCAAATGTGACAAGGAAGTTACTTCTGAAATGGAGGCAACCTACAGACGCAAGAACTTCAAAAGAGTGATTAGTATTTTGGATGAAAGATCATCAATAAATGTCACACCATAGACCTGAAGGATGAGAAACCATATCAGACCCTTCAATACCAGAACTTCGAAGGACAACACTGCACAATGATCAAACCCTGGACATCAGAGACAGACAGTATTTGTTAGAATTGTAGCTAAATTCCACTGTTAATTGGGTAATAGCCAAATTGAGTTGGAGGCTTAATGTGTTTGCTTGAGGGTTTTATTTTGGTCACTACGTGCAATAAAGTTTAAGCCATTGTTTCAGTATTTGATTGACTGTGAGATTTCTCAGCAAGTAGCCGAATTAAAGGTAGCTTGAGGTGATTTATCTACAATACCCCAGATTCTGAGTTATAGTGGTAACAAGAGAAGGAATGCCTATTACCAAATTACTATGTCTTGTAACTCATTGCAAGCTACCTGTTGTGTTTGAGAGCCGTGTGATATTTTGGCATTTGAGTAAAACTAAAGAACTGATCATTGACTTCAGAAAGAAAGGAGGAGAACACGCCCCCACCTACATCAGTGGAACTGAGGTTGAGAGGTGGAGAACGTCAAATTCCTCAGTGTGACGATAACCGACAATCTGTCCTGTACTTTCCATGTAGATACGACAGTTAAGAAGGCACAACAACACCACCTCTTCCTCAGGCGGCTCAGGAAATTTGGCATGTCCGTAAGGACCCTCACCAACTTCGACAGCTGCACTATTGAAAGCATACTGTCCAGGTACATAATGGCCTGGTATCGCATCAGCTCTGGCCAGGACTGTAAGAAACTACAGAAGGTGGTGTGCACAGCCCGGAAGCCAGCCTTCCATCCATGGACTCTATTTATACGGCTTGCTACCGCGGAAAGGCTGTCAACATCATCAAAGACCTATCGCACCTTGGTAATGATCTCTTACAACTTCTTCTGTCAGGCAGAAGATATAGAAGCCTGAACACATGCACGAACAGGTTCAGGAACAACTTCTTCCAAGACGTTATTAGATTGATGAATAGACTCTCTAGCCTCAAATAATGCTGATCTTGCTAATGTTGATCTCGCCTAGCGCACGCCCTGTGCAATGTAATCTGTATGCCTCTGTCTAAGTCTTTTTGATCTGTACATCCTTGTTTACTATGATCTGTCTGTACTGCTCGTAAACAAAGCTTTTCACTGTACTTTGTACACGTGACAATAAATCAATCAATAAGCAGCATGGTGGCTCAGTGGTTAGCACTGCTGCCTCACAATGCCAGGGACCTGGGTTTGATTCCGCCCTCGGACGACAGTCTGTGTACTGTTTGCACATTCTCCCAGTGTCTGCGTGGGCTTCCTCCAAGTACTCTGGTTTTCTCCCACAGTCCAAAGATGTGCAAGGTAGGTGGATTGGCCATGCTAAATTGCCCATAGTGTCCAGAGATGTTTAGATTGGGTGGGTTAGACATGGGAAATGCAGGGGTAGGGGAATGGGCCTGGGTGGGATGCTCTTCGGAGGAGCAGTATGGACTTGTTGGACCAAATGGCCTGTTTCCACACTGTAGGGATTCTAAAAAGTTCCAAAAGAGGCCTCACCAATGTCCCGTACAACCTCAACATAATGTCCCAACTCCTATACTCAAAGGACTGAGCAATGAAGGCAAATGTGCCAAGTGCCTTTTTAACCATCCTGTCCATATGTGACGCAAACTTTAAAGAATGATGTACCTGCACATAATTATGTACTTCTGTTCCACAACACTACCCAAGGCCCTACCATTAATTGTGTAAGTCCTGCCCTTGTTGTACCAAAATGCAACACCTCACAATTATCCAGATTGAACTCGGTCTGCCATTTTTCAGCCCATTGACCCATTTGATCAAGATCCCTTTGAAACCTTAAAAAAGCTTCTTCACTGTCTACTATGCTACCAATTTTGGTGTCATCCACAAACTTACTAACTATGCCTCTATATTCTCATCCAAATCATTTGTATAAACGACAAATAAAAGAGGACCCAGAACCTATCCCTGTGGAACGCTGCTGGTCACAGGCCTCCAGTCCAAAAAGCAACTCTGCCATTACTCTCTGTCTCCTGTTGTTAAACCAATTATATATCCAGTTGGCAAGCTCACCCTGAATCCCATGTGACCTAACTTTACTAATTAGTTTACCATACGGAACCTTGTCAAAGGCTTTACTAAAACCCAAATAAACAACAACTTCTGCTCCGCCATCATCAACCTTTTTGGTAACTTCCTCAAAAAACTCAATCAAGTTTGTGAGACCTGATTTTCCTTGCACTAAACCATGCTGACTATCTCTAATCAATTTTTGCCTGGTGTTACAGATTGCTGTTTTCAACTTCTGACTACAAACCAAGTTAAAGTCTATTGTTCACATTATACTGTTAGTATGTGTGCAATGAGAGGAAAACACTTTTATGCCAATAAACTCTAACTTTCATCTTAAAAGTCACAGCTCATATGCTATGCATTGTGCATTTTATTCTGTGCTGTATCTCCTTTTCAGACAGAAGACCTTCAAGTAGTCCGAGATTCCTTGCGCAGTTTACGAAGTAGCTTTGCTGGTCATGACCCACAGCACCACACAATCGACACGTTGGAGCAAGGAATTGCAAGTTTATTAGAACGAATGCACGTGGCCGAAACACAGGGAAGAGTTGGCAACAAAGTAAGGACGTCTTTCCAGTCTGTGTAAAAATAACCTCCAGTTGACCTCTTTAAGTGATTTGATTTTTAATGCATTTTTTGGCCTCTTGAAATGAAGACTAAAACAACATTGCTTGAAATGGAGCTTTAGGATATTAGTAGTGTATGCATTAATAAAAGAAATTCTTTGGTTTAAGACTCTATCAAAGGTGTTAAAAAGTTCACTTTAAATGAGCTACAGCTTTTAGTTAAGTAGTGTGTGATTGTGTGAAAGAACCATTACTAATATCTCACAACCTCATTTCCAACCTCCACTAGTTCAATATATTTTTACTTTTGCCACTAAGTGAAGTACATTGTATGACTGCGTTTAATTATTTTATGATTTAAATATATCTTTAAAGGATCATTGTAGAATAAATTTCTAAATTGGCCCCCCATCTAGTTTATGAAGGCACTGTCTTTAATATTGTATTGAATTCCTCTGTTGAAATACTTGATTGCAAAGTGAACTCAACAAATGGTGTGTGCGCGCACATTTGGACAGGCTTGCAGAGATTGGGAACATGCACAAGATAGTGCCCACCCATCTTTGTGCCTCCTCATCTGATCTCCAAAACCTACCCTCCTGCTAGGGAACCCGAACCCACTTTGGCCATAAAACTCTGGATTTGTCCTGTCTGTTGTCAGTAACATTTCTTCGTTGGCCTCCTAGCAGTACCACTAATGTCTTCTGGTGCTGCTGGAACTATGGGACTTCCTTCAATTTGAGGGGCAGATGAACTTCAGCTTATTATACATTTTGGGGTGACCTTTTTCAAAATTGGTCAGTTTGCGACTGACTTTTCATCTGTGGAGGTTGGTGCATGGACTGAAAAATATAGTCCATAAATTTCATTTAGATGCATCTCACAAATGAATCCTTAAAAATCTGCAATCAAATCTTCATTTGATGTTTTCTTGTAATTCCCTCACTTTCAGAATATTATCCTTAAATACAAACCTGACATTATTGTTTTGGGCATGCGTTCACTTTTTTCAGTAAAGTTAATTTTCAGAAAGAAAATAATAGCTCTAATTGTTTATGTACAGACAAACGATGGCTGAGCACATAAAGGTGCAATTGATGTAGCACTAGGCCATGTAAGGATCTCAAGATCCTGGGTTCAAATCCTGGTCGGTACTGAATTAAAGAAACCATTGTAAGAAGTCTAAAGGCCCCAAAGATAGGGAGAGAAAGCATGTCAGTCATAGTTGCCTTCCTGGTGACTCCTGCAGGAAAATATGCAAGTGTGAGTTGGTGTTAGGGTAAGACAGATTTTGGGTCAGAGTTAATTCCTACCATGGTTTGAAAAGCCTCCTGATATCAGGGAATGAATTTACTCAATAAAGTGACATGTGGAAGATGACAGGCTGATGAATACAGTATGAAATCTCCAGCCTACAAATTGCTGTATTTACACTTCGCTATTTCCTTTCATTCATATCTGTAGACTCCTGTGAAACATTCAGGAAGAAGAGAAGCAAATGTGGAGAGAGAATCCTGGCCATCAAATTCCAGTATGTTCAGAAGCAACCAATTCACTGACTAATGTTTGTTTGGGGATAGACAACACTGTGAACCTAACATGCAGGTTGATTTGATTTTTTAACTTTCCTACTTTGTCTTTGGAGAAAGAAAAGAATTAAATTTGTCATCCTGCGATTCCATGGCACAGTGTCATTGCTAAAGTCATTGCTGTGTGTAATTTTATTTTATAAACTGTTATATTTCCACAATATAGTACCCATATTTACTGTAGGCCATTTATCTTCCTGTAGATGCCATTGTATGTCAAAAATATGTGGTTTTTCTTTTTAAAAAATATCAATTTTCTTTCTCGGCAGATCTTCATTCTCACAACAATCCTGGTCCAAGCAGTCCTGTCTGCACTAAGGTGCTGTATTTCACAGACCGAACTCTTGTACCATTTATGGTAAATATTCCAAAGAGGTAAGTAATTCATATTGTACTAGCCTAGAGGAATACTTGGAAGCTGAAACTAACAGAAGACTATTTCCTCCAATTTGAAGGGACTAACAAAAAAACTTGTTTAAACATTAATGTGATTTCTGTAAAAAAAAACTTAATTAATTTTCTTAATTATTTTTCTGTCTGTTTATCGCAGCAACTGTTGTTTTCAATCTGGATAAAATTACACGGTGAACCAGTCACTAAGACATTCACTAATTCTGTTGAAATCCAGGATTGCCATATGAAAGGGCTTGAGATTGTTCATGTGAGAACATTAATTAGAGTTTGCTATGAAATAAAGGCAAAAGTGCTAGAGAAACTCAGCAGGCCTGAGTCCTATATCCTCAGGAAGCTTCTTTTTAGAAAGTTTTTGCTGGAGGAATATCATGTATTTAATTTTCATTTTGCTGAACCCTGGAATGATGGGATACAATTTCATTCATATCGCCAAATGTGAATCCTTAATCTTAGCCACATCCTTGGAAGGAAGAAACATGCAGACATCTTACAAACAGGAGAAAGTCACAAGTTCAATTAGCCTAGGCTACTTCTATACTTATCCAAATATATTTTCTTTCATGGGATGAGGGTGTTGCTAACAAGGCCAGCATTTGTTGCCTGACCCTAATTGTTCCTGAACTGAGTGGCTTGCAGGGCCATTTCAGAGGGCAGAAGCAACCACAGCATTGTGGATCTGGAGTCGCATGTAGGTCAGAACAGGTAAGGATGGCAGATTTCCTTCTATGGAAGACATTAGTGAAGAAGATCGGCTTTTATAATCAATGGTAGTTACATGGTCACCATCACTGAGACTAGGTTTATATTCTACAGTTATTCATTTGAATTTAAATGCAGTTGTTTGTATCCAAGTCCCCAGAGCATTAGACTAACTTTTCAATTCCATGTTTATTAATTGCAATCAAATCCCATCAATTGCCATGGTGATATCTGAAACCATATCATCAGCCTGGGCCTCTGATGTTGTCACATTATCAATACATCACTGCCTCCCTTTTACAAGATCAGCAGTTTTTGAGCTGTGTGTACTGCATCAGGGAAAATCTGTTACTTAAAATAGTCCAAAAAATCCTTCTCCGAACTGTATGTCTTTAATTTATTGTCAACTTTATCCCTACAGACTTGGTGAAGTGACTCTGAAAGATTTTAAAGCAGCAATAGATCGGGAAGGGAATTACAGATATCACTTTAAGGCACTGGATCCTGAATTTGGTACTGTGAAGGAAGAGGTAAAAATTTGGTCATTGGCATCATGTTCTGGAAAATAACATTACGCTATTCCTTACTTACTGATTTTATTTTATTCTAAGTTTGACAGGTCAATTGATCAGTGAAGTATTTTGTAACATGAAAGTGTGTGTGCCACCAGTACATAAAATGTATTCTGTGCTTAGTGTGTAGAAAACATGTTGATATTCAAGTAGCTGTCTAATGTGATTATTTTCTGTAAATATGCTTCTGTATATTGATAAAGAAATGGGAAAAATATCTGGAAGAAATAACGAATAAACTTTTGTTTAGATAGCATGTACAGAGCACTATAAAGGATGTTATCAAAATCATACACTTTAAAATCTTAGCTTGATTTCTGTTTTCTTTCTGCAGCTTTTCCATGATGATGATATTGTACCTGGTTGGGAAGGCAAAATAGTTGCTTGGGTTGAAGAAAACCATGGAGACAGTAGGTAGACTGATTCTCTCGCCAGATTTGGCTGATGTCTTTATTTTTAATCGCAAAAGGACAAGAGGACAACCACCAAAGAACAGAAAGATACCACTCAAGTGATCATGTCCTTGTTTGCCTTCAGTTGTTGTGCCAACTACCAATCGTGGACTGGAAAGAAGAGCCTAGTGCAAAAGTTGCCTAAGAACAGATGCCTTGTGCTGATGAAAATAGATTATTCATTGTAAAGCTGAATGACTTGTTAGTTGCTGTACTGATGTACAATTGTAATGCCATTATCATAAGCAATAAGTTGAATTTTGCTAACATCAGTATTGTGGAAAGCAACCTCAGTAGAATATTTGTTTGTTGCAACCTCAATGTTTGGGGTATATGAAGCTGTAAATTGTTATAGCTTAGCAGCAAATTCAATTCGGGTTATGACTTCTCCAGTTTTAAGTTGTATAATAACGTCAAATGATTTTTGTGACTAATCTATAAATATCACCTTAATCATTTGGGTGTTACATCAAAGACTTTTCAACTGAACGGTTTTGAGCATTAATGCTTGATTAAATATGACCTTTTTTGCTGACAGGTGGGATGACCTTACAGTAATGAAATGTGCCCCTTCTGCTTTGGGGTAGGACCTCTGATGAATTGCAGTTGTTTTCCTTATCTGCAGTAAGTGTGCCTTTGTTAAGAGTAGCATGCTTTGTGGTGTGGCCTTTTCTGCTTTCCAACTGCAGGAGATTGTTTGGAAATGAGAGGCATAGTTGATTTGGAGGAAGGAACAGTGAAATTCATTCGTAAGACAATTATACCAAAAGATTCTAACCAAGGTCAAGACAAAATATTTTCTTGATCTCTCTCAAAGACATTATTTTCATTCCTTAATAAAGATAAACCAAAGGCTACTATCTGCCTTGTTAAATTGATGTTCCTGATTTTTTTGTCAACTTAAAATGAAATCTTTGACTTGCAAGTTTAAATGGAAAGTACTGACTTCTCTCAGATCAATAAAAGAAATGTTGGGTGAGCATCAAGTTCCCCCTGCTGTCCTGTCACAGAATAGCTTCACTGGAGATTTGGCATTTATGAAGGCCATAAAAGCATTTAAAATAAGATTACAAGAAAGGTGTGGATTTACTAACCTTTAGTCTTGTGTATAATGAGGTCAATTTATTATTTGCAATTTGATTGCCCAGAATGAAAGGCATAATGAATGTGTGTTTGTTCTCCCTATAATGAAATTGAGCCATACACAAATATATTGGTCTGTGATACATTGGTTAGATAAACAATACAGGTTTCAAAATGTGTCACATACAGCAAGCGATACTGCCTTGATCTTTAAGGGCCAAGTGGAATTTTATTGATCTTATTTAGGATCAGATTTCTGCAAAACTAAATAATGAAAATTAGAAGTTAGATAAAGAAGAATTAGGATTTCTAGATTAAGATTTCTGGAAAAAGTGCAGTCTTTGAAAGATTTCTCTGTCTTGGTAATTCCATTCCATTAAAAAAAAATAAGAATTCATAATAATATCACAAATGTTTCAAGTATGATTGCTTTTTAAAGTCAGTATTCCTGTTTTTTAGGTTTTTTTTAATTGACCATTATGTGACTGATATACCACTGTTTGGAGATTTATAAAATGAACTCCAGAACTGAATATGGATGTAACTAATTTAGTTGTATCTGTTGGGAACTGGAACAGTAAGCTTTTTATAATTGGATATTTATCAAATTTGAATTATTTGAATTACTTTTTCACGATGGACTATTTGTAAAAAACAGGGTTGTATTGCCACAGTTTCGGGTATTATATATTCTGGCGCTATGGTCAAAAGACATCAATAGTACTAGACGTTTAGTGTAAGTGCCATAATAATTACTGCTGTGCAGTTTGTTTTAACGGAACTAAACATTTCAAATGATGCAGTGTATTTAGTTTATATCTATTATAAGAAACTGTTTTGTTATAAGCAAGATTATTTGATTTGCATAGACTCAATTGGTCCTTCCGATGGCGTCCAGAGAAAAAAAATAAAGTTTGTTATGATGAGGATTGACTATATAAAGATATTAGTGTTTTAAAAAAAGACTGCATTTTCAATAAAATATGTACGAAGTTCCTTTGTTATGCAGGGATTTTATTCTCTCTGTTTTATCCTGAAAAAAGCCCTTATCTCTCAATTGTAAACAGTTATTGTGTTAAAGCTGAAGATTATATCTATAGAGTTGTTGCATTTTTACATATAGTTGCACACTATTTACAGCACAGAAGTGAGCCATTCAACCCAAGGGGCCTATGTTTTTATTAATGCTGCACATGAGCTTCCTGTCATCCAACATTAGCTGTTAGTGTAACTTTTGATTCCTTTCTCCCTCGTGTTCTTATCTAGCATCCCCTTAAATATATATTATTTATAATTGTCTCAACAATTCCATGTGGCAAGTTTCACATCCTAACTACTGAGTAACGAAGCCTCTCTTAAATTCCTTATTAGATTTATGAGTGACTATCTTGTACATATGACCCCTAATTTTGGATTCCCTCAAGCAGGAACATCATAATTAAGTGATCATTGCTGTTATTGGAAGTGATGTTGCTGTTTTGTACTTGAACTGAAATGAATCAGCACACATCTCTTGATAGATTGTTGGAGTGATATAGATAGAATATCTGTGTTGAGGAAAATTGGAAAACAAAAAAAGTTTGGACTGATTCCAATTCATGGGAGGGGAATGACGATCTTGCAGTTAGAATCAGAATCCTAGCAGTTGCGCAATGCTACTGGTCAACTGCAAAACCATTTACAGGCAAAGACCAAAGCCTACTGGCCAGAGAGAATTTAAGTTGAGTAATGCAAAGGCGCTGCATCAACAATAGAAATTGCAAGATATGCTCAGGAAGAGGGAGGGATGGCACCAGATCTGGAAATATGCCATCTTGTAAAATAATGAAGTATTTGAAGCACTACTCAAGGTTTCGCAGAATACTAACACCATGCACTGCCAAGTTGAACCTCCGACAAGAGACTTGAGTCAAGAGGTAAAGCATTGAACTTCTAAGTTGAAATAAAAAGAATGACTTCTATTTTAAGTACCAGGTAACACTCTGACTGTTGGGGAATTGACCCAATGGTAAGTTTCACTGGTTGTATTATCGTGTATATCAAAACTGGCCCTATCATTACAAGTCATGATCAGTATTTTTGTATAAAAGAGTCATACAGGGAGGTTAGGACAAACTTTGGAGCATACTAAAGGTAACTGGATGTTCACAGGGGCCAGAGAAGCCACCTCAGGGGCTTTTGTGCCTCTGGTCAGATGGAAGATTAGATACCAAAATGAACCATATAGGTGAGACAAGGTAGTGTTGAAGGATGGATATAGTTGACTGCTTTGAGACTGGAGCAGCTAATCAGGACAGAAAGAGAGAATGCACCATTGTTACAGTCACATAGAGTGTCAACACTAATCTTGTCAAGGGCAGTTAATATGATGACTGTAATGCTAAAGGAACTCTTAAAAAAGGATGTGAAGATGAGTGTACAGCATGCAATGCAATGATGACTAGATAATTTGTTGCTAGGGTGGCACGGTGGCTCAGTGGTCAGCACTGCTGCCTAATAGTGCCAGACACCTGGGTTTGATTCTAGCCTCAGGCGACTGTGCAAACTCCACACAGACATTCTCACCATGTCTGCGTGGGTTTCCTCCAGGTGCTCCAGTTTCAGTCCATAGTCCAAAGATGTGCAGGTTAGGTAGACTAGCCATGCTAAATTGCCCATAGCGTCCAGGGGTGTGCAGGCTGAGTGGATTAGCCATGGGAAATGCAGGGTTATGGGGACAGGGTAAGTGGTGGGATGGTCTTCAGAGGGGTGGTGTGGACTCAATAGGCTTAATAGCCTGCTTCCACACTAGTGATTATATGATTCTCTGAACTCCCATCAAAAGTTATTGCAATAATAAAAGCTTGTGGTGTAAGGGCTAGTACACTGACATAGATAGAAGGTTGGTTGAATGACTTGGCTGGTTGAATGAATTGACGAAGATATAATTGCCAAATTTACTAATGTCACAACATAGCTTGAAGCAAGTCATGAGGAAAGCTAACAGAGTTGTATCACTTGTCACAAGGGGAATTAAATACAAAAGAATCATGATTCTATTATTCTATATTGATTTGAGGAATAAATATTAGTCAGGACAACTGGGTGATTTCCCTGTAGTACAGTTCCAGGAACCTTTTTAGATGTGAAGACCTGTACTCCTAAACTAGCTATGCTTTTAGCTGAATCATCCCTGTACACCTACAACTGTGGAAAATCACGCAGTTGTGCCTTGTCTGTAAAACGTGGACAAATCCAACTGTGTTAATTAAAGTCCTATTGACCAATGTCTAACTTCAGTAACGAGATAGAAGAAATTATCAGTAATGCTGGAAAGTAATACTTGCCAATAACTTAGTCAGCAATGCATGACCACCCCACACCAGCCCTTATTGCAGCCTTGAACCAAATATGGACACATACCTGAATTCTAGGAGTGGGGTGAGAGCAGTATCAAGGCAGTATTCAGGTCTGGCATCACGGCATAGTGTTTTAACTGTCTTGTGGAAGTGTGAAGGAAGAATGCCAATGGTAGAATTATAGCTGGCAAAAAGGAATACGGTTATGGCTGTTAGTGGCCAATCATTTGTGCCTTAAGACTTCATTACAGAAGTTCCTTACAGTAGATATTTCTAAACAACCTGTTCAGAAATGTTATGACACACCTTTGAACCAGGTTGGACTTGAACATAGGCCTCCTGGTCTGGTGGTAGGACAGTATCACTTCAAGAACCCTCTTCTTAGAATAGGTATTTTCTAATCAACTTGTTCAGAGATGTAATTACACACCTCTGGAACAGGTATGACTTGAATCCCGGCTTCCTGATTGAGAGGTAGGGGCACTAAGCGTGCCTTAAGACCCTTAAAAGATTTCAAACAACTTGCCCAGGCATGTTATCATTATTTAAATAAAAACAATGTGGAAAGGTATAAGGAAAAAGCAGGATCTTCGCAACAGATAATGACGGTCATTTGAAGAGCTAGTGTAGTGACGAGGGGCTAAATGGTCTCTCCTGCACTGAAACACTGCGTGATTCTGCGAAGGGAATGGGTAATGATGGTACTTTGGACAGCTGAGGCAGTCACGACGGGCTGAACGGCCTGCGGTGTACTGAGGTGCCACATGATCCTGTGAAGGGTAAGGACGATGCCAATGGAACCGGAAGTGAGTCTCCGTGATGTCACATCCGTTTTACGACTGTGGCCCTTGCCGTACGGCAGAGGTCATTGAGGAGACGCCGATCCTGTCCGTCCCTCTCCCCAGCTCAATTCTCCGGCATTGACATGCTCCGTCAGGCTGCTAGGCTCAGGCCGTGCGTCCGGCTGAAGCCCGGCTCCCGGCCCGAGCGCCGGCCGGCGATTGCGGGGCTCGGTTTCGGGCCGCCTCCTTCTCGCTGCTGGGCCTCGCTCACCGCCTGCGGGAGGCAGGGCCCCCGGTCCCAGCACTTTCTGCTGCCCAAGAGCGCGTTACCGGTCACGGCCACAGCCAGGAGATGGTACAGCCTCCCCCCACATCAGTTGGTGAGCAACATTATGGGAATGAGGAGAGCCAGAGCAGGATGTCGACTCTTATCAAGGGCAAGAATCCTAGAGCACAGAGGTGGCAGCCTTTTGATTCCAGTTCCTTCGTCAGCTCCTGAGGCTTTTCCTGTTCTATCTGCAGCCATATGTTCTCCACTGATTGCCAAGATCTGGGTTCCAGCCCCAGAAATGCCAAGGCTGTTTGTCACTCCAGCACAGTGGACCGAGGGGCTGCTGCACTGCCTTTTGGATGAGATGCTGAAACTGAGGCTCCACCTTCCCTTGGATAGATGTTAAAAAATCCAGCAGTGCTATGTTCGGCAGCCGCTGCCCTGGAATGGTTGCCCATTCTGTCAATTCGCGCATGTGAAGTTTCCCCTGTGATGAGCGGAGAGAGGGTGGATGGAGGTGCTGAGAGTTCAGGAAAGGGAATGGTGAATGGAGGTAGACAACAAGTGTAGAGTAATAATGTCAACAGTGGAATGAGTTGGTGCTGACTGGGTGCGTGCACCTGTCCCTGTATGGTGGCAGGGGTTGGAGTATTTTAAGAACTGGTGATTTGTCCCCAGTGCCCCTGATGAATGTTTATTCCTAAAATTGCTATCACAGCAGATTACTTAGTTATTGTAGTTGTGAGCGTTTGCTGTGTATAAATTGGCTGCCTCTATTCTGACAACAGTAACTTTAAAAAGTATTTTGTTAGCTGTAAGGAAGTTTGAGTTAGTGGCTGTGAAAACTGCTGTATTAATTCATAAACTGCAATAATGTTTGGGTCAGTTTCTGCTATTCTGTAGTTCATTATTTTGAGTTGTTGGGTGCCTTGCATATTTTGATGTGTTTATGAAGTAATTTATTGTTGCCACATCTGATTCTCTCTCTTCCTGGTAAAACAAGTTCAGTTCTGTGTGTTGTGAGTTATTGCTTTGTGTACTACAGTGGATTCTGGAGAATATCTAGAAATCCCTTGGCTTATAATCATAACTTGAGGCATCTGCATCAAAATTATCAAATCATCTGGCATAGTAGTAGAATTTAGATTTTTTTTTTAGTGAAATCTAAGATGGTTGTGCTTGTATGCTGATTGGTAATAACAGATGAGTAGCCTGCCTGTGTTAGTGTTTGCTGACACAGGTCATGGGAAGGAGTTTGGACAAAATAAGTGTCAAATTGAAGTAGGAGTGAAACATCTGCATTGTTGAGTTGTATTGATTTTGGATTCTGCATTTTTCTAACTATAGCAAGTTAAGACCAGTTTTATTGAAATACAATACTGAGAATGATTTTTGTAATTGCTGTTACTGTACTGTGCGACAGCATGCCTAGCTTAATTTGGTCACAACTCTAATTGGTCAGAGTTGAGAGTTATAGTCAAAGTTGCATTGTATGCTGAATGCCCAGTTTGTTACTGTTCAGGTTTTGAACAGGTTAGCTGAAAGTTTCTTGACCAAGTATCTGTGTTTTCAGAGAAATGTGTCCTGTTTACTGATCTGATGCGATGTTCTAAAAGCAAGTTGATGTATTTCCAGCCATCCTGAAATCTATAAATCTCTTAATCTGCTGTGAAACCCCTGATTGATGTACAAAATCTTTTGAACTCATTACAGTATTTATCGGTTACCATTTCTTTCGTTTCTGCTGTAATTTTTGTCATGACAACTAAATTTGGACTAAGGATCAAATAATGGCCTCATTAAAATAATGATATTTTCTCAAAGATGCTCTTTAATCAGTTACAGAAGTGTTGTGTAACTCATCATTATTTTATTTATAGGTGGCATTGCCTGCTCTGTCTCCCACAATGCAAATGGGAACTATAGCCCGGTGGGAGAAGAAGGAAGGTGATAAAATTAATGAGGGAGATTTAATAGCAGAGGTATGTGCAGTTAACACCCTGTTTTGTCAACATGCATTAAAGAACTTTTAACAAGTATATATAAATGATTTGAATGAGAATATAAGAGGCATGGTTAGAATGTTTGCAGATGATGCCAGAATTGGTGGTATAGTGGACAGTGAAGAAGGTTATCCCAGATTACAAAGAGATTGTGATCAATTGGATCACAGTGCTGAGGAGTGGTAGATGGAGTTTAATGCGAGATATTGCATTTTGGTAATACAAACAAACAGGACTTATGCAATTAATGGTAGGACCCTAGGTGGTGGTGTAGAACAGAGACCTAGGGGTTCAGGTACATACTACTTTGAAACTTGCATCACAGGTGAACAGGGCAGTTAAGAAGGCGTTTAGCCCGCTCGCCATCATTGCTCAGACCTTTGAGTATAGGAGTTGGGAAATCATTGCTGGGGGTTGCACAGGACGTTGGTGAGGCCTCTTCTGGAGTTCTGTGTGCATTTCTGGTTGCCCTGTTATAGGAATGATATTATTAAATTGGAAGGGGTTCAGAAAAGATTTACCAGGATTTTGCCAGGAATGGAGGGTTTGAGATATGAAAACAGACTAATGAAAATAGTCCCCTTTCCAGAGCGTAGGAGGTTGAGAGGTGACCTTATTAAAGTTTATAAAATCATGAGGGGCCTAGATAAAGTGAATGACTAGGGTCTTTTCCTAGGCTGGGAGAGTTCAAAACTAGGGGGCATATTTTAAAAATGAGAAGAGAAAGTTAAAAAGGACATGCGTGATAACAACATTTTTTTTACACAGTGCTTCATGTGTGGAATGAACTTCTAGAGAAAGTGATGGATGCAGGTACAGTTACAATGTTTAAAAGGTATTTGGATAAGTTCATTCAAAGGAAGTGTTTGGAGGGATATGGGCCAAGTGCAGGCAGGTGGGACTAGTTTAGTTTGGGATTATATTTGGCGTAGACAGGTTGGACTGAAGCGTCTGTTTCTGTGCGGAATGACTCTGATTCTATAAGTAAAAGCTCAATAAAAACTGCCACTGTTTTGTGATGTTGTGAGTGCATCCAAGTAATCTTTTATATTGCTTTTATACTGCTGCTGTGTTGGTTTTGATTCTAGAATTCAAATACTTATTCCCTGACACATTATCCTTGTGGTAGAAGTGTTCACACATAAAAGATTGGGTCCACTAGCTCTGCCAATAATATAACTGGAGAGCTAAGTCAATGATGTCTATTTTATGCAATTTAAATTAACCACTTTTATGACAGCACTTGTTTACGATACTGACCACTTTCCTGGGTGCAAATCAATTTGATGTTGTGTCCACTTCCTGTGTTGGCTTTTTTTTTGTTGAGATGGGTAGCAATATCAAGATATGTTTTTCTTCATGCTTTGCTCATGCGTGCCCTGTATCTTTTCTAATAATGTGGCCCATATCAAGACTATTTTCCATTGTAAAATAGTTACTTGTGTATTTTAAGAAAATTAATTCAGTATGTTTTTACATCTAATTAGTAGTTAGGTCTTATATTTTATAAGATAATCAAGTTCTGGGTTCAGGCCTCGCTCTAGAGATGTCAGAAAGTGCTGAGGCAATGCTGCACTCTTGCATGTTGTCTTTTGAATGAGACCTTTTTATGCAAGACTGTCATCTCTGATTGAAGTTAAAAAATCTTGTGGCACTATTTGAAGGTGAACTGCGGCATTCTCATAGTACTTACATTAGAAATTTCAGATTTGCCCAGCTTTTTACTAATTGAATTCTAATCTCCATCTATTATAGTGAGATTTGAACCCATGTCCACGGATCATTAGTATACATCCCTGGATTTCTAATCAGTGACAATGCTGCTGCACCACTATACCATCACCACACCATACCACCCCTGCCCCCGGCCAAAAAAAAGAAAAATGTAGGTGTTGTTTTGTTTTAAGTGAGCTTCCAGAAAGGTAGGGGAATCTAAAACTAGAGGGCATAGGTTTAAGGTGAGAGGGGAAAGATTTAAAATCGACGTAAGAGCAACTTTTTCAGGCAGAGGGTGGTGCATGTACGGAATGAGCTGCCAGAGAAAATGATGGAGGTGGGTGCAATTACTGCATTTAAAAGGCATCTGGATGGGTAAATGAATAGGAAGGGTTTAGAGGGGTATGTGCCAAATGCTGGCAAATGGGACTAGATCAGTTTAGGATATCTAGGCAACTTGGACTGAAGGGTCTGTATCTGTACTGTATAACTTTGACTTACCTCTTATTCACTTCTTTTGGTTGTGCTGAGTGTCTGGTCATTGTTTTGTGTGTCAGCCTTTGTTGAGTTAAAATTGACTGTTGCCTTTGCTTGAGTGATGATGGTAATTGTCTTTGATTTTCTGAATTGTTCTTAGATGTCATGAAGGTGTGAAAGATGTCACATAGATGCCAATTTGTTATTTTGAATAAAAGCTCAGTTATTTTTAATTCAACAGGTTGCACAGTTTTCAGTGACATTCACTACACAACCAGGATTAAGATATTGTCGTAATCTATTTATATAATAAGGAACTGTACATGCATTTAAAAATTGCTTTTTTGTATTTTTAATGTAATAGTGTCCACAGTCATAATAAAATGTCTATGGATATTATTCTGGTGACTCATTATTTCATTACTGGGGACATTTTTACTTTGTACAGGTGAGAATAAATAAAGCTGGCTTTCTTTATAAGTCAAAGAGAGAGTAACATGGAAATGACCCACCTGGATTAAGACAACATTTCACGTACAAAATATTATGATATACAATCATTAGGTAAAAGAAGCTCTTATAGGAGTTTAAAAGAATGAGCTTGCTGGGGAATGGCATCAATCTATTAAATTAACAAATAAAATGCCCACTCCTTGTCACTGAGTGGTTTATCAGAATGTAATAGTAGGCAGGCCAAAAGTTTATGGAAGATTTCAAGCAGTGCTTGTACCATTTAAAGTTTGGAACTATTATGGAATGTAAAAACTGAGGTCAGGTCGGTGCCAACAAGTTAAGTATTAATAGGCTTCTGGGCTTGGGAGTCAACAGCTTTCTACAGAAAGGCTGGTGTACACCAACAGCAATCTTAAAGATGTCCAGAGTTGATTTTGAGCATAAAGTGGCAATGTTTTTCAAGACTATTGTGTTCCTGTTTTCTTTCTATGTTAAAATATATCTGTATTTTCTCAAAAGGTGGAAACGGACAAGGCAACTGTGGGCTTTGAGAGTCTGGAAGAATGTTATATGGCGAAAATTCTAATGCCAGCTGGAACACGAGATGTGCCACTTGGTGCGATCATCTGCATCACAGTTGACAAGTGAGCATGAGGATAGTTCTAAAAAACGTTCCACCCTTCTTGTGTCAGTATGTGGTTTCTTGAATCCTCTCGTGTGATTTTTCTTTGTTCAATAGAATATTCTTTATACGCCATGTTCAAATCCACACATCTGGTTACAGTTCTGATATATGTTTACCGCTTTAAGTAAAGGGTAAATTCTAGATAGTATTAAGAATAAATGATACTTAAAGGCTTCTATTCTCCTCACTTTAGACTTCTCAAATTTTCCTGTTTTGAAAGGATCTTAGTCTCCACTAATTACAGCAGTTCTTAGGAGTTTCACGGGGATAGCCCTACATAATTCCCCTTGACATATCTGTTCAGGAAGAGCTGACTGTTCTATCTTGCATGTAAAAACACAGTTGAAACTGGAAGCAAGACGTATGAGGACTTATGCATTCAGGGCCTTATAATAACACTCCAATTCCATTGTATTCTCTCACGAATCTTCATTGTTTCTATTCTGTGAAGCACCTTGCAGAAGTTTATTATTTTAAAAATGCAGTGAAAATACAAATGTTGATCTAATGATGACAATGTTTCCCTGTTATATACAAATGAATTTCTTGACTATCGTCCAATCGCATGGTACCATGTTGATGTCACGCAATACCTGCTTCAAAATCGCAAAGCAGAAACTAAATATTAAGAAGCATAACAAGCTGTTCCAGCAATAGGAGTGTAGTCAAAGAATATTGTCATTTGAGATTGTTCAGTCATGGCTATCAGAATTGAGAATAAAACTGGCGTTTTTTGACATAATATTTGTGTCTCTATTAGCACAGACTAAGCAGCAAGTTTAGTCCATTTTTAACAGTTGACAGAAAGTAATTACACTTTTATAATTAGTGTGTATTAAAAGGACAAAACAGAAGCTGCACAAAACAAAGTTTGACTATTGAAGGTACCTCAAACTCCTAATTGATCCATTACATTGTGCATAAAGAACATTTGAAATGGGGATATGTAATTTTATGAAAATGTACAATTTTCAAATTTGACCTTGTGATTTATTCTATTTTATGACATCATTAAATCACAAAATTATTCTTTAAAATGTTTTTAACGTTAAAGTGGCTGCAGTAACTTTGATTTTGTGGTCCAGTAAGCTGTGCACTTTCTATTCTTGAACATCCTCACAAGAAGAAAATCGAAAGGTGAATTTCACGCTGAGTCAACTGATCTCATTCGTAGCAGCTGTTGAGTAGCTACAATTAACTTCAGTGCAAACTGATAAGCAGGACATGAGCCAGGGTTCCTGTTCCTAATAGTTAAGCTGTGACATTGACATGTATGAGTTAATGTATGTTAATGTATGAGTGTTTGTTGGATGAGAAGAGGTTTGGATACAAATCTTTGTCATAACTTCAGGTGGATGTTGGGAAAACTAAAGCCGTCCACCACAAATTACAAATTGTCCCAACTTCATTTCCATGTAAGGGGCAGACAATTCCTTGGCTTGACATTGGGTCTTAAAGATGGCACTTCCACATGCAGCGTTCCCTCAGAACTACAGGCAGTGTCAACCTGGATTTGGTGCTAAGTCCTGGACAAGAATTCGAGTCCGTATCCTTCTGACTTGGCTGGCACTTTTACTGAGTCCAGGCTGAAAACCCAAATCTGTACGTTGGGAATTGCCATGGTGACTTGGAGTCTGCTTGTTTGCCCTGAGTTGAAGGAGAATTTCCCAAAAGTTTCTTTTCATAAATTGGCCAATGGTGATTTTGTTTGAAGCCATTTCCATGTCGTCATGTAATGGCGAAGGGTCAGAAATTGAATTGTAAGAACCTATACCATTCTGAATCGGTCAGGCTTGATTGGTCACACATGGTTATGCATCTTTGTTGACCTCTGACTGCACTGTTTGTTTAAGTCATACTGCTAGTAAATTATGACAAAGTGTAAACATCTTTCTCTGTCACTTGTTGTTTAGACCTGAGGATATTGAAGCTTTTAAGGATTACACACCAGAGGCAGCAGCAGCTTCTGGCCCACCACCCCCAGCAGCTGCTGCAACCCCTTCCACAACCTCCTCTCCACCCAAAGCTCCAGGCAGTTCTTATCCTCCCCACCTGAAGGTGAGCAAAAAGAAAATGGAAATGTGAGTAGTTCTTCTTAGTTTTTTTTCCATCTTACATGAGATATGGGTATCACTGGCAATTCTGGCATTTGTTGCCCATCCCTAATTGCCCCTGAGCTGATTTCGAGGACAGCTAAGAGTGGATCTGGAATAGCAATTAGGCCAGACTAGGTGAGGATGAAAGGATATTAGTGAACCCAGGTGGGTGTTATGGTCGTCAGCAATGGTTACCTGGTCGCTGTTAGATTAACATTCTTAAATTCCAGATTTTTATGAATTCAAGTTTCACAATCTGCCACAGTGGAATTTGAACCAGGGTCCACAAGCCCCATCCATGTCCCCGGAATGGAAATAAAAACCAAATTTCCTTTCTCAACAGAAAACTGTCGTCTTAAATCTGTTTCTCTTGACATTCTCAGCTTGACTCCAACACACGTGTGAGGAGCTCATGGACTTCTTTCTCATTAAAATTGAGACCATTTGATCAGCTACTTCTGCTTTTCATTCTCTAGTCTACCTGACCAAGCCTTAAGGTTTCTTCTTGCGCTTTTTCTGAACTTGTGACTTTCTCTCTTTCATATCCTCCATGTGCTTTTTCCAAGCTTATCTTGCCTATAGACTGTCTTCCTATTAGACTACTGATCACCAACCTTTTCTTCCTGGATCTGACTTTAGTTGATAGTGTGAGTGGTACTGTTTTGGTACCTCCCAAAAAAAAATCCCTTCTCCCTCCATCCTTGCAAACTACTGGTCCGTCTCCACGCTTCCCTTCCTTTCCGCGATCCTTGAACACATTGGCATCTTTTGAATTTATCTGTTTGCATCCCGTAATTCATGTTCCTGTCCCTACAACAACACTAAAACTGTTCTTTCTCAAAGTCTTTGCATTCCATCCAACTGTGATCAACGTAAACTATCTCTTCTTGTAACTATTGACCTTTTTGTAGCCTTTGATGTGATTGCTCACACCATTCTCCTCTTCCAGTTAGTTGGGGCAGTGCATACGTGTGTGCAATCTGTTATCTCTGGTGTCTCCCAAGGATCTATCCCTAACCCCTTCGGTTTTACCATGCCAGTACCACTTGATTTTTTTCACTAAGTAAATGACCCGACTGCTTATCTAACATTGGTACTGGATGAGCACAACATTCTTCCAAAGAAATACTTGGAGGACTGAGGACCTTGGATCTCATGTTCGCATCTCGGTGCTGGTCTGTATGCACCAATTGCATCCCCCTACCTGGCAACTGTCTGAGACTGAACTGGACAACTTGGGAGTAGCAACAGTATAGTCATATCTAACCCTAAAATGAGCTCTCGTCCATATTTCATGCTTTGTCTAAGATTACTTATTTCCAATTCTGAATCATTTCCTGGTTCCTATCTCAGCTCATTTACTGTTGAAACCCTTATTCTCTCCTTTGTTATCTTAAAACTTGAATATTCTACTATGTTTCTGGTTGGTCCCCCATGTTGTACACTGTACAAACACAGTTTTCATCTAAAAGTCTGCTGTCCATGTCCTTACCTACATCAAGCCCTGTTCACTCATTGTTCCTCTGCAGTTAAGCAGCTTCTAAAGTTTTCATTCTTGTATTCAGATCTTTTTAGGGCCTCAACCCAACCTGTCACTGCAAGCTCCTCCAGCTCCACAACCTTCAGACATCTGAACTCCTCCAATCCTGGTGTTTTGAACAGTGCAAATCTTAATTGCTTCACCATTGATAGCTGTGCCTCAGCTGCTAAAACCCTAACCTTTGAAATTCTGTCCATGAACCACTCTGTCTCTCCTGCTTTAAGATGTTCTATTTATTGTATATCTTCAAACAGACTTTTGATCATCTGCTGTAATATCTCCTAATGTAGGCTGCTGTCAAATTTTGTTTCATAAAACTCCTATGAAGCACTGCCTTAAAGAATCTTTATAAATAGAGGTTGCTGTTGGACTGTCTGGGAAACTAACCAGTTTTTCTTATTGAAGGTTGATGTGTTTGTGACGTAGCTCTAAAACCATGGAAAACACTTCACTCTGCGTGTTAGTTGCCTGGATTATAACATTCTTGGAGCAAATGGGTCTTTTTGGAAGGCTGTTGAAATGGGAATAGTACGTAAGGGAACAGTGGTGTATGTAATATTTTGATGCGTAAATTTTTTGATCTATCCTGTCCCTAGTGTTGGTGGCAGAATGTATTCTGACTGAATTGAATGCAGAATAGGAAGTGAAAGAAACAAAATCTGGCAGGTCCGGAAACCTATAATTTAAATTCTAATGAGATAACAAGGTGTAGAGCTGGATGAACACAGCAGGCCAGGCAGCATCAGAGGAGCAGGAAAGCTGACATTTCGGGTCTGGACCCTTCTTCAGAAATGCTTTCCTGCTCCTCTGATGCTGCCAGGCCTGCTGTGTTCATCCAGCTCTACACCTTGTTATCTCAGATTCTCCAGCATCGGCAGTTCCTACTATCTCCCATTTAAATTCCAGTTTTGTTTTGTATAGCCTTTTCAATCGCACTTAATCTGAACTTTGTGACTTCCAATTAAATTTGACCTTTTCAGTCAGTTTACAAAATTGCTTGGTGAATTTGATCTGCGCAACACTGCTTTGTCTTAATCCACAAGTGAAAATGTCCAGCTTTGTGATGATGTAAAGTCAAAATACACTTTCTGTTTGCAGATTGCCCTACCTGCTCTTTCTCCAACAATGACAGTTGGTACTATTCAACGATGGGAGAAGAAGGTGGGCGAAAAGTTGCGTGAAGGCGACCTTATAGCTGAGATTGAAACAGATAAAGCAACAATAGGTATGCATCGGCTGAGAGAAACAATACAAAACTTCACTTGTGTACACTGAGCAACATTTTTAAAAGCAGTAAATGTAGGCACTGGGTTTATGGGGACCTGAATTCTAATATTTTTCACTGTGGCTTAAAGTAGTTGCAGACATTACACTGTGGCCATATGCGGGGTGATTATAGTTGGTTTGTCTTTATGGCCACTTGGGATGGCTTTGAGTAGGGTAACTCTTGATGTTAAGCAGATTTATAATTTGACATTGTAGTAATTGACTCTTTTCAACTTTTTCACAAAGTTACGCAACCTTTCCAAACTTGTGTCCAAAATGAGCAGTGCATGAGAAAAATATGATAAAAATTTAAGTAATCGTGTTTCCAGAAAAGAGAGTTTAGAGTTTTCACTAGTTTCCCTAGTTTGTGCAAGTTAGGATGCCCTTTAGCCAAATGACCAACTAGTGTGACACTTAATAGAAACAGCCAACAGGAATAAGAAATTATGAAAGTACTATTTGATAAGTTATCCATTGCGTCTCTTAGGTTTTGAAGTAATGGAAGAAGGTTATTTGGCCAAGATTCTGATACCTGAGGGTACCCGGGATGTTCCTCTTGGGACAACGCTGTGCATCATTGTAGAAAAGGATTCGGACATTTCAGCATTTGCTGATTATGTGGAAACAGGAGTTGCTGATATTAAGCCTCAACCACCACCTCCAATTCCAGTAAGAAACTATATCATATCTGCAAATCTGCAGAAATTATACATGGAACCTCAAATCTTTTCAATAGAACAGGATTTTCTCTCACCTATCATGCTGAATCTCTATTAACCATGCACTTGCAATATTTTGATTTAATGAGTGACTGGATTATAATTTGTTTCTAACTTCTGAAATTTACTGCAGCCTGCCTCTGTTGCGCAACAGCCTGCGGCAGCACCAAGTGTATCTCCACCAGTCAAACCCAGAGATCCCAAAAGTCGGGTCTTTGCTAGTCCTTTGGCAAAGAAACTAGCAGCTGATAAGGGCATTGATCTCAAACAAGTGAAAGGTAAGCTGCATGAAAATTGAAATATGGTTGGTTAGCTAACTGCATTGGGGTTGATGGATCTATGTTCATCCTTAGGGGATATTTTGTTGGCTTGATTCAGTCAGTAGGATTTTTGTTTCTGAATCAGAAGTTTGTGGATTCAGAGCCACTCCGTTATTTTTAGCTTACATGTTCAGGGTAGTCTTGCGTTGTCAAAGGCTTCATTTTACAAAGAGTGTTAAGGTCATACCTGGTTGCTCAAGGGAAAAAAATAAAAGCTTCTGTGGCATTCTTGACATGTGCAGGGGATTCTAGCATCTTGATTTGCAATCGTCAGCAAACACTGCCAAAAGCAAATTCATTTCCTGCTTGTTGGCCTTTGCTGTGTGTAAAATGTCTGCTCTGTTCAGCTGTGCGGTAGTCATTGTCCATCAAAACAGTTAATTTTGTGTGAAGAAGCAGAGATAGTGGTGTAATAGTAATGTCACAGGATTACTAAGTGTTATTTTGGCAAGCTTGCGATACATACGAGATATGAGATACATTGAGGTATAAATGATTTTCTTTAATCCATTAAGATTTTGACATAAATTCTTTCTCAAAATAAACTGATTTGCTGTTATGATACAGTAATCTACTAATCACTTCTGAATGAAATTCCCATTGGAGAATTATTCAGGTAAAACACAGTTGAAATATATTGTCATGAATTTAACGCCAAGGATGCATAAAAGCTTAGCCCTCTTGAAAATGGCATTGAAGTGATAGCTGATATAGCTGATGTTTGTCTCTGAATTGTTGCATTTTCTTTACTTAGGTACTGGACCCGATGGTCAAATCAGGAAAAAAGACATTGACTCATTTGTGCCTTCAAAGGTTGTCCCAGTAAGTTTGTTTAAAATAACTCTAAATAATGTGGCAAATCAACCGACTTTTGGATGTGAGATTATATAAATGAAAAGTTTTTAGTTTTATAGTTATATAAAAAGAAAAGTTTATAGGCTGCAGCAGTATTTCATCACAAACAGATTGCTCAGACAATGACAAACTTTTGACTCACTAGAATTAAGTCTCTGGAAACTCTGATGGAAAAGTGAATTGAATACAATGAAGTTTCAATTTCAAGGTGGAAATATTGCTGTAGTTTGATTCTAATCCTAGAACAGTAAAATATTTGCAAATTGGATTCCAGTTTGAGAGTTCATATTTGCTAAGTGGATGCAGGTGTCTACTTGTGTCTACTCTGCCATTTGATGGGATAATGATAAAATTAGAATCATAAAGAATCATAGAATCCCTACAGTGTGAAAACAGGCCATTCGGCCCAACAACTCGACACCACCCCTTCGAAGAGCATCCCACCCCAGACCCATTCCCCTAACCCTGCATTTCCCATGTCTAACCCACCCAACCTAAACATCCCTGGGCACTATGGGCAATTTAGCATGGCCAATCCACCTACCCTGCACATCTTTGGACTGCGGGAGGAAACCCACGCAGACACGGGGAGAACGTGCACACTCCACACGGACAGTCACTCGAGGCTGGAATTGAACCTGGATCCCTGGCGCTGTGAGGCAGCAGTGCTAACCACTGAGCCACCATGCCGCTCCATTGCAGCATTCTTTAATTTCCAGTTCATTGCTTCAGCAAAGTGATGTTTACTGTGCTATATTACATTCAGTGCCATCATCCAAGTCATTAATGTGTATTGTAGCATTGTGGTAGTATTACTGGGTAAGTATTTCAATGGCTTGGTCAAATGTTCTGGACATATAAATACAAAGCCTGCTGCAACAATTGGCATTTTAAGTTCAACTAATTAGTAAATCTGGAATAAAATAATACCATAATTAATAATCACGAGCTACTGGACTGTTGAAAGAAAGTATGAATTGTTGCCCGGTTCCAGATACAAAGCATCGTTCTTGATACTTGACTGCCTTTTGAAATGATGTAGCAAGCCACTCGTTGCTTCAGCCTGCTTCAATTGCACTTTAAATGCGCCTACAGCGCACACTGGCTGTTCAAGAAGGAGGCTAACACTATTTTCTTAACTATCATATTCATATAATCACAAAGGCGTTCAGCACAGAAAATGGCCTTTTGGCCGATTGAGTGAGTCTGCCAGTCAAAAACAAGCACCTACCTATTCTAATCCCATTTTCCAGCACTTAGCATCGCAAGTGCATATCTAAATACTACTTAAATATTATGAGGGTATCTGCCTGTACCACCCATACTTTTCAGATTCCCATCACATTCTGGATGAAAACATTGTTCCTCACATCCCCTCTAAACCTGCTCCTTACCTTAAATATATTGATTCCCCACCAAAGGGAATAAGTTCCTTCCTGTCTACCCTATCAATTTCCCCTCATAATGATGTAACTCCTCTGCTACAGGGAAAACAATCCCCATCTATTCAATCTTATTTGACAGCTAAAACTCTCCAGTTCACGCAACACCCTGGTAACTTTCCTCCGCACTTCTCCAGTGCAATCACATCCCTCCTTTAATGCGGGTTCCAGATATTAAAGAATGGCAAGAAATCTTGGCCTTTCAGGTCTGAAGGTCAAATGATACAAAAGAAGTTGTGCATTTTTCTGTCAGGTGTTTGCATACTAAATACCACTGACATATTTCCTGTGAAATTGCTCTGAGTGACACGATATGACACATATTTTGCAAGTGTCGTACACAGAAATCATGAGTGATCAGAAGAGGCGAAGTGTAGAATAAGGAAAGACTTGTAACCTTTTTAGTGACAGGTTTTTTATTGAATTTTTAAGCGATCATTTCAAAAGTGTAGAATTGAAGTGTGACACACAAGAATAATTGTGTAGATTTTAGCTGCCTTCTGTAATATGTAATGTCACATGACCTAACATAATTTTCAATTTTTTTTATAGACTCCCACTCCAGCTGCTCCTGGGGTAGCGCCAGTACCCACTGGAACATTCACAGATATTCCTCTCTCCAATATACGAAAGGCAATGTACAATTAATAAAATTGCTACTGGTTAGATTGTTAAATGGAGACAACAAATATGTCTCATTGCATTTTCCATTCACTGACTCCTTTATGGTTTACCATTAGGTTATCGCCCAGCGTCTTATGCAGTCCAAGCAGACTATCCCCCATTATTACCTATCTATAGATGTCAACATGGATAATATTCTGGAACTTAGAAAGCAGTTGAATGAGGTATGAGTGATTTTGTATAAATAATTTTGTGATATGTTTATCCATGGTCGATTATTAGCAGCTCCTAGCTGTAACACCTACCATTTTTATCTGAAAGAGTGGGGTGGAGAAGAGAGAGAGTGGTGTCCTGCTAAGGCTACTGCTGTCATTGCTGTTCCTTACCCTCACAACAGTGTCGCTCTAATCAGATACTCCACCATTTCCCTAGCATTCTCTGATGCTGGGCCTCCATGTTGCTATTGCAAAACACTTGTATTACATGAAGAAGAGAATTCTGCTTAAAACGTATTGGCATAGCAGACTCTCAGTCCAGTCATCCACGTTTGGACTTAACAAGTTACAGGCAGTGAGGACCTGCTGATTAGTTGAAAGCTGTTCCTTGTATTAGCATTATGACGCCCCTGCCTTTTCATTCCTTTTACCCATTAGCATCCATGTAATCTCTTAAAAGACGTTAAGAAAAGCCCTAGACCAGTTCTTTTTAAACCTTATCTCCTGGTCTAATCTTGGCATAAATCTTTGTGCCCTCTGTACAGTAATATATTAAATGTTGGGGAATATATTAGACCTTAAGACACTGCAGAATTAGGCCATCCGTGGCTGATATATTTTTCAACCCCATTCTTCTTCCTTCTCCCTGTAATACTTGATCCCTTTATTAATCAAGAACCTATTGTCTTGGCTTCCACAACCTTCTGCAGCAATGAGTTACACAGGTTCACCACCCACTGGCTGAAGAAATTCTTCTTCATCTCAGGTCTAAATCATTGCCCCTTCACACTGAGTCTGTGCTCTCGGGTTCTAGTCTCTCCTACTAGTGGAAACATTTTCTCCATCTCCATTCTATTCAAGACTCTCAATATTCTCTTAAGTTTCAATCAGATCTCCCTATCCTTCTAAACTGCCGTTGACTACAGGCCCTGAGTCCTCAACTGCTCCTCATATGACAAGCCCTTCATCCCAGGATTCGTTCTTGTAAACTTCCTCTGAAGCCCCTTCAGCGCCAGCGCATTCTGCCTTGGATATGGGACCCAAAATTGCTCACAGTATTCCAAATATGGTCTGACTAGAGCCTTGTACATCTCTGCTGTTGTATTTTAGCCCTTTTAAAATGAATGCTAACATTGCACTTGCCTTCGTGCATATTAGCCTGAAGAGAATCCCGAACTGGAACTCCCAAGTCCCTTGTACTTCAGATTTTTGAAGCCTTTCCCTGTTCAGAAAATATTTTATACCTCTACTTTTCCAACCAAAGTGCATAACTCTCACTCTGCCACATTATATTCCATCTGCTACTTCTTTGCCCACTCTTCTCCACTCTAAGTCTTTTTGCAGCCTCTCCAGTTCCTCAACACTACCTGGCCCTCCTGTGGTCTTTGTGTCACCTGCAAACTTAGCAACAACACCCTCAGTTTCTTTGTCCACATCATTAACGTATGAATAGTGTGAATAGTTGTGGTCCGAACAGTAATCCCTATGGAGCTCCACTAGTCACCGGCTGTCAACCTTAAAACGAGCCCTTAATCCCTACTCTGCCTTCTACCACTCAGCCAATCCTGTATCCGGGTCTCTTGTCCCTAACACCATAGGTTCCTATTTTGCAGCCTCCTGTGCAGTACCTTGTCACAGGCCTTCTAGAATCTAAATAGATCATGTCCACTGGCTCTCCTTTGTCTAACATTTTCATTACCTCCTCGACAGAATTCTAACAGATTTGTCAGGCATGACCTCCACTGGATGAAGCCATGCTGACTGAGTCCTAATTTACAATGCACTTTCAAGTAATCTGCAATCTCACCCTCCATAATGGACTCTAAAATGTTGTCAATGACAAGGTCAGGCTATCTGGCCTATTGGTTTCTGTCTTCTAGCTCCCTCTCTTCTCAAACAGAGAGGTTACATTAGCCGTTTTCCAGTCCTCTGGTGTCCTCCCTGACCCCAGTGATTCCTGAAAGATCACCACTGCCTCCACAATCTACTCAGCTATCTCCTTCAGAACTCTGGGGTGTAGTCCATCTGGTGTGGGTGATTTATCCACCTTCAGATCTTCCAGCTTCCTCAACACCTTCTCCTTCAGATTGGCCACTGCAGTCATCTCTGTCCCCTGACATTTGAAATTCTGGTATGCTGCTGGTGTCTTGCACTGTGAAAACTGATGCAAAGTACCTCTTCAGTTCTTCCACTGTTTGTTTGAATCCCATTACTACTAGCCCAGTCTCATCTTCCAGTGATCCAATATCCACTCTTGCCTCTCTCTTACCTTTTAGATATCTCTTTTTTAAAAAAAAAAATCTCGTGAAATCTTCTAGCTAGCTTACTCAATATTTCATTTTCTTCCTCCCCATTGCTTATTTTGTTATTCTTTGCTATTTTTTAAAGGCTTCCCAACCCTCTGGCCTCCCAATGATCTTCACCAAATTATATGCTTTTTCCTTTGCTTTTATGCTGCCCTTTGTTGCCTTGTCCTCCTCCTATATTAGTCTTCGCGGGTTGAATTTCTGATGTTCCTCCCAAATTACCCCTGAGGAATTCCTGCCTTTGTTGCTCCACCGTCTTCCCTGCTCGGCTCCCCTTCCAATAAACACTGGCCAGCTCCTCCTCCTCGTCTTTGTAGTTACCTTTACTCAGTTATAATACCATTGCATCTAATTCAAACTTCTCACTCTCAAACTGCAGAATTCTATCATATTATGGTCACTGCCCCCTAGGCGTTCCTAATAAGCTTCCTAATCAAGTTTGCCTCATTACACATCACCAAATCCAGAATTGCCTGTTCCCTACTGGGCTTTACCAAAAGCTGTTACAAAAGGAGCCATCTCATAGAAATTCCACAAATTCCTTTTCTTGAGATCTGCTATCAGCCTGATTTTTCTTAGTCCACCACATATTGAAATCCCCCATGATTATTGTAATAGTGCTTTTCTTACATGCCTTTTCTACTTCGTGATTTATTTTCTTCCCCACATTCTGACTACTGCCTGTACACAACTCTTATCAGATCTTTTTTCCCTTTGTCGTTCCACAACTCAACCCGCACAGACTCTACACTTTACGACTCTATTTCACTTCTTGCAATCGATTTAATTTCATTTCTTACTAACAAGGCAACCCTGTCCCCTTTTCCCATCTGTCTCTCCTTTTGATAGGGCATGTATCCTTGGATAGTTAGTTCCCTGCCCTGATCCCCTAGTAGTCACATCTGTCATAACCACCATATCGAACGTGCTGATTTCACTCTGCACTGCAAGCTCATTTACCTTGTTTTGTGTATGGCGTGCATTCCAGTACACACCCTCAGCCTTGTATTGACTGCCCCTCTTCTCATAGTTGTCCCCTTATTTGCAGTGCCTAAAGTTAGATTCTTGACGCTTTTTGTACTCTGTCCTATTACTTTTTCTGGAAACTTTAATCACCTCTCCTGAGCCCACGGCCCTTAACTTTTTCTATAATTTTCCATGCAACTGAAAAGCTTCTTCCTCCTCCTCCTCTCCCCACCGCCCCAAAAAAAACTCACTATGTAGTTTAAAGTCATCCACAGCCCTACTTATTTGATGTGCTCTGAATCTGGTCCCAGCATGTTTCAGTGGAGCCTGTCCCAACAGAATAGCTCCCTCCTTCCCTAGTACTGGAACCAATGTCCCATGAATCCAAACCAGTTTCTCCCACATCAACCTTTGAGCCAAGTGTTTACCTCTTTAATCTTGTTGACCTTGTGTCAATATGCACATGACTCAGGTGGTCATCCAGAGATTATCATTTTTTTGGCTCTGCTTTTTAATTTAGCCGCTCGCTGCTCATATTCCCTCAGCAGAATCTCTTTTCTCTTTCTACCTATATCGTCTGTATCTACGCAGACCATGACAACTGCTTCTTTCTCCTCCCACTCCAAGTTCCTCTGCAACCCACATAAGAGTTCCTGAACTCTGGCACCAAGCAGGCAACACAGTCTTTGGGAGTCTCAATCCTGGGCACAGAGACCAGTATCTTCCCCTGCCTATACGATCCTCGATTACAACTACATTTCAGTTTTCTGCCTGCTCTTGAATGGCTCCCTGTACCATGTGCTGTGGTCATTTTGCTCATCCTCCCTCCAGCCCCCGCTGTCATTCACACAGGGAGCAAGAATCTCAAACCTGTCAGACAAGCTCAAGGGCTCAGGCTCCTTCAGCACTACTTGGATCTCTCTACTTGTGTCAGACTTTTATTGGTGTTAATTTCTTGGTGATAAGAGTTGTTGCTTACCTGCAATCACGAGTTTTAAGTAAATTTAAAAGTGAAGTTGTCATTTTGCAGCTTAGAACCTTGGCAAGTGTTTAATAATTGTGACCCTTTTAACTAACAGGAAGTCAAATCCGAAAACATTAAGCTGTCAGTGAATGATTTCCTCATAAAGGCTTCAGCCTTGGCATGCTTAAAGATTCCTGAAGTTAATTCGTCTTGGCTGGACACATTTATCAGGCAGTGAGTAGGCAATCTACTGTTTAAACGTCTAAAATGTGTCAGTTTTATTTGAAGCAAATTGCCTTTGTGTTATGTTTTAGTAGCATGTGAATCTTTCCATGGGAACCAAGTGGGCCATTCGGTCCCTTGAGCCTGTTTTGCCATTCAACTCGATTTTGCCTGAACTTCTGCCTCTGTGTTAATTTCCTGCACTATCCCCATATTCCCTGATTTCTTTAGTAAAATTATTAAATTCTGTTCTATAGTTTTATGAACAAGTGTGGAGATATACCCTTCCTTTCATGTGATGTGAAATTTCAGCCTCAAAAATGAGAACTCTATTTTTGCAGGAATGGTAATTGAGGACTAAAGCGTCAGTAGTTTCATAATGTTCACTATTGGATTGCCTATCTCTGCATGGCAGATAAGGAAAAGCAATGATCAATATAATTAGGGAGGTGATGGCCTAGTGGTTTTATCGCTGGACTATTAATCCAGAGACCCTGATAACGTTCTGGGCACTGGATTCGAATCCCGCCACAGCTGATGGTGGATTTTAAATTCAATAAATATTTGGAACTAAGAATCTAATGATGACCATGAATCCACTGTTCATTGTCAGGGGAAATCCCCATCTGGTTCACTAATGTTCTTTAGGCCAATGACGCCCTCATCCAGTGAATGAATGAAGAAAAAAAAAACACGCCATTAGGAGTGTTGCTATCTTTAAAATGAGACTACACCAGTCTTTTTTTTTGAGAAGTAATTAGAGGTTTTGTCAAACTGTCAATTTGAAACATTAACACAATAGGTAAATGGCTGTCGCTATGACCCTTGTCTCATTCGCTCGGATGTGGTTCAGTTTAAGTAATTTGTATGTAATCAATTAGACTGAAGTGTGAAAAACTTAGAAGAGTTTGTCAGACTGGTTCAAAATCATAGGGTAGAGTTTAGCCTAGAATGCCCTTTGTTCATGTGCCCTTAGCAACTGGTGGCATTATCAAAGTCTGGGTGGTGTATGTTGCAGGCCTGTAAGAACAATAAATGTGTTCAGTGGTAAGGAATGGGTTGAGAGTTGTGGTGGACACTGAAAATATTGAAGAATAGAATACTCTCTGTACCCCGCAACCACAACAAGAGCAGGGGTTAGTTATAAAATGGGCTAGGGAAACAGTAGAGAGTACACTCATAAAAGTAACATTAGTGAAAAATTTTCCACTTCTTCTGATTGAGACTGCCAACTGGAGAGCAACTTATACTGAACTCTGAATTGTCTGTACTGTGGCCCTTTGCTTATTTTAAAAAAAAACTGGCTTGCAAGTGCCTCAACTATTTCCTGATGTAACTGATCCATCCAGTTTCCAGTCATGAGGAAAGGTGCATTTATCCCATCTATCTTGTATTTGAACCTAGCTCATGGAAGTGATGAAAACCGTGTGCTGGCATTAAAGCAATGTGCTATGAAGGATGTTATTCCCTACTTAAAAGGTTTATGATCAGTCCACTTGAAATTATTTTAAATTACCCTGTTGGATATGTCCCATGTGTGTCATAACAGGTGGGGCTTGAGCCAGATCATCTGGTTGAGTTAGAGACACTACCAATATGCCATAAGACCTGCAATCATTTGTCTATGTATCTTTAAATCAACCTGTCCTGACATATTATGATACATGTGAGGACCTTCCAACCAAACATACTGCAGTGAAGCTACAACCTTGTTAGTGCTGCCCATTGCGCTTCTCACCCAAACGAAGTACAATGCCTTAGACCACTCACTCACCCAATCTGACATCTTGAAACGTTTCTTGTAATGATTTATTAATGTCATTTTAATCTGAGCAATATCCTGCTCCAGAAATTTGTGATAGGGTTAAGCAGGTATAAACCTTCGAAAGGATCAAATAGAGTAATTTAGTTGCTGTCTGTTTCCCATCAGAAACCATGTTGTGGATGTTAGTGTGGCTGTGAGCACCGCTGCTGGTCTGATTACTCCCATTGTGTTTAATGCACATATCAAAGGACTTGCCTCCATCAGTAATGATGTGAAATCCCTAGCTGAAAAAGCTCGTGATGGAAAACTCCAGCCCCATGAATTTCAGGTAAGAATTAATATTTGAAAAGAATCCAGTGGATAGTCAGAAGCTTTTTCCCAAGGTGGAAGAGTCAGTTACTAGGGGACATATGGTAAAGTGTGAGGAGCAAGGTTTAAAGGGGATATACAAGACAAGTTTTTTTTACATAGAGGGTGGTGGGTGCTTGGAACTTGCTGCCAGGGGAGGTAGTGGAAGCAGATACAATAGTGACTTTAAAGGGCTTCTTGACAAATACATGACTAGGATGGGAATGGAGGGATATGGTCCCCGGAACGGTAGGGGATTTTAGTTGTGACGGGCAGCATGTCGGCACGGGCTTGGAGGGCCAAAGGGCTTGTTCCTGTACTGTAATTTTCTTTGTTCTTCTTCTTTGTAATGTATCTGTCCCCTGGTTTCAGTGCCTCATATTTGTAAGGGAATTTAAAAAAGAACATGATATCCTGGTTATGTGGAAGAATTCAAAATGTAAACATGATGATTTAAGATGAAATGTGTCTGATTAAGTTCGGTGTGGTGAAGTGTAATGCTATATAATTTGAATCCATGGAAGACAATCTGGATGTTTTCTTAATGGCAGGAGACTAGAACTCTGGAGGAGCAAACTGATTTTGATGTGGCACATACACATTTTGCTAAAGTGTACAGGTGGAAAAAGTAATTAAAAAGGCTGATGGAATGTTTGCTTTTAGCTCAATGGAACTGGAATACAAAGAGGAAGAAGCCATGTTTCATCTGTACAGATACTTGGTCAGACCCCAGAAAATCACACTTCTTTCAGCTTGTTTTGAGAACTTTTCCCCCTCAAACCAGATGAGTTACAGTAAAAATGAAAGTGCAGTCGTTTATTTAGATCTCTTCAAATCACAGAATTATTTTGGTGCAGGATGCAGCCATTCAGCCCATGTTGTTTGCACCTCTACACACTCTTTAGCACAGTACCTTTATATTGTCTGTCCATGTGCTTTCTACAAAGATGCATCACTTTTTTCACTTCTCTGCATTGAACTCGGTCATCTACCTGCCCACTGCACCAACTTGTCAATGCCCTTTTGAACTTCTGCACTGTCTTCCTGTAAGTTTATGATGTTTCTAAGTTTTGTATCATCAGTAAACTTGGACATTTTCTACTGTATGAATGCTTCTGGCATGTAAAACAATCTATATATGGATCAGTAACGTAGAAGAGTGTTGCTGAACAAAGAGATCTTGGAATGCAGGTTCGTGGTTCCTTGAAAGTGGAGTCGCAGGTAGACAGGATAGTGAACGTGTTTAGTGTGCTTGCCGTTATTGGTCAGTGCATTGAGTATATGAGTTGGGAGGTCATGTTGCGGCATTGGTTAGGCCACTTCTTGGAATAGTGCATTCAGTTCTGGTCTCCCTGCTATAGGAAGGATGTTGTGAACCTTGAAAGGGTTCAGAAAAGATTTACAAGAATATTGCCAGGGTTGGAGGATTTGAGCTGTAGGGAGAGGCTGAATAGGCTGGGGCTATATTCCCTGGAGCTGAGTGGTGACCTTATAGAAATTTATAAGATCATGAGGGGCATGATAGGATGAATGGCCAAGGTCTTTTCCCCGGGGTAGAGGAGTCCAAAACTAGAGGGCATAAGTTTAGGGTGATGTGGGAACGATTTAGAAGGAACCTAACGGGCAACTTTTTCATACAGAGGGTGCTGCATGTATGGAATGAGCTGCCAGAGGAGGTAGTGGAGGCTGGTATAATTACAACACTTAAAAGGCGTCTGGATGGGTATATGAATAGGAAGGGTTTAGGGGGATGTGGGCCAAATGCTGGCAAATGAGACTAGATTAATTTAGGATATCTGGTCAGCATGGACAAGTTGGATCGAAGCGTCTGTTTCCGTGCAGTGTAGCTCTATGACTCTCGTACATAAGAGGTCTTGTGGTGCAATGAGCAGCATCCTGACTCTGAGCTAGTAGCTCTGGGTTCAGGTCCCACTCCAGGACTTGATGACCATTGAAGCTGGATTCATATCATAGCCAAATAGGTTCAGTGAAAACCTAGTAATCCTTCCAATGCACCTTATGGCAGATGGTACAAGTAGAAGAGTCTCTTGGTGAGCTATCCTGCAGAAGGCAACATCAAATCATCGTAATACCTTGCTAGACACAATCGAGGACCAACATAAATTGGAAATGGAAGAGCACAGTTAGCAATCTGCTCTTGGGGCATGTGAGAGAATTGGTTCCGTTTCTTAAACTTGACAATGTGAAAGAGCTCCTCGAGCCTTCCCCACCAGTATAGATCATGACTGATTCTCATTGCCCTTTTCCTGTCCTATTTCCATATTCCTTAACGCCATTAGACCCCAGATTTCTGACATGAACTGTTCAATAATTGAGCTTCCGTTGCTGTCTGGAGTAGAAAATTCCAAAGGTTCGCCACTTTGAGTGAAGAAATTCCTTCTCACCCCAGTCTTAAATGGCCTGCTCCTTCTATCCCCTGCTTCTAGAGTCACCAGCCAGGGGAATCTCCTATCCATCCAGTCTTGCCCCATCAGAGCTTTTATAATTCATACACTTTTATTTAACTTGCTAATTCTCTCCTTCATATTTTAGGGTGGAACATTTACAATATCTAACCTAGGAATGTATGGTATAAAGAACTTTTCAGCCATTATCAACCCACCCCAAGCATGTATTCTTGCTGTTGGTGGATCAGAAGAAAGACTACTTCCTGCAGAAAATGAGAGGGGGTAGGCAATTTCTCCAGTCATTCTTAACAATTAGTGAATTACTCCTGTTAAGGTAGTGTTGTTACCTATTACAGCTTAAATGCAAAAGTGTAAGAAATAATTTTGTATGTATTGTAAAAGAGTACTTTATTTTAGGTGTATGGAAATTAATGAACCTTTAAAACATGCTTTTACCCTGGAACACTAAGTAATACAGCATGTCATCCAGAGATGCCTAGATGTTTAACTTGATTAAATCAAAGTATTTTAAGTATCTATTTGAATATATCAAATTTGAATCATTTGATTTCTTTTTGGTTAATAATGTTTGTCTGTTAGCCACTTCTGTAGCTTTGTGTCATCCAATTAACTTCAAATGCTGTTGTCTTTCTATGTGTTGGTCAAACGTGTAATTTTAAAATTTCACCATTACCATGTCATACTTCCACAGATTTACTGTTTCCAATATAATGGCGGTAACCCTGAGCTGTGACCATCGTGTTGTGGATGGAGCAGTTGGTGCCCAGTGGCTAGCCGAGTTCAAGAAGTTCCTTGAAAGGCCATCTACCATGCTGTTGTAAATCTCAAGAACTGGTGTTTATTTAAGTGACAAGTCTTTTTTTTCCAAGGTGGTTTTATTTATGAATTCCAGTATCTGCACGATTTCCTTATTCCTGTTATCCTTGTGACACTATAAAGTATTTGTACAACAGTGAAACGGAGGTATGCAGTTGAACTCAAATTCGTAGTAAATTGAAGAAAAACATGATAGTGTTTTCCAGTTCCAGGTCTTGTAGTGTCTATTAGTATTGTAACTGAATTCCTACCTGATCATTTACCTAAATGCAGCACCCTCCCATGTTCAGATGCCACAATCTAGAAAGGAAGTGAAACTAGTACCAGTACCAAAAACCTGTAACTTATTTAAAGCTACAGGAGACTTTTTTTTTTTCTTATTTTGAAGAAAAATCAGAATCCAATGTGAAAGGTTTTCTCCGCTTTCTGTAAAAGCAGTCTCCTGGAACACCCTGGGTCATGTGGAATTGGTAGCAGAAGCAGTGTTAATCCTCACTAGGTACAGGGCATCTTTATACATTTCTGATCTGAAATCAGAGTGCTGAGGTACAAGATTAACGGCATACCTTCTAGTCCAATATTATTAGACTAACTATGTTACAATGACCTGGAATTATTTTGAAAGTAAATACCATACATGAAATTATTTGTGTTGTACGTTAGTACTTATTAACCAGACGAGAATTACAAGATTTTCCCCATTCTTATGTACAAGATAACAAATTATTGAAAGTAGGTTATCCCCTAGAATAAAATTATGCATCTTTATAAGCCCTTTGGAAGTGTAAGTCGCAATTATTACTATACATAATATGAAATTCAAAATGCAAAAGAACAGTTTTCAACGTGTTTATGTTGCTCATGTGCCACATAAATATATTTCATTGCTGATAACTGACTAATTAGTATTAAATTCTGACATTTTATCAAATGCCAGAATTGTTCCTTCCTTAGCGTTTTTGAGTTTGGTGGCTCTGATTACAGCCCTGTTTAAGATTGGCCGAGTCTGAGTAAATTTTGAAGTATTATATCTTAATGCAGACTTCAAAAATTTATGTTTCCAGTCAATTTTTAGTCTTTTTATGGTAGTGTCACTGTAATCAGTACCTGCTTTGTTCCAGTTTGCGCATGCCTTGTTTAGTGCAGCCAGGTAACTGCACACAAAGTAAATTGGAGTTAACAGATGGTTATATTTGTCCTGATTTTAGTCCAGTCTTTCTGAATTCCACCATCATTTTGAATGGGTCACAGGCAACTAACTAAAAAGTAAAAGTTTCAGAAAATAGTCTGCCCAAACCTGTTTAAATTCTTTAATTTGTGTTCTGAGTGCAGTGCAGGCCAATTCATTTGTTTACTGCCTAAATGATCTGTTGATCATTCTTACCAGTCCAGATACTGTATTTCATGCCTTATTATTTAATAGACCTAACAGCAACTAAACAAATAGGAAAGGGGGGGGATAAAAGCTGAAACTTGAAACCAAATTAAATGTAAGAGTACTGTACAATATCTAACATTTGTATGTCAGTTGGTGTTAACAATAAAATGCCATATTGTTCACTAATACTTTTAAAAAGTATATTTGTGTGCTTTTCACTATTGTGTGATCAAATCTCATTGTTATCAAGAATCAGTGTGTGCTGCAAAAAAGAATATTGTACTTCTAACATCATGGATACTAATTGATCAACTGAATCAACTTGATTCTCAAATCAGGTTGCCTTGACCTCCTATATATCTATTAGGGTGCAGAGTAAAACTTCATTAACGAGCGTTTTTCATAATTTGTATAACCTTCTTTATTATTGTGGTGCCAACCAAGTTAATTTGCTTATTGTCGTACTTGAAGCATTGCATATAAAATAGGACATGTTTTTATTTCTGGAGCGCATTTCATTTATAATTTGTATTCTTTCCTATTCGGGATTATGTACTGTTGGATGGCAGGTGGGTTTCCCCTTATGCTTTTAGGTCAGCATTGTTAATATGGAAATTGTGCACACATTGATTTGACTGTAAAAAGAAAATTAAATCTGGGCATTTTGTTTTTGTGGAAGCACCATTTTGCTGTATATTCAGCATTAAACCCATTTTTAGAATTTAAATAAATCCTGAAACTATTTTTGGGAAGAGGAAACAAAACGCACAAATTGGTGGTAAGGTCTATGTTGTTATAGTGAAATGTCTTGTACTATATCTGTATTGTTAATTCAAGCCACAACCTCCCAGACTAGCAACTTGGTATGTAGTGGCAACTTATATTAAAAACCAGGATTCAAATAAAACATTAGACAAAACTATTAAGTTTTTGTTCTATGTTTATGTCATGTATTGCATTGAAAAGCATCCACAATACTGTGATTTCTAAGAATTCTTAATTAGGAGCAAGCTGGAATTCGTAAATACTGCATTTTATATATGTTTTGCTAACCACCAATACAAAATTAGTGGATGTTGATTTACACTCGTTTCTTCCTATGCCTGTAGAGTTTCTAATCTTAGTCATACGTGATATTTCTGACAGCTGGTAACTCCCAGGTGGCATAACCTCTGCTTGCACCACCCGTTATTTCAATGCTAACAGTAAAGGTCTGAGAAAAGATTGGTTTGGTTGCAAAGAAGGTGAGGGAAGAAATAGCTTTACAGGAGCAATCTCATTAGATGTAATTAGATCTAATTCATATAACCATATTGAATTTTTGAAGTGGGGTAACAAAGCAATGTTTCAAATCTTAAAGCTGCTGTATAGGGAAATGTTGGTTTTAAGTTTGCAGCATAACTCGTGGCAAATATGTGGTTTATTTTGAATGTCATAATTGAATCACACCAGTGGGCGTACAAATTAGGAGCAGAAGGTATACAGACAAACGTAAAAGCAAAATACTGTGGATATTGGAGGTCTGAAAAAGACTTCTAGTTGACCCAAAACAGTCTTTTGCTCTCCAAAGAAGCTACTTGAGATGCTAATTTAAGCACTTTTTATTGTAAACATACACATTACATGGTGTCACAGGAACAGGATGCAACCCTCTTCAGTGGGATTGTCAAATTTATTTTGAATTTTTCAAGAATTATAACAAGGTTCATTATATCAGGTTAATTTCATTCTAAGTTGCATGCATATTGTAATTAAATTTGAATAATCTCTACTTTTCAGTTATTTCTTTCTAGAGAAGTAATGATAAACTGGTATTAAATCTTTGTTAAACCACGTGAATACTGCATTGTGTTATGGTCATTATATTATAGAAGACTAATGGCAAGAATTCAAAAACAATTTGTGAGGACGATACATGAAGTATGAGGTTGTATCTATTTGGAAAGGATGATGAGGATAGATCGTTTTCATTGAAAAGAGAAAGCCAAGAGATGTTCCAGTGGCGTTTTATTTTAAATATGAGCATCTATATGAAGTTGGTACAGAGGCAGATGGGTTACCGTTTGTGGTCAAGGGCAATACTAGAAACCATCAATATTAAGTAGTCAAGAAATCAAATTGGGCATGCAGAATTTGGCATGACAATAGTTGAGGCAAATAGCACAGATGCAGTTATGTAGAAATTAATAAGCACATAAGGGAATAGAAGGTTATGGTGTTAGATGAGGAAGGATTAGAGGAGGCTTGAGTACTGGATGAACACTGATGGACTAGTTGGATTGAAAGGATGTATTGTGAAATGGATGTTTTATACTTATGTAAATTAGAATGTTTGTTTGTTTTATCCAATTACTTTTTCATCCAGTTATAATCTATCCTTTTCAAAAGACAGTCACTGGACAATATGCTTAAATTTGGTATTGCTCTGTTTTAATTAAATGTAAAACGTATATATTTCATTGAGAGATTTAATGGTTATTTGATAGGCATCTCCACAGACAGGATGTGAGACTTTTTGTTGAATTTTGCAGTGACAGTGTCTTCACTAATAGTTTCAGGTAGATCAAGCTGCAGTCTGTACTTCTCGGCTACATCAATAACAAGGTCATCCTGTTTTGGAGGCAAACATACATAAGTTGTCAAAACTTGAATTAGCTTTTCACAAAATATAGAATACATATTAATTTCAAATTAGGTTCCTTTCTTTTATTCCATATGTATATATTTTGGGGGGGCAAAAAGTAGTTTGTAGATTTAATAATGTATACCTTCACTCTACTTGAGTGAGAAAAGGCCATTTTGTGCCCTAGGTCCATCTCTTTCACAGGCCATTTGCTGTTTTCACCATCATGGACAGTGCACAGCACAGTTTAGTTGCTTACGACACATAAGCTATTGGGTCAAAACATCAACATTTAAAAAGCAATTTTAATTGGATTAGTCAGCCCTAAGACTATGACTAATCCAATTAAAGGATAAACAAAGCAATATAGTTTGTAAATATTGAATAAGATGGTTCATCTATAAACAAGAATATACGAGACTGGAAAACATTTTGTGTTCTATGTAGCAAAGTGCAAATCAAAAATCACCTTTCATCATCATCCCTCAAACATTTTACTGTTATTTACTAAATGCTGAATTAGTGCAATAAATATACACACCATTCAAAACTAAATTTATTCTCCCTTTTGTAATATTTCATACTGTGAGGAGAAACGCTGTACAATTGCTCCCATTGTTTCTACTACTGGTGCTTTAAGCCAGTGAATGAGTGGGATTTTTCTGTAGTTATCATGGTGGATGATGTTAGTGCTGGAAAACTGAACATTTCCATTTTCTGCAACTGGTGTTGCAGCAAGCAGAGTGAAAAAACAACACTCTGTACATTGGTGATGTTCCCTCCACTCTGCTGCACTCCACCTTTGAGTATCGGTGTGACAATTTCCCACTTTTTCCTTCCAACAATCAACCTCAAAATTGATTTGAGATCGTTAATCAGAGTCGCCTTTGTAGTCTCTATGTAGAAGCTTTTGGATCCAATATGTCTGTCAATTTAAAATCTGCCAACCTAATAGGCAAATAATAAGCATTGTCAGATTACTAAGTAGCGCAGAATTGTTTAGCCTTAATTCAAATGAGAAACATACTACCAGTTTGATCTGAATTTGAACCGAGATCTTGGAAGTGATAGTTTGGTTTAATCCACAGTGTCAACAAACATTCAGGTCTGTTTAGTTTTCCAGCCTAGCCCTCTGCTTAGCATATCCATACAGCTACATGTTTTGAATGACGAATCTGGGCTAAATCTGTGCCCTATCATTGCAGAGATTGTTTGTTTACTGTTGGATCGTGTAGTCTACTGCAATTTTGGTGTCACAACTGCCCCTTTGACAAGTCAACAAACACTTTTTTTGGTCTTAAGATGCTATAAAAGTATAAACACAGGAATATTTCACATGCTGAATTACTTTCTTTGTGTACACTGATTGTTAGGAAGATGTAGCATCCATTGTTTCAAAAATGATATGAATTACTAATTAATCTGACTTCATGTTAAGTGGAAAGAAATATTACGTAGGCCATTGGGAAAGCTTTCCTCCTCCATGAGTTTTGTCTTGTGTGTACAAATGAAAAAAATGAATTTAGTCTATGGTGTTCCAAATCAGTAATTTGTGATACAAACACTGATTTAACAGTCTGTTTAACAGTATCAGACCACCCTACCACCAGCATATACCTTTGAAACACTGAGATCACACTCTTTGACAGAGAACACTCCAGGCAGCTCGACCGTCAATTGAATTATTTTTGCCTTTGCGTTTTCATCTTTAATGAGCAATAATTCATACTTTGGAGTCTCTACTTTAATGCCACTGTCAAATTCTGTACTTGAAATCTCTTCAATGAGTCCTGGTTTCTTAGGATGTTTGATATCACTCGGCAAACAAATTGGGGGATTATTTTCTTCATTTTCCTCGTCTGCTGATTTGAGCATTGCCAGTTGCTGAAGCAGTGAGACACCACTTTCTCCTGATGACATTTGCTTGGCAGTTTGCATAGGGTCAGCCTTTCCTGTCAGTCGTCGCTTCATCTGTTTTTCACTTCCTTTTAGTCTGTCTTTCAGTAGGGTGTAAGAGTGTGATAGTTGTACACAATGCTGCTCTTCAATATATTTTATAGCTAAACGAATCAATTGGTCCTTTTCCACAGGATCTTCATTTCCTTTCTTAAGAACTTCTGGGTTGTATGCAACATCGGTAACTGAATAAATCTCTGCAGAGGAAAAAAATGAATCAAAAAAAAATAGTCAAAGTAACTTTCTCCTCTACAGCAAGATGAAAGAACAATTCCTGTGTTTTGGTCGGTGCATATTATTGCCGAACTTTAGGGACATAGGTGACCAAAGCCCAGGTTGTTGCAAATGCTATTCTCAAGTCGATGCCACAAAGTGAACCAGAGTGAAAGAAAATTATGCCCTGAATTTATGTTGTACTCTCAGTATATCCTCCACAAACATCTAAAAATGTATGACTTTGAAATGTGCTGACTGTCGGGCAAAAATGGCCAGTGTTTTCCAAGCAGGAAAATTCCATAAACAGCAACTTTGCTGGTGGTTGAAAGACTAACGTTGCCCAGGTCATTGGAAGAATTATTTGCATTGAGTACCATTGCATGTCCTTGGTTAATGGAGATTCCCTATCCTAGTCTCTATCCATTGATCTTGTCTGGAATGAATATACCCCATGAGTGACTGATGCAAAGCTGTTATCTCTGTCAAATAATTTTGTGATGTCAAATGCCACATATTAATATTCAATAAATAATGACCTTTTCTCACCACCTACCTGTGCCCTCTACAGTTTCTTCCAACCTCCCTCCATCAAGAGGCACTGGATCTGATTCTGACTTTGGAGCAGGGACCCTACTCCAGGTGCAAAGATTTACATACAGTAACTTCTCATTCAATTCCTAGGAGATAAAAATTCATTGATTGCTCATTGACAGTTGTGTGAGCTTGCAATGGAAAGGCTTTCTGCAGAATTAACAAATGTGCAAAGACTGAGTACAATTCAATTTATAAAATGTTTTGAAGTCTCTGTAGTGCACATCTTTTATGTAAAAATTGAGATATAAACTATTTGAGTCAAACATCCTAACTGCTATAATCTAATTCATTTTGTTGAATCCACTTATCCCAATTTGGATTTTGTAGATGGCACAAAGATTTTGAGCACAATCTAAATCTAAAAATCTGAAATCTATTTTCTGCAAGGAAGCAGGAAGATCTGCCTGCATCCTAGCTAACATGCATCCCTCAACCCACACCATCAGAAACAGCTTATTCAGCCATTTGTTCATTGCTGTTTGTGGCATATTGCCGTGTGCAAGTTTGCTGCTGTGTTTGGCTATATAACAATAGCCACACTTTGGTTGCAAAGTACTTCAGGACATCCCGACGGGATGGGAACATTTATTTAGAAATAGTGTGCATACTTCCATTTTTAAAGTTGATCAATATTGCCATTGAGTATATGCAGATTCTGCAGGTAGCAAGTTTGGACTAATTTTCTAAATATTCAATTTAATTCAATTTTCATCAAAATCTAGCAGGTTAAAGAGGTAACTAAGAGTTCTTGTGCCACATGCAATAATATAAAAAATCAGGCACTAAACCTAACAGATACTGTACCAATATTCTTGTCTGAAAGCAGATGTAAGCCTCTGGTGGACTGAACTGCTTCATTCCCTCTTCTAGGTGATGCTGGATAAATTTTTGATATGCTTCGGGGCTGTTTTCAGACATATCATCCAGCAGACTCCATAGTTGATTTACTTGCTGCAACATCTCCTTTTCACACTGTTTAGTTGCCATTGCTACTGTGAATTCAAACGGTTAAAGTCTTTCTTAAAACTGTGTGCTAGATGGGGTTGGTAGGGCAGCTGTTCTGCAACCAAGTAAAAATGACACAATGTTATAGATTGATTTTCCATCAGAAAGCAGACTCAGGTATACCTTACACCATAAACAGGTCAAAGACCTAAAAAGTCATCAATGTTATTTGCATGTATACACCAGGAAAATTTCAAATGCATCTTGCATTTTTCAATACTTTTGACTCCATTATTTCACCAGAAGATTATTTCAAACGGTTTTCACCCTAAAATATTTAAATCTTACTATTCCTACTGGTGTGACTCATGTTTGATGTAGTATTTTGGGTTTACATTTTCTGCACTATTTAATGCTTTATTTAATTTGTTGCCTCACCTTAAGATTTTGAGACATGCTAAATGAATATTTTTCGTCAGTATTCACACAGGAAAAAGACAATGTTGTCGAGGAGAATACTGAGATACAGACTATTAGACTAGACGGGATTGAGGTTCATAAGGAGGAGGTGTTAGCAATTCTGGAAAGTGTGAAAATAGATAAGTCCCCTGGGCTGGATGGGATTTATCCTAGGATTCTCTGGGAAGCTAGGGAGGAGATTGCAGAGCCTTTGGCTTTGATCTTTATGTCGTCATTGTCTACAGGAATAGTGCCAGAAGACTGGAGGATAGCAAATGTTGTCCCCTTGTTCAAGGAGGGGAGTAGAGACAACCCTGGTAATTATAGACCAGTGAGCCTTATTTTGGTTGTGGGTAGTGTTGGAAAGGATTATAAGAGATAGGATTTATAATCATCTAGAAAGGAATAATTTGATTAGGGATAGTCAACACGGTTTTGTGAAGGGTAGGTCGTGCCTCACAAACCTTATTCAGTTCTTTGAGAAGGTGACCAAACAGGTGGATGAGGGTAAAGCAGTTGATGTGGTGTATATGGATTTCAGTAAAGTGTTTGATAAGGTTCCCCATGGTAGGCTATTGCAGAAAATACGGAGGCATGGGATTGAGGGTGATTTGGCGGTTTGGATCAGAAATTGGCTAACTGTAAGAAGTCAGGGTGGTGGTTGATGGGAAATGTTCATCCTGGAGTTCAGTTACTAGTGGTGTACCACAAGGATCTGTTTTGGGGCCACTGCTGTTTGTCATTTTTATAAATGACCTGGATGAGGGCGTAGAAGGATGGGTTAGTAAATTTGCGGATGACACTAAAGTCGGTGGAGTTGTGGATAGTGTGGAAGGATGTTGCAGGTTACAGAGGGACCTAGATCAGCTGCAGAGCTGGGCTGAGAGGTGGCAAATGGAGTTTAATGCGGAAAAGTGTGAGGTGATTCACTTTGGAAGGAGTAACAGGAATACAGAGTACTGGGCTAATGGTAAGATTCTTGGTAGTGTGGATGAACAGAGAGATCTCGGTGTCCATGTGCATAGATCACTGAAAGTTGCCACCCAAGTTGATAGGGTTGTTAAGAAGGAATACGGTGTGCTAGGTTTTATTGGTAGAGGGATTGAGCCTCGGAGCCATGAGGTCATGTTGCAGCTGTACAAAACTCTGGCGCGGCCGCACTTGGAGTATTGCGTACAGTTCTGGTTGCCGCATTATAGGAAGGATGTGGAAGCATTGGAAAGGGTGCAGAGGAGATTTACCAGGATGTTGCCTGGTATGGAGGGAAGGTCTTATGAGAAAAGGCTGAGGGACTTGAGGCTGTTTTCGTTCGAGAGAAGAAGGTTAAGAGGTGACTTAATAGAAACATACAAGATGATCAGAGGATTAGATAGGGTGGACAGCGAGAGCCTTTTTCCTCGGATGGTGATGGCTAGCACGAGGGGACATAGCTTTAAATTGAGGGGTGAGAGATATAGGACAGATGTCAGTGGTAGGTTCTTTACTCAGAGTAATAAGGGCATGGAATGCCCTGCCTGCAACAGTAGTAGACTCGCCAACTTTAAGGGCATTTAAATGGTCATTGGATAAACATATGGATGATAATGGAATAGTGTAGGTTAGATGGGCTTCAGATTGGTTTCACAGGTCGGCGCAACATCGAGAGCCGAAGGGCCTGTACTGCGCTGTAATGTTCTATGTTCTATTGTAAGTGGTTCTTTGTGCCCTTCTGATTTCTGACCAATGTCTAATATGATTCTGTGGCAAAGCATGAATTTTGATCTGCTAATTTGGGAAGAACGCAGGAAAGTATGCCATATTCCAGAAAGTTAGCTGAAAAAGGGATATAACTAGAGCCAGTATTTACATATTTTTATAAGCATTTTGTCACAGAGATGCACATTACAAATATACATGTCATAGTGCAACATTGTTTCAATCTGTTCCTCTTTGTAGGGGTGTAAATGAATCCCTAGCTAATGTTCAGAATTGCATAGTGTTTGCCAAATTGGCCTTTATTTCAAGAGAGTTTGAGTACATAAGTAAAGATATTTGCAGCAACTGTATACAGCCTTGGTGAGACTGCAGCTAGAATGTTGTGTACAGTTGTGGTCATTTTTCCTAAGGTAGGATATAGTTATTATAAAGGGAATGCAACAAACGTTCACCAGACCAATTCTCAGGATTGTGTTATAAAGAGTTTGTGGAGATTGGGTCTATATTCTCTAGTGTAGAAAAATAAAGAGTGATCTCACTGAAGCTTCCAAAATTCTTAGCTGAACAGGGTAGATGCAGGATGGATGGTTGCCCTGGGTTGGGGGTCTAGAACCGGGGGCTCACACTCAGAAGTTGGCCATTGAGCACTTAAATGAGGATGAATCTCATCATTCAGAGGGTAGTTTGACTTCAGCATTCTCTGCCCCCAAGGATTACAGAGACTCAGTTATTACATATATTCAAGACAGTGATCGATAAATTTCCAGATATTAAACATTTCACTTGACATGAGGACAGTATGGGAGTATGGCGTTGAGGGAGCAATCAGCCATGATCTAGTTTACTGGCAAAGTAGACTCAAGGATTTGAATGACTTGTAGTTAACAAAGTGGAGTTGAGACAAGATGGGCTATAACCTTATTGAATAATAGACAGCTTCAAGGAGCAGTAGTCTACTTCTGTTTCTATTGTTATGTTTCTAACAAATAATTATTAGAAAACATTATTCTATCTTCCCAAACTGCTCCCATTAATACCTTGAAACTTTCAAATTAAACCACTTCTTAAACTTCTAAATTCCAGAGAATATAACTTGTAATTTCCCTTTATAACTTAATCATTGGAGTCCAGATATTATTCTATAAATTTAAGCTACGCTCTTTCCAAAACAAAAATCCTGCCTAAAGTGTGTTGACCAGAACTAATCAGGTGTATTCTACCAACCAGGAGTTTGTACAGCTAAAGAATAGCTTTTACCCCTTTGTACATTTCATTAGCCTTTTTGATTATTATCTGCACTTGTTGTAAGCAATGAATTGAAGTAATCTTTGGGTAAATGTTAAAATCATAATTTAAATATTATAGAATGCATGTGAAAATTAGCTTAATGCAAATCCTTCACACTCCCAGGCATTATACTTTGTACTTCGTTTTAAAATTGATTAATCTTTATAACAATGTGTTCTTGTACCGCTTTCTCCGTCATGCATTTTTCTAGATTCTCCGTTATCACTGTGGTGGATTTCTGGGGCAGTTGTGCCCTCGATCAGCGTCAATGACAATTGCTGGAAGCTGGGCAGTTAGAAATTGTTTGATAAAAGTTACAGCTACTGATTACACATAAAGCTGAAGGAGACCGTATGCTATCAAATAATCTCTTACGTCATTGACACTGCATACCAGATTTAGCATAAGCTCTTTACGATATAGTTTTCTCTAAAATCCTTAGGTCCTAATTCACCTCATTTGTTCCTTGAGGTTGTGAGTTAATTCTCATCCCCATTCTAACCAGGCGTGAAGACATTTCTCCTGAATTCCCTGATTGGATTATTGAAGGTGGAGCCTTTGTTCTGGGGTGTGATGGTAATTAGACCATAAAAGCCATTGAAGGATGAGTTCCTTGGTGACACACACCATCAAGAAGCAACGCCACTGGGATCCCACCAGCGCTCTGACTGGCTCCATGCCAACCAGTCACAACGTGGCTGAGTTGCGGCCAATTCATTTCGAGCCAATCAGAAGACGAGGGATCGAGATGTGCTCTCCTGATAGGTTAAACTTTGGTCCAACGAGAAACAGCACTAAGTAGGAAAGCCTGAAATCTAAAATGTAAAGATTTCATCCAAACGTAAATAAATTTCAAACTGCTCTGGTGTATCGCTGGTAATGTCCTTACCTCTGGGATAGAAGAACCTGGGTTCAAGTCCTACCTTTTCCTGAGTTGGGTCACACCACCCTGAAGGGAATCATAGGGCGGGAGGAAGCCATTCGGCCCGTCTCCTTCCCCTGTACTGGTGCTATCACCTGGTGCCAACCTCCTGCATTTTCCCCCAAATCCTTGCACCACGTTTCTATCCGAATAACGGACAATGTCTCAGTAAATATTGCCTCAGGAGTTCCAGACCCTAACTACTCACTGCCTGAAAAATGCTGCTTTTTCTCCACCCCCCTTCCCCCTTACTTCATTTACCCATCACTTATTTTTAAAAAAGAAACCGGTTGGTTAGAAAATGTACAAACAAATGTCACCGAAGATCATCCTTCATCACGGAGGACGACGCCGATGTTCCGCCGCTTCGACCCGAAGCGCCTCCGTTGCCCCGGCAACTCTTCGCGACCTTCGACCCGGAAGGTATCTCCGCAAAACACGACCCCGCGGGCAAAGAACAAAACTTCACCGTCGTCCAGGAGGGATTAAGAAAAGTATAAAACCCTTCGTGACGGACGATTAGAAGCTTTTGTCTGAAAGGTGACCCTCCCCGTTTCAATTTTGATGATGTAGCTCGTTGATCATTCCCACCTCCCCCAAACCGACACCCCAAAGGTGAGTATATTTACAGGCCTCAGCAATAAATGTAAGATGCTGATGATGGATTTTTGTTATTCTTCTTCATGGTTCTCGCCGGTGGAGGAGGAGCTGAGACTGATTTTGGATTTGCTCGGGATAGGTGGGATGTTTAGTTCCGGAGGGAATGCGTTTGTCTGCGGGCTTCGCCGGAGCGGTGTGAGGGTGGCACCGACTTCCGGTCAGGGTGCAGGGACGATGCAAGCGGCCTGAGGGCTCCCGGGGGCCAGGCCGGGCCGGGCCAGGCTAGGCCAGGCTAGGGAGAGAGAGAGAGAAAGAGAGCTCGGCAGGTAAAAGAAACCCGCCGGTTAAAGCCTCAGCGGACCCGGAGGGTTAAAGCTGCTCCTCAGCCCCACTTCTGGCTCCTTATTGAGGTTTTAAATGAAGCGAAGATTTACTCATTCCCCTGCACATTGATGTGGCGTCCAGGCCATTTGCACCCATTGAGCCTACTCGACGTTCCTCATCTGGCTGTGACCTTACTTTCACTTTCTCGCCTGCCCCACACTCCCATTACCCCTGACTCCCGAAAAATCTGTCTTAGCCCTGACACCCTTCCACCCCCCCCACCACCAAAAATCCCACACTCTTCCCTCCCCAGGAAAGAAACCCAGACTCCCTAAAAATCTGCCTAAATCCAGCCTGATCCCCTCATCACCCCAACTCTGTCAAAATCCGTTTAATCTGGCCCTGTCCCTCCAAAAAATCCCCGACTCCCTAAAAATCTGTCTAATTCAGCCCTGTTCAAAATGGTAACCAATCTCTGACAGAAAATCAATCTTCCTCATTACCACTTTCAATGTGAGTTTCCGTATCTTGAAACTGTAAGTCCTAGCTGTAGATTCCAATCCCTCACGTTTTCTTACCATCTATGCTGTCAAGCCCTCGGTGTCGGATTGTATGGTAGAGGTGTTTAGAAGAGAATAGGATATTTATACAAAGAATAAAATTTTTGCAGGAAGGGTTGTTGTGGCACAGTGGTAGCGTCCCTAACTCAAGTCCCACCTGCTCCAGATGTAGTATCTAAACATATCTGAATAAGTTGGTTAAAAATGTCTAAAATGTTTCAGGACAGTGACGAAGAGGAGAGAAAATGGGATTAGCTGTGTTTCCTCTCAAAGTGAGCTGGTGCATGCATGGAATGCCAAATGACCTCTTCCTGAACCACAACCATTCTATGATTGTCACAGCATCCCCATATCTTTTTGACTCTCCTTGTGACCATAAATCTGTTGTTTTGATCAAAAAATCTCTTGGTGGACTGATATATTTACTGCAGTCAAATTGCATAAAAGCATAAAATTATACAAGAAAATCTCAAACAGCATCCGGGAAGAAAGTTTGATGATCTTAGATCAGAACATTACTGAACTACAGACAGACAAATAAGCAAACATTTTTCCCTACTGATTCAGTAAGTGGAAGAGCTTTTGTACATTGAAAGAAAAGTCTCTTCATGGCAAAAGCAAAATATTTTGGGTGTCGTAGTATTATAGATATTCTGAGAAGGCAGCAAATGCTGGAAATACTCAGCAGGTTAGGCAGCATTTGTGGAGAGAGAAACACGCAACACTTCAGTTCTGTGATCCTTCATCTGAACTTACAATTGTTAGAAATGTAATATGTTTTAGGGAAGTTGAAGTGTAAATGATAGGGCAGCAGTCACTTGGTCACAAAATAAAGGTGCAAAAGAAAGGATCAAGAGATAAAAGCTGAAATAGTGAAAATGCGTATACACACATGAGGGCAGAGGATATTTCTTAAAATTGTTGTGCAAAATGTTGAGCTTCAATGGAAAAGCCCAAGGACAGAAAAGTCACAGTGGAAACAAGATGGGAGAATTGAAATGACAAGTGACAGGAAGCTCAGAATCATGCTTGAGGACTGAATGAAAGTATTCACCCAGTTTTAATGGCTTTTCAGTTAGTAGCTCAGGATTAGATGTACTTATTGAACATCCACAGTTCATGCATTGTTGCAAAGAGAGGAATGATCAGTAGAAAATCAGAAATTATTTATTCAATTTTCTACACATTAGAAATATCAACACTGCAATAAAAAAATCTCTGGTAATATCTTAAGTGTCCTGCTCCTAATATCATTTTTATTTTCTGGGTGAGGATTATTTTTAAATTATTCATGTTTTAGTTGACACAAATTCTCTAAAGTTTCCACTAATCTTCACAAGCCAAATGAATACTAATCTAATCTAGGCTTCAGCAGGATCCAATAAAGAGCAGCAGACATGATTATCTGTTTGAGTTATGTAAACCCTCGAGACAAAAGTCTGAGGCCCTGTAAATTCTGCTGTTTCAGTCCGTTATGTTTGATAAATGTTTCAAACATTTTCAGTTACACAGAGGCTATTTCCTCCAGGTTTTCTCAACTTTTTCCTGTTCTGAAGGCAGCGATTGTTCCAAAGGTTATGGCAACAGGATTTCCAAGCAGCATTCAACCATTCCTTTCCATGTGCGATTCTAGTATGTGGATGGTCAGCGAAATACTTGGCCATATAATATCACAGACAAGACTATTGTCTTCAACCTGCAAATCATTCCAGTAACGGTTGCTGGGCAGCGCAGTGATCAAGGTTCTTGGTTTTTCTCTCTCATTTAGCTTGCATTAAAGAAAAATGTTAACTATTCAAAAATGGCAAAGATTGTGGCAAGCAATTTGTAGCTCCTCCACTGTGATTTAGGCTGAAACTTAGATTGATTTTTTTTTTCTTTATTTAGCAGAACAGCCACGATGGCTCGAATTCCCGTGGGCAAAGTTCTTCTGCGAAACGTCATTCGTCACACAGACGCACACAACAAGGTAAATTTGGTCCATTTAAGTTTGTAAATTCAAATTAAGAATGTTTCAGTGTGACAATACTTGCACAAAATAATCTTTCAGTTGGAAAATAATCTTACTGCATTATGTAGACTACGGATCTGTACTGTCATATTTAATCATTCTAGTTTATAGTTTTATATTTAGTAACATTGCAACATACCATGGAGTAGGTAACTAAACATTATAATTTTTAGAATTGATTTTCAAATGCGTATTCATATTGTCACAACTGCAGGATATCTCATGTTTAATTGGAATTTCTTAAGGATCTCTTACTTCCATTTGTTTTTATGCTGCCGCCAACAAAACCTGCATGTGTGTAACACTTTTTAGTTAGGTATCCCAAGATGCTTCATAGGAGCAGTATAAAGCAAAATTTGACATTGGGAATGTAGGGTGATACAGTCAATTATGCTATAACACGTTCCGGCAACGCGAATTGGCTATAATGCAACTAACGAAGAGGCAAATGCTATTTCTAAAACGCGTACTTGTCTTGGCTATAACGTGATTCCATCAGTGCTGCTCATCCTGGATAATGCGGCAAGCCATCCTCCCACCGTTGGTGAACTTTCTGAAAACATCTAAGTGCTATTTCTACCCCCAAACACAACCTATGGACCAGGGTGCAGTAGCACCTTTTCAAGCTTATTATTTAAGGTGCACATTTAAGAGGCTGATTGCAGCCACTGAGGGGGATAACGACATGTTCTTCAATTTTGAAAGATCTTTAACATCAAGAATACAATTCACATCATAGTGGAGGCCTGGGATGATGTCAGTAAGGACTGCTTGCATGCAGTTTGAGGGAAATTTCTCCCAGATTTTTTTCAAGATTTTAAATCAAGATTTTGCTGTGTCAGAGGAGCTCCCAAGAATCAAAGAACATTGTGTTACTCTTGCAAAACAAGTTGGATTTGAAGAAGTGGAGAGTGAGGATGTTGAAGAGCTCCTTGAGTCCCACAGTGAAGACCTCTCTACAGCTGGTCTACAACAACTTGTCACTGAGGGGGTAGTGGAAGCTGGAAATGAAGAAGATGAAGTCCAGGATGCAGCACCACGAGAGCTTTCCACTTCTGTTTTGTCCTCTATCCTGAGGGAAATTGAGAAGCAGTTGCAGCTCTTAGAGGACGAAGATTACAATGTAGAATGGAGCAGGGTAGCAGTTTGTGGAATAAGATCTTATTTGACACCCTATGAACAACTTTTTCATGAAAGAAGAAAATGGGCAAGGCAGCAAAACCTGGATGTCTTTTTTAAGCCAACCCCCAAGAAACAGTCAGAAGACAATGAACCACAGCCATCCGCTTCTAGATTAACGATTTTTCACCCTAACCCTGCAACCACAACTGTACCTTAAGGTGATGATGATGATGACTACGACCCTCAGCCCCTGCATTGACAACAGAGCAACCTCAAAACCTCCTCCCCCATCAAGTCATCTTGACTTTTGTTTTTCAAGGTAAGGTGTTAAATTTACGTTTATTTCATTATTAGATATGAATTAAAAAATTATTCAAACTGTACTATCCTTTGTGTGAGGCTTTTGAGTGATTTTGAGTATTATTTGGTGGTCTGCCCCTAACCCTGCTTTTCCCATAGATTCCGTTATTTTTATAGTGCGACTTTCTATAACACGATGTTTTGCACGAGCGCAACTATCGCAGTTTAGCAGAACCGACTGTTGTAGGCCAAATGACCGTAAATTTGGACAGAGAGTAGGTTTAAAGGAAATCTAAAATGGCTAAAAGAGAGGTAAGAGGTTCAAAGGTCAGAGCTTTAGAGATTAGAGCCATGGCAGCTGAAGATATGATGACCTATGTTGGAGAAGTTACAGTCAGGGGTATGCAAGAAGTCTGAATTGGAGGAGCAAAGGTTGTTCAGACAGGTGTAGGACTGGAGAAGTTTACAGATGTGGAGAGCTGAGGCCACGTGGAGAGCTGAGGCCATGAAGGGCTTTAAAAACCAGGTTGAGAATTTTTAAAATCAGTGCTGTGCTCAATTTGAGAGTCAGTAGAAGTTAATGAGCACAGGGGCGATGAGTGAATGGAGCTTTGTGAGAGTTAAGATATGTGTGGCAGAGTTTAGGATGATCACAAGTTTATGGAGCGTATAAGATATGAGGTTGGGCGGGCATGTATTGGAATCATTGTGAAGGAGTGAACATTGTCATTAGATATAAATTGAGGATGGGTTATGAATGCATTTTCATGTAGTGGATCAGTAAATGAACATTAACTAATGATTTTAATTGGAGTTACTCCATGCATTTCTGGACTGTGCAGTTATTGGCAAATAAGGAAAGTATAAACAATGTTTTGAAATTTTGAAGTACATCGTGGAGTTGTAGCATATAAACAGGACATGCTGGAAACATTGAAAGGTCACTGACCTGAAACATGAACTTTGTTTCTGACTTCACAGATGATGCTTGACTTGTTGAGTATTATCAGAATTTATCATTTTTATTTCAATTTACAGTACCTGGAGTAAGGGGCAGAATCAGATGTCCAGTAGATTTGATTACTTTCAGTGAGAGAAGTGACCCAGAAAGGTTGGCTTCCATTATTAGATATAACAGTGATCTTTTTCTCACTGTAGAAGAACCAAAATGTTACAAAAATTCAATTGCTATATTTCCCTATCTTTGCTCCATTTGTTCTCGGTCTGCAGCCTCAGACTATTTTGCTTATTTTTTCCTACCCGAGCTGGATAAAAAGTTCCATAATTCTAAACACGATTCAACTCAAGAATTTCTGACCCAGAGCCTAGAATTTTGCAGTTTGAGCTACTGACCTAGTCAGCTAGCTGACTCATTTCAATCAACTCGGCAGAATGCCATTTTTTTTCATAAATCTCTTCTGATTTTCGTTTTTGCAGATTCAAGAAGAGTCAGAAATGTGGAAAATTAGAGAAAAAGAGAAGCAAACACATGAGATGAGACTTTTCCAGCGGAGAAGGAAATCCTGTGAGAGTTTGCCGGGGTAAGTATCTAATCCTGTTCTTTTGAAGAAACAGGTGCTGAGGATAAAATTAAGTTCCTTTCCTCCTTACAGCAGTATTCGGAGAAGCTGACCTGTAATTGTGGATGAGATACACAAGTCCTCAAAATCCATCTTTCATTGTATGTTTTTGAGAGATTTTTAACTGTGGCATACACTGATTTTATTTTTTTAAAAATGCATTTGAATTTAATTGTTTTTATTCCTGTCAGTATACTGGGTCTGGAAGCTCATGACTACGCGTTCATAAATCAAAGTTCAAAGTGTTAGGAATGGAGGTCTTCTACTGAGATCTGGGGAATTTAGCCTTGAGCAAGGTTCTATACAACAAAAACAGAAAGTGCTGGAGAAACTCAGCAGGTCTGGCAGCATCTGTAGAGAGATAAACAGTTAACATTTTGAGCCCAGACGTTCTGACAAAGGGTCACTGGATTTGAAATGTTAACACTGGTTCTCTCTCTCTGTAGATGCTGCCAGACCTGCTGAGTTTCTCCAGCACTTTCTGTTCTTGTTTCAGATTTCCAGCATCTGCAGTTCTTCGTTCTTATCTATACAAACAAGGCTGATCTGAGTAAAGGCATCACTTGCTGTGGGGCAAAGAAAGGGAGACCAACTGGCCCCAATCTCTGCTGATTTAGCTGATCTTCTCTTGGGACAGAGTTGGACTGTGTCAGTCATACCCAACAGACTGGGTGAGGAAGCAACTCCTTGATCGCCATCTCCTGACTCTATTAAAAAAGTAGTAAAGGCAGGTAAGTAAGGACACAGGAAATTGTTCAACTATAATGCTGTGCGCAGTCAATTATCTTGTTAATGCACACTAACAGGTCATACCCTTTAACCTACTTGGTCACAGGATAGTATTGGCAAAGATATTGTTACCACATCTACTACTTTGAATGTTAAAATTGAATGTGTGGGAAGCATAAACAAAAGATAGGAACAAAAGTGAGTTATGTCCTTATTAAAACAATGCTGATCTGAACCAGCAATAGAATGCGGTGTGATGGGTACGATGAAGAAGATGAAGAGAAAGAGAGAACAGCAAACTCTGCTGCTCGTAAGTCATTGACCACTCCACAAGATGAGCGTGAAACAAGATACTGGACAAAGAAGCTGTATGAGTTTGAAGCAAGTGATCCGAACAGGTGTGCTTCTTCACATCTTTTCTTAACTGACAGGAAGTGCTGTGTTTTTTGGGTGAAGTTGTGAAACAGAAATTAGTTTGAATTTTGTTGTAGCAGATTACATTTATTCATCTCTTTTTAGAAGAAAAGTCTCATTTTGGTAGTTGAAATTTGCTTTTACTGTTCCAAAGGTTGACTTAAAGATAATTGGAAATAGTTGACTTTGAATTAAGAAATGTCGAATGTATTTTGGGGAAATATGCACTTTGAAATATGCCTGAAATATTTATCTGATTCTCATAGAACTGTAAATTTTGTATTAAAAATGAGCATGCTACAAGTTGAAAGCAAAAACAGGCAAAAGTGGTAGCCAAGGGTCAATATTGGATCACAATTTTTGTCCTTGAATTTCACTTGAACCATAGCCACTTTGTAAATTTCTTTTCCCTTATACATAACTTTTCCTAAATTGGAGACCAACTTTCAAGCTAATATTCTTGAGCGTTCTGCCTTTTAAGGATATCCATCCTATAAATTTGCTTTATATTCCATTTTGGGAGGCACTATTAGAAAAGGTATGTTTCTCAGAAGCGTACCATCAGCCATAATTTAATGGTGGAGCAGACTCGATGTGCTGAATGACCCAATCCTGTGTCTATATCTTATGGTCTTATGAAGAAGCTGTAGAGAAAAAAACAAGTTATGCTTCGATTAATCATTATCATTGCTGGTCGAGTAAGTTGATGATCTTTTTCTCAGACAGTTTCAAAATCAAGTACTGGCAATTGCTGACTATTTTAACTGATTGATCAGTTTTTGTGTACAATTGATTGGTTCTAGACAACTCCCTTTGAAGACAGCTGTTTCATTTACAGAACGTTATGTAGATATTCTCAGCAGCAGCTTTGCTGCAGTCAAAAACATTTGTTTTCCATGAATTATACAAGATTCAGAGCATGTTAATCTGGTGAGAGAGTCTAAAGGGTTAGTCACATTGTTTAAAATTATTACTGCACAGACCATTTGATAAAATCAGATTGGCAGCTTGATAGCAAGACAACTCAGCAAACCTGAGGTAATTTATCTCTGTGTTCCTCAAGTAGTGAGCAGTGCGTTTTGGGCTGCCAGTGGGCACAGAAAAAGCTGAATGATTTCTGTTGGGGAAGAAAGGGCAAGTCTTGTCAATGAGTCATTGTGGGCCTGTTCTTAGTGGCTGATTACAGAACAGCGTCGTCACTGGGATGGGGCTGTTCACTGAATTGCCACCTTGGACAGGAGAAGGCAGAAATGGGTGTAAAAAATGAAGTCAATTGTGTATCACCTCAGTTTCCCAAATCACTGGCGCACTAAATTGTGCATCAATCCTTCAGGAAATGCTGAACGAAACTGTGAAATTTTCTCCCTAGAGTCATTCCACTTTTGTGCTGAGGTGGCTCTCACTATTGCTACTCACCTAAGGTCATAGAGTTATGCAGCACGGAAATGGACCCTTTGGTCCAACTTGTCCATACTGACCAGAATTCCTTAACTGGTCTAGTCCCATTTACCAACATTTCATCCATAACCCTCTTAAACCCTTCCTATTCATATACCCATCCAGATACCTTTTAAATGTCATAATTTTGTACCCACCTCCACCACTTACCCTGACAGCTTGTTCCATACATGCACTGCCCTCTGTGTGAGAGAGTTGTTCTTCAGGTCCCTTTTAAATCTTTCCCTCTCACCTATGCCCTCTAGTTTTGGACTCCCCTATACTGAGAAAAAGACCTTGGTTATTCACCCTATCCATGCCACTGCTAATTTTATATACCTCTATAAGATCACCCCTCAGCTTCCAATGCTCCAAGGACAAAAGTCCCAGCCTATTCAGTCTGTTCCTATGGCTCAAACCTTCCAATCCGGTAGCATCCTTGTAAATCTTTTCTGCACGCTTTCAAGTTTAACAACATCTTTCCTACAGCGAGGAGACTAAAATTGAAGAGAAGAAAACAGAAGTTGCTGGATAAGCACAGAGTTAACTCTCATTTCTCTCAGTAGATGCTGCCAGACTGGCTTGGCTTAAATAGGAACCTTATGTTTTTGTCTCTGATTTACAGAATTCACAGTTCATTTGGTTTTTATCGACCAGAACTGAATGCAGTATTCTAAAATTAGCCTTACCAATGTTCCGTAGAGCCAAAACATGATATCCCAATTCCGATACTCAATGCATTGACCAAAGGCAAGCATTCTAAATGCCTTCTTCACTATCCTGTCTACCTGCAACTCCACTTTCAAGGAACTATGATGGCAGAGGTTTATTAACTTGACAAAGCACAATAAGAGACAGGTGGCATGTGCTAGAATAAGATGATGTCTCCTGTTCTAGTTGTTGTTAATCATTAAGGCTGATAGTGAGAAGGAGCTAGGTCTTCCATTTGCTGAAAGAATTACTGGAACCTAGAGGAGCAGTCAGACACCTAAGCTCTTTTAGTGTACTACTCAAGAACTTGTCCGATTGGTATTGATGCAGGTCTAGGAGAGGGTAGGTTTCCTTCTTTACTAACAATAGGACAGTGCATGCATTACAAGAGGATAGACATTGTAAGGCTTCAATAAAATAAAGTTTGGAATTTTAAATTTGCACACGCACAATTATTATGCAGGAGAGTCTGTTAGCTCAAGAAACCATGTTTAGACAAAGTCTCGGGTCTTGGGACTCTGCCAGTTCTGTGAGATAAGGCACAGTAGTTAGATGTATTGTGGAAAGAAATTGTACTGGAAAAGTGTTTGATCTTACTCGGAATATTGGTGTACAGTGAAGAGATTTGAGTGATCGAGTGCATGTAAAATATTGCTCCATGGAAATCTCATTCGTTCAATATCTTTTTTGCTTTAATAGAATATATTAAGATTATTTAATATAGATAGCACAGTGTGGAGCTGGAGGAACCCAGCAGGCCAGGTAGCATCAGAAGAGCAGGAAAGCTGATGTTTCGGGTCGGGAACCTTCAGAAATTGCTATCTCTATTAAGATTATTTGTTTCCTTTTATTTTAAGTCATGTATTTATACTGACCCATATGGTTTTGTTTATTCAGATGGGGCCACAGTGGCTACAAAGAGCTTTATCCAGAGGAATTTGAATCTGAGAGGTAAGTTTAAAAACAGGCTCAGCATGGTTGTAAATGCAGAGACCTACTGTAAATCTAACATGGGAAAACTAAGAAAGACTTGAATATACCTATTGTGCTTTTGCTGATCTGACGATATTTTAATGTGTTTCACAGCCAGTGAAGTATTTTTGAAGCATAATCTCTTTTGTAACAAAGAAAACGTGCAGTCAAATTGCACATGGCAAGCTCCCACAGACGGATATGTGATAATCATCAATTCATCTGTTTTTGCATTATTGGCTGAGGGATAAATAATGGTCAGGGCACTGGTGATAATACTTTGGACATCTTCAACATCATAGAATCTTTTACATCCGCCTGAGACGGCAGACAGGGCTTGCATTTTAACATTTTATCTGGACACTGCCACCTCACAAGTGAATATGAGGAGTTTTAGCATGGGAAGAGTGTTGAATGGTGAGTCAAATGTCACCTTGAATTCCTATTTACCTATCCTGCCTAGAAGCATATCCTGGTGCTGGACACAGAGAATACAGGATTGAATCTAGCAGTGAAAGCCTCCACTGTAGAATAGCTGTTCACTTTCCAGCCTTTCATGTGAGCAGCAGCCACCCACTTAGAGTGCCAGTTGCAGAGGCTGGAGATTTGAAACAAACAGATACAGAAATTCCTGGAGAAATTCAGTTCTCAAGAAGGGTCACAGGACACAAAACTTTAATTCTGTTTTCTCTCCAAAGAATCTGCCAGACCTGAGCTTCTCCAGCAATTTCTGTTTTTGTTTGTATGAGTTGCCATTGCTTTGGGAAGGAAAAAAAAACGAAGATATTAAATCCAAATAAAGCAAAATACTGCAGATGCTGGAAAAACTCACAGGTCTGTCAGCATCTGTGGAGAGAGATAAACTGTATTGTCTCAAGTTAGTATGACTCTTCAGAAAATGTTGACTGTTTCTTCCACCACAGATGTTGCCATACCTGCTGAGTTTCTCCAGCATTTTCTGTGTTTATTTAAGACGTTATGTCCTTCCAATTGCAGTTGCGTCTAAGCATGTAAAGTATCAAAAGTAAATTTGCAAGATCTGAGAGTTCTTCTACTATTTTACTCTGAATCCAGTAAAATGCTAGTCTAATTATATTCCTCCCCAGTAAGCATCACCTTCACCACCTGTGTATGACTCCACCACAGGCTGTGCCCTGTTAGCCGGTCTCTGTCTAACTTGCAATTTCAGATTTGTCCCCTATGCCAAGTTTGTCTGTACTGAGTCTGTCCATCAGAACCTTGTCTGCTGTCACACACTTTTTTTTGCTTTTAACTCAGTTTTAGTTGCAACATCTGGTCACTTGATATCAGGATCAGGCGATTGCTTCAATCAAGTGAGTGATTCTGCTACTTGTTTAAAAGGGAAAAATGTACAATTACACTGTGTGAATTGCAAATTTGCCTTGCTTGTGCTGTTGGGCCTCAGACTTTTGACACTGGCAGTGAAGGCAGTCTGTTAGTATGATTTTTTTTTTTTCCTTTTCATCTCAGCGATCAACTGTGGCATAATTCCGTTATGCCTGTCTTAGAAATGTCTACTTCTGGATTAAATAAAGGTTTCTTAAAACTCAAAACAAGAATTAACTTTTTATTTTTAATTTCTAGTGACCAAAAAGATAGCAGCGATGAACGCACTGCCAATGGAACAAAAGCCATATGCTTGAAGTCTTCAAAATCAAACTCGCGAAAACGCAAGCGATCGAGTAAATCAAATAAAAAGAAACGCAAGAAGAAATCTAGCAAAAAGATGAGGAGGAAGAAACGTCTACGGAGCAGTGATTCTTCAAGTGATAGTGAAAGCTCAGAGGAGGAGGATTCTGATCAGAGGAAAAGGAGGAAAGTGAAGAAGAAGCACCACAGAAAAACTGCGCGAAAGCAGAAAAAGTTATCATCCACCTCCTTTGAAAGCGAAAGCAATTCGTCACACAGCAGTGATTCAGACACAACTAGCAAAGATGAAAGTGATTCTGGGAGTCAGCTAGAGAAAAGGAAAAAGAAAAGAAAGAAAAAGCGTCACAGGAACATTCCCAAAGACGATGGTGATAAAGAAATAAAAAATAGCCGAAAGAAGAGAAAAAACTGGAAAATAGCGCACAATGATACTTCAGATGACAGTGGAGAAGATGACTTGAATTAGATTTGTACTTTGAAAGTCTGTTCTCAAGTTCCTAAGGAAATAACTTGAATCGTGTAAACTGAGTCAGACTAAGAACATAATTTTGGTTTTACTGACTTAGTTCAAAAATTGTTTAGTGCTAGTTATGAATTTACATTTTGTGCTTCAGGAGATTGTTGCACAAAGCAGGCCGTACTCCAGAAAGCTCTTTCACTTGGTGTAAAAGTGATGTCTACTTTATCTATGTACCACTGTGCTGCCACAGTAAGTGATAAGGTGTGGGATTAAGAGTTTAGGAGCTAGGCCTGTCCGAAGCAGAACCATGTGACAAGTTGCTCAAAAGCTGCTTATCTTCTCTTGGTTATGAATGCTTTTCTGTACCACACCAAAATTCTGGAAAGATATTGTCGTTGACTTCAGAGTTACCTGTAATATATCAAGCCCTGTGTCTGATTTCATTTTGCAGAGCTCTTCGGTCATTCCAAACAGGCAAAGTCCATGAAGTTGCTTAACACTTAAAACTGCACTCTGCAATTTTGTCGCTGTCATTTTGCTGGGAACTTGAGTTGTTAGTTCCAGAAAGGTGGAGATTATGGCAACCAAAGTGACCTTTGTTCTGGTTTGTATAATCTTTCTGACTTGAGCTATATCAATTGTTATTTCCCTGATGCAGTGGAATTGCTTTTTGTTTAAGAAGAGGCAGTATGAAGCAAAATTACGATTAGTGAGAAGAAGGCAAGATATTCTTGCTGATCGTGCAGTGTGTCCAGCTGCTGAAACTTGAATGGGTCAGCCTGCACAATAGTGAAAGTCTGCAGTCAGAGGGATTTTGATACTGTGCTCCTGAATGGCAGGATTTGCTTTTGATTGAACCAAGTGCTTGCAGCTCTCTGTGCAATCTATATCCTTTGATCCATTCAGTGACTATATGCGAAAGAACACTGCTGCAGCTGTGTAGTTCCCTAAAAGCTCCAAACCCCAATCCCTTGAAACTCTAATCGTTTGATTGACTGAGTTCTGTTTTTGTTACTTAAGCTTAATTATCTTTGCAAAATCCACAGATTTTAGAACAGTGATTAACTAAAAATGGTCAAAGTAAAAGCAGAGATGATGGGCAACTTCTTTTAATGTGTTGGTTTAATAAAGCACTTTTTTTCAATTTTATTTTTCAAAACAGAAGAATTTTTCCCTTTAGTTTTCTTTCTGGCTTCTGGACACAGTTCAGTGGGTACACTGCTCACATGGCCATTTCTTATGTCTTAGCCTATACAGTAAATATTGGCAGATAATATAAGCATTTACATAACTGTAGCTGAGCCCAATCAGGTGTTCACTTGATGCACACACACATGCACTTTCCAAATGGTGTTTTGAACCAAGAATCCATAAAGCTCGGGGATGCTGAAGCTTACAGTGGCCCTCTCACCTGCTGTGCTGCCTACAATCACGAACATCACTCAAAGCATAAAGATCTTCTGGTCTTTGTAGCTTTTTTCGTTAATTTGTTGACGACTTAACAGCTTGAGCTTTTTCCATACTGGATTATTGTTTTTCCCTAGCCCTTTCTTCCCCAGGTTCTTCTGATTGTCAGGTTCTTATGGGATAGAGTTGCAGGAGCATTGGTAGCTCTCAGGCTGTTCCACCCAAGTAATGATTTGTTGTGCAAGGCTGGACAGAAGATGTCAGTGGGCTGTTTGGATATACAGCTCCAGAATGGTTTTATTACGGTTTGTAAGAACTGACCTGCCTATTAGTTACATATTGAATGAATTAAAGCCAGTGAGCCTGTAACCTTGTGTTGTTAGTCTTGAAACGATCCTGATTTATCTTTTGATTTCTTGGGAATTAAGTGTATGTCCCAGTGTGGTTGAATTAATTCTGATTGAATTAAAACTGCTGGATGTTGATGAAAAGCATTTACTTCAAATGACTAAGGGACTGGACATATTCTGATTATGGAGTTTTTTTAGTTCATGACATTTAATGGGAACTGTTCTTTTAAATTAAAAGTGGTGACATTGTTTTTGGCAGGGAGCAGCTAATATCTGCACCAAGTTTGTACAAAAGTCAGGCTCTTTGGGAACAGTATTAAGATTTTGTTCACAGATCACAGTAATGCTTTTTTTTCCATTTTTTTTCCTCCACCTGCTGAAGCTATTGACCAGTAAATATTTTCTGCACGAAAACATCAAGGTAGATGTTGAAACTTGTGTTCTGGTGAGCCTTCAACATAAGGGAATTGAGCCTTAGTTTAAAAATATTCACTGCTTTATGTACAATTGGTGTATCTAAGCCCTTGTTCTATAAATAGAACTATTGTGGGTGCTGCTTGGTGATATACAAGGTTAACTGTGGACTATTTCTGCCAATATCTGTTGGTGTCGTCTTTTCCCATGTTACTAAGTGACAGTTTTTTTTTTAAATCCATTTTGTATTTAACCTTTAGTATATATTAGCATGATTTTTGCTTAATAAATATTTTAACACTTTAATTTTTGTTGACTGCTAGCATCCATGAATTGCAAACTTTGTAAGTACTGTTCACAATTAAAAAGGCACAAACATGACATCATGGACTATATTCCTCACTTGTCAGGTGCCATGAGAAAATGTAGTGTGTTTTTGACTTTGTTTCTCAAGGTTTTTTCATTCTGTTGCACAGTGTAAGTGCTCTCTCATTTGAATTGCACTCCTCACTTGAGTTTTGTGTAAATGCATTTGACGGAATAATACCACACAAGTTTCCAGCCAAAGTTATAACCGGCTTTGTCATGCAGTTGTTGATTTTTCTTCCATTTGGGTCAGTGTTGAACAAATTTTCTCTGCTCAACCTTGCAATTCTTCGATGCAGAGTTCCATCATTACCAGTGGCCGTCCTGTGCTTCATTTGCTGTAAGGAATGGAAAGTATAGGAGGCAATGACAGCCAACAGACTATGCTGGTGTTCAGTGCAGGCCATTCAGTATGTGGAAAACAATGTAGTTGAGACAATTTCAGACACTGACTAGATGCTGTGTTTTATTAATTCATTTTCTGTTTTAATTTGGACTTACGTAATTTTATTTATTATTTGCATCATCGCAGATTGTTATGTCCTAATACGCTCATCTTTAGGATAAATAAGCATGTGTGCTTTCATGTTGTCTTGCCTAAACCAGTTGTAGAACCCAACCACTGTCCTTTAAAATTCAGCATCTCTTGCTCCTGATTTGTGTTTGTGGAATCTGAAAAGCAAAAACTCACCTATGGGTGGTGCTATTAACATAAATATCATACTCAGCAGTGCCATCAGCAGGTAGTTGACAGTACTTCAGTTGTTTGGAGGTTTGCCTTCACCAGCTTGTCACCTTTCAAATTTCAGATAGTTTTCTACATTTCTTTCCCACTACGCCTTCACTAACTCAACTGAGTATCAGATTCCTCACACACAGTTTGAGACAGGAGGGGCAGCAGGAAATTTGACTAAGATGTCCAGTTTCATCTCTGATCCTACCACTGGACATCAAACTGGTTCGCTCTGCTGGGATTATTAAATACAACTCAGATCAAGCTAAAACTTCCTGTCTGTGTTAGTAGAGGTGGGAATTAGGAAATGTTCTGCTATCATACGTTGGAATGGGGTGAGTCAAAATTCATTGTAACATTACGCAGGACGGAGCAGACAAGCTCACTTTTGCACATATTAAACAGTAGAGTAGATGCACTTTTTAGATGTTATGAATACCTTAAGAGAATGGAAAGTCACAATAAAGACTAGCATTGACTAAGATGAATGGGCCGCATGAAACCCTGGCATGTCCCTTTAAAGCATTCATCTTTTGATGTATCCGCTTTGATCCTTTTGTTAGCTTAGTTTCAAATTGTACTCAGGATTTTCAAAATATTATCACAATAGTTTTATTCTTCCACTTCAAGGTGTGACATTCCACATGAAAAAACAAGAAATGCACAAATTCCCATAGGCACCATACAGCTGGAAATAAGCATCAGAGTGCCCACATTAAAAGATTTGTTCTTCAAAGAACCAATAAAATGCAAACCATTTTCGCACTCTTGCCCACTGATTTATGTTCTCCTGATAACAAAAGCAAAAGTTGGAATGGCCTACAAAGCAAGAAATATGCCGAGGTGCTGGAAAGATCAACATATCTCTGTTCTTTTTATAATAAATGTTTATCATTAGCTGCTTTGAAGACTTTTCTAAAAAAAATCATTTACGAGATGTGGGCATTTGCCTGCTGGGCCAAATTTCATTACTCATTCTTAATTGCCCTGGAAGCAGCCTTCTTGGGCTGCTACAGTCCTTGGTTTGTGGCGGCACCCACAATGTTGTTGAGAAGGGAGTTTCAGCATTTTTACTTGGTGACACTGAAGGAACAGCAATATAATTCCAAATCGGAATGGCTTGATTCAGAAAGGAACCTTGTGTTACTCGGATGGGTTTCTAAAATAGTCTTCAAGGATTTCCTGTGGGGCCCTATTAATTTGGAAGGTCAGCTTATTCTAGCATCCTCCAGACAAGGGAATTATATCGGGCAAAACATTTCCCATTAATACATTCCAAATTTCCTCAAGGCGATCAGAAGCTTTCAGACTGACGATCCAAGAGAAGTCATTAAGTCATTTTCTTACCTCTACTTATTGCTGCTTCACAGCCTGGGAATTCTCCCAAACAAAACATTGCTTCCAAAGCAACAGAAGGAAGCTGGGCTGCATTGGTTTTTAAATGGCTCTAATTAAATTTCAGTCTCCAGAAATTGCATTGTGTTCACTCCATCCTTATTAGGCATGCCTTCTAGAACCTTCAGAGAGAGAGTCCTCCACAATAAACAGGACAGAACGTTCCGAACATAAAAATGAAGAAAAGATGATAATAACCTCTGATCAGTTGCTATGTAGTTTGAGAGTTTGTTGGAAGTTGAAAGCATCTTCTTTGAGCATCATATTGGTTATCACCCTCTTGAAGGAATTTCATGATGATCAATCTCTTGTTTGGGCAGGAGGAGGTGGTTAAGATTGTAATTAATGGTGATCCATCAGTAGCTCCATCCCTGATACTAGCAGTCCACAATTAATTCTAATTTAAATAATATGAACCATACTCATCATCATTCCTGAAAGATAAACAATAAATTTTTCATTATGAGACTTTTTCATCCTTGATCCAGCAAGTTTAGGTTTCCGATTCCATCCTGATCCTATGCATATTCTTGATGTTGACGTTCTGTCCTCCTCAAAACAAGAGCCTGTTGGGAAAACAAAGTTTTTTTTCTACTTGTAGTTCTTAATAAGACTGTAATAACCCCTGCGTAGGTATGGCCCAAACCCTTAATTCAAACCCTTGAATTCTCTTCCTACAGCAGCTGTTTGAGTAATGTCGTATATTGTAGATTTTGTCCATTTGAGGATGCCATACACACATATCAGCAGAGGGAGTTTGCTGAAAAAAAGATAATAAAGGATCCATGTTTAACAGGTAATGCAGTTCTAATTGACAGACTGAATAGATAATTGTTTATGTCCTAAGAATTTCACAAATGACAACTGCCAATTGAGGAATTTTATGCTTATGTCCATTAGGAATAGGCCAAAAGTGGCCAAACTCATTTCCACATAGTAACTGTCTTTTTTTTTCGACAAGTTAACTTGTCTTAAGTCGCCATCCAACATGTGAGCTCCAACTGTCAAGTGTTCTGATAATATTGTACTTCTGTATTTTTCTCTGGGACTACCTTTATCATGTGAGTATTTGAACAGCAGACATGGATGACTGAACTGATTTTATGTCACTCAAAAGTCTCAGTGCAATTCCCCCAGATGGCCCTCAAATCCTTTGTCAGCAGAAATCATGCAAGTGGGAAACAAGATGCTTCAGTACCTTTTTCAATAGATGCATAAAGCCTGCAATCTTCTGGGTTTTGCCTAGTCTGAACCGATTGAATTATTCACAAGCATAATGTTAAGTGTGCTATTTTAATCAGGATATTCCACGGTTAAACTATGTTGCTGAGAGAAGCAAGACTGACAAGTTCAGTTCATTTGCTGATGTTCCAGAAAAATGCACTCCTGTGCCAATTGCTGATCCAAATTCTTATTTTCATGTATCCTGCAGGTTGAGAGATATGCTGCAGAAACAGAAATTGCTGGAGAAACTCAGCAGTTTTGGCAGCATCTGTGGAGAGAAAACAAAGTTAATGTTGTGAGTACAATGACCCTTCTTCGGGTAAATAAATCAAAGAACTGCAGATGCTGGAGATCTGAAATGAGAACAGAAATTGCTGGCCAAATTCGGCAGGTCTGACAGCATCTGAGGGGAGAAAGCAGCGTTAATGCTTCAAGTCCAGTGACTCTTAATTAGAATTCAATGCTCTTTGGTCGGATGACCATGCAACACCATCAACATAAAGCATTAACTCTATTCTGTCTCTACAGATGCTGCCTGACCTGCTGAATTTATTTTTGTTTTAATGATGTTTGTTTTATCTTATGTTTAATAATAAATGGTATGAAAGGTTTCTCTTTTTTTTATGAAAAAGAAGTTACCAGCCACAGCAGCCTGAGCTGGATAAGGTTGTGACATTTTGGCTGATGTGACTGACAGCTTCATCTTTACAAAGCATTTTACACAAGCCTTTACAACTGGAGAATGCTGGAACTGAATCCATGTCAGCAGTCTCTGCTTTGGCTAGATTTCAAAATGAGCCTACCTGTCAGCTGGCCAGACTGTATACCTCCGGTTTAAAGAAATGTGCTGTATCAGTAGAAGAATTCCTGTGAAAACATTACAGCCAGGCAAATGCATTCCTTGGTACAGTGCTGAACTTGATAGGAAAGCATACATTTTGAACCTTAGCTGATCTGAGCTGGAGTGTCAGAGCACCGCAATTGGACTCAGGGTACTTCACTTTGCATCAGTTCCCCTGAGCTAGAGGGAAAATCAAGCAGGTTTCCAATTGCTGATATCCCTAAGCCACATTTGAAAACTCTGTGCCAATTTGAGTGTTTGTTGATGCATGCTTGCATTGTAATTAAGAGCAGCTAATACCAACTGGGGGCAAATTTGGTCTCATCTATAAGAACCACTTTGGCAGGGGGCTCTTATGGTGTAGTCGTAGTGTCCCTACCTGTGAGCCAAGAGGCCCAGGTTCAAGTTTCACCTGCTCTAGAGGTGTGTAGGAACATTAGAAAATATCTATAAGAGAGCCTGTTTGGTGGTGCAGTGTTTGTGATCTTACCTCTGGACCGAACGTTTTAAGGTCAGATCCCACCTGCCCCAGAAGTGTGTCATAACATGTGATTTGGCTTTTTTTAAAAACCAGTTTCTACCTGAGAATGTCTCCTCTATAGAAGCAAGTAGTAGTCTGCAGTCATTTAGTAATGAATATTGTGAATTGACCTGTGTGGAAGACAGAGAAACTTCTGCCTCTTGCTTTGCCAGATGGATGTTGACCAAATTAATGAATATCTCTCTTTCTTCCTTTAAGAAGCTGCTTCAAAAGTACCTCTTGATGAAGCATTTGATCATCTGCTTTATTGAATCTTCCTTTGGCTCAATCTCAGTTCCTGTTTCATTGTACTCCCAGGAAGCTTGTGTAAAGGGGTTATGTAAATACAAGTTGTTATTGTTATTGGGCTCTTCACCTCTCTGGAATGTGTGTACAGAACATTGTGCGAGGATCATGGCTATAAATTATTAACATTTTCAGGGATTTTTTTTCTTCAGGAGAATTAAGCGTCTCTGTGTTAAGACCAAGCATGGAACTAATCTATCTTCCCGTTCTTTTTGATCCAGTTTTGTGTATGATCTAAATAATATAGACTATCAGAAAAGCTGTGTTGCAAATTAAAGCACTCAGTTCCATCAGTGAACTCCAGGATACTTCTTTCAAGCAAATATCAGCTTCGAAGAACAGTCACTTCAAAATCTTTAATATAAAATTGACACTTAAGGGTTTATCAAGGTGAAGGTGGTTTCAACTGTATTAGAGCTCAGTAACAGGGTAATGAGGTCCCTTATCAGCTATGAGAGTTTAAGCAGTTTTACCAATTTAGGGAGTTATATAGTGTAGGGCTATGCACACATGGCACTGAGTTGTGACTTGTCTAAACGTGGAGCTACATTGCTCACTCTCCAGAAGTTCAGGAATACATGGAGTCATTCTGCACCCGGGTCACTGTCACAGAAAATGCTTTGCCTTTGGTTTGGCAGCATGAACAACAGCAACAATTTACATTTCTGTAGCACCTTTAATATAAGTACCCCACGATGCATGTAAACTTCAGGGCTAGAGGTTAGACTGATGATATTTGAACAAAGAATTCTGAAAAGAATGAGTCGGAATTGGAGGTGACAATATGTTTGAGGACCTTAAAAAGGCAAAAGCAGTTAACAATGTGGTTTGGGGGTGGTTGGGAGAGTTAGGAGCAGAACAAACTGCACCATTAATGGTTATTACTAGCAGAATAATTGGGGACCGGATACCACAATTAGATAATTAGGTGAGTTAAAAGGTAATAAAGACATGGCTTTAATCTTAGGCAGCAAACCATAAAGTTATACACATCAGGTTCTGCAAAGGTTGTGGAATTAGTTAAACATCCCAAGTCTGCTGCTGAATACTTCTGCTTCAGAACTAGCCAGCTTTTACAGCTATAGCACTGGCATGTATCCAAAAATGTGGCAAATTGCCAGTTACATCCTGTCCAAAAACAGGGTGAATTCAATTCAGCCAATTACCACCCTATTAGTGTATTCTCAATTGTCAGCAAAGTGGTATATCGACAGTGCTGTCACACAGACACTTACTCACCAATAACCTGCCCAGCGGTGCTTAATTTGGAGTTTTGCCAGGATTACCTGTCTCCAGACCTTGTTTCTACCTTGGTCCAACCATAAACAAAAGAGGTGAATTTCAGATGCAAGGTGAAAGTGGTTGCCTGGACATCAGAGAGTGACATTAAAGCATTCTAGTCGAAGTTGTTGGGATTTGTTGGTTTGGGAGGAGGCGGGGTGATTTTCAAAGATCTGCTCTTGTGGAGAGGATGTTAGCTAATGATTGCATAGTGTTGACTTTAATTTGCAACTGCTCACATAATGAAGCAATCCATGCCGACATGAGGCAAGACGTGGATATTGTTCACACTTAGGCTGATAAGTGGTAAGTTGCAGTCACACCATACAAGTGTCAGGTAATGATCATCTCCTGCAATAGAGAATCTAACTAACTTCCTTTCGATGCATTCTCTGAATTTTACCGTTATGTTAATACTGTAACATGAACTTGGAGACTAGGTTGTTATGGAGGAAAGTATCCGGAGATTTATTTACAGAACAACTAAATACGTTACAACTTTATCACAGACATTCGTATGGTATCATTTAGTGGACTGGTTGACTAATTGACTTTCCCGATAGATTACAAAGTTACAGCAGTAACAGTGCTAATTGTTATTCAAGATGTAGTTGATACCTTTACATGAGAATGTCATGTGGATGATATTACACTGATATCATCACTTAATTCCTTAAAGGTATATTCTTGCCCAATCGTAGATACTTGTGATACCACAACACTCTTGGCATTCAATGGCATTACCGTTACTGATTCCGCCACCATCAACATCTGGGGAGGTCACCAATGTTGAGAAACTGAACTGGACTGGCCATGTAAATACTGTGGTTACATCAGCAGGACAGACTCAGAGTTCTGTGATGACTAACTGACCTCCTGATGCCCAAAATCCTGGCACCATCAACAAATGTGATTAAAGATGTGTGCTTTATATATCTAGATATTAATATAATTATTTTAGAGTTTGGATTTTAAACTAATGGTATATAGGTTTGATCTGTTTTTGTGAAGAGCTTTAATAATTAACTAGGTCATTTTTATTGGAACCATGAATTTAAGCCTGTATGTGTCATTAAACTGATAACAGGAGGCTTCCTGGAGAATTAATAGAAGTTTATATATGATGGGGTTTTATGATAGAAGAGGGAAAACATACATTGATAGTGGCTTTCTTTTGAGTTTAGAATAATCAAGGATTGTAGTTCGAAGGAAGTCTGACAGAAGGCAGATTTAGAATAGTTTCTGCTAGAAAAAAGGCGTTTGTTCAGATTCAGAGCAGTAAAGGGAGTAAGTTACCTCAGTTTAAGAATTTCAGTTGTGTGATTCAAAGAAAAAGGCTTTGGAACACACAGCAATGGAAGTGGAAATAAGAAGCCAAGTCAACCTATAGTCTTGACGGGGAAAGAAATTTTATCCTAATTTTCATTGACTGGAAAGTGATGGTGTTAGGGAGTAAATGGGATTTTGTTTTGCCAATTGTTTCAAATCTTTTATGTTGTGTTATATGTAGAAGTTTAATTTGTGTTGTTATTTTTTGGGGAGAATAAACTTGGGTTTTATTGTCATAATCACATTTGCAGCGTTGTATCAGAGATAGTAAGAACTGCCGATGCTGGAGTCAAAGATAACACAGTGTGGAGCTGGAGGAACACAGCAGGCCAGGCAGCATCAGAGGAGCAGGAAAGTTGATGTTTCGTGTCGGGACCCTTCTTCAGAAATCTGAATTTCTGAAGAAGGGACTCGACCCAAAATATCAACTTTCCTGCTCCTCTGATGCTGCCTGGCCTGCTGTGTTCCTCCAGCTCCACACTGTGTTATATCTGCAGCATAGTATGTTTATATTTCAGTGAAGTATTACTAATTTTACAAAAAAGTAATATATAAAATATGATCTATCAAGACAGACTTTATTCAGGGATCAGACTTGTCCAGTAGTAACATAAGCTGGGATCATGACACAAGGCAAAATATGATGGCGTATTCCTTTTTTACCCAGATGAGTGTAAGTTTAGCAATACTCAAGAAACTTGAAATCATCTATAGCTTCGGGTTCATTCCTTATTTTGGTTAAAGTGAATTCAGGAACTGTTCCTTGACTCACCTGTCGGGGTCATCATGGCTTTTTGGGGCAGAGTCATAGAGTCATTTAGCATAGAAACAGACTGTTTGTTCCAACTCGCCCGTGCCAACGGGTTTCTAAACTGAACTAGTCTGATTTGGTCCATATCCCTCTAAACCTTTCCTATCAATGCACCCCTCCAAATGACTTTCAAATGTTGTAATTGTACCCACCTCCGTCACTTCCTGTGGCAGCTTGTTCCATATACGCATCACCCTCTGCGTGAAAACGTTGCCCCTCAGGTTTCTTTTAAATCTTTCCCCCTCACCTTAAACTTATGCCCACTATTTTTTGACTCCCCTACCCTGGGGAAAAGACCTTGGCTATGCCCCTCATGATTTTATAAACCTCTATAAGGCCACCCCTCAGCCTCCAATACTCCAGGGAAAAATGTCCCTGCCTATCCAGCCTCTAGTGTCAGCCTTTGGACAGAAAATTGCAGAGGAAGAAGAGATTGGAGGTGAGGGGAAAAGAGCAGAATGGAGGAGTCTGATGGCGCAACAAAAAGGAACTTTGACATTGTCCATTGTGGACCAGGAGGAGGACTTGGCTGGAGAGCAAGAGACCTGATTGTTTAACGTGACTTAACCAGGTCTGGAAATGAATAATGAAGAAAGTCACAAAATGTAAGAAGGAAAGAGCAACACTATGCTGTTCTGTTTTTTTTGGACAGGAACATCATGGAAAGGAATAGATGGAGGGGAAAAAAATCTAGTTATTCTCAGACAATAGATATTTCTGAAGAAGGGTCCCAACCCGAAACGTCAACTTTCCTGTTCCTCTGATGCTGCTTGGCCTGCTCTGTTCCTCCAGCTCCACACTGTGTTATCTCTGACTCCAGCATCTGCAGATTTTGTTATCTCGGTTCTCAATGTTGTGCCTTGACGCAAATGAAAGTTGCAGTAGATTCAAAGATATATAATACTTGCACTAAGCCATTCATTAGGCCAATAAATGGAACTAATATCTTTATGGTTTTGAATTTCTCATGTCCACTGTCATTTTCACTCTAAATTTTTATTTTTGTTCTGAATTTGCATTTGTTAATTTTGCAGTTGGGCATGATTCATCATGTAATCAGTGCTCAGTCACTGATGGTTAAGTATTTCACAGTACAAACACATTTTCCTGTGACTCAGATTTCAGTTCTACCTGCTTCCCCTTTCATTTTAATTTCAGAATGCCATTAAAGCAGGGAAGGTAGGAGAACGCTTGTGGCATAGTAGTGGTGTCCCTACCTCTGAGCAGAAAGCCCAGGTTCAGGTTCCACCTGCTCCAGAGATGTGTATTAACATATCTGAACAGGTCGATTCAACAAAGAAGAGAGGAAGGTTTAGGCCAGATGGTGATTATATTGCTTGAAATGTGTTAGCTTTTGGTGCCGAACATTTACTTCCAAAGCATTTCTTTTAGTCCTTCGCAACTGAAATCAATATTCACAAGTCCAAGTTGCCTGTCTGTTCTTCTACTTTTTTCAGTCTGGGACAGTCCATATACAGGGTGTCCCCAGGTTCTGAACTGGTTTCATTCTGGAGTCCATAAGTTGATTTATAAGTAAGTCAGTACACAAAGCAAGACAATATAAAGGAGCTGTTCGTAAGTACAGGAAATGTCGGACTTTTAAACTTACTCCACTTTATGGGATCAAGTTCCTAAATTGTCATTCCTAAATTGGACATTTGTAGTTTGGGGACCCCTGTATATTTAAAGTGGGGTACTGCAATATATTGTCCACAGCATTGCAATGTAATTCTGATGTTTCCATGTAGAACTGTGTCAGTAATATTTTTCAGCAGTGAGAAATGACACTGCTTTGCTGTTGAATAAAAATGGAAATCAGTGCTATGATACACAGATGTGTAGTGCATTAGAGGAAACACTTCAATTCTATGCATTCATAAGATACCCAGAATAAATACCAGATGAGGAAGGTAATTCAGTCTACTTCTGCTTAAAAATCACCTTAACTCAATCTAAAGTGACATTCAACTTCTTATATAACATACTGGGTCCCATACTTCAAAAAAACATTCTATTGTTTATTCATTCACTAACAGCGGTCTTAATTTCAGCCCAAAGTTTGTCTTTCACTAGTTTGAATCTTTGACCGTTGTCATCCTACCATGGGGTGCAATAACATGACCAATAAAGAGAATACACAATGAATACCCTCCACAAAATCCTGCTGACTATATCTTTCCTCACACCAAGTCCCATTCCCCTATCAGCCCTGCACTCACTGGTTAGACAAAATTTAGATTTGGAAATAACTGTTTACAAATCCCTCGTACTTCTGCCGTCTCCTCCAGCTCCACAATCCTCCCAGATATCTCCACTCCTCTAATTCTGGTCTCTGTGCATCCCTGATTTTAATCGCTCCACCATTAATGGCTGTGTCTTCAATGATCTAGACACCTATCTCTGGAATATCCTCCCTAAACCTCTCCACCACGCTTTCCTTCTCTTAAGACACTGGATAAAATGTACATGTTTGTCCGAACTTTTGGTAATCTGACCTAAAATCTCCTGTATATTTTGATGCCACGCTTTGTTTTATAAAAAATGCTTTGTGATGTTTTATTACATTAAAGGTGCTACAATAAATATTGTTGTTAGAAATGTTGTTGAGAACAATCTTAATCCTGTGTTGACCGAAACGATTTATTTTCTAAAAAAAAACCAAAGAACTACAGATGCGGAAATCAAACAAAAACAGAACAAAAATTCTGTTTTTGTTTTGGTTAATTTATTTCAACTATTTGTTACTTTTAAACAAGCACTCTGGTAGCTGAGTAATCTTGATTTTCATACATGTCTTGTTTGAGAGTTCCTACCAATGTAAGGTATTTTTAACAAGTATTTGATGCCCTGACTTGTCACAGCTTCTGCAGCTGTGATTTTATGATTGCTATATAGGATCTTAACGCACTTCCACTTACTTTGCAGTCACACTTTGCTAGGTGCATTTATCACAGAATTAAAACTACTATTACAGAATTAATATTATTATAGTACAGAAGGAAGCCATTTGGTCCCATTCAATTATCTAGTGCAAATCTCCTCCCTCTTCCTCATAATCCTGCGCACCATTATTATCCAAAAAATCATCCAGTTCTCTCTTGAATGCCCCAACAAGGGTTAGGGTTAGTGTTAGGCTTAGGGTGAGGGTTAGAGGCAGTCAAAGAGCGAGCCTTTCACCAGAGTGGCAATTAATCCACCTTTTACCCTGCCTCACATTTTCACCTGCCAGCGTGGGTATATTATACACAACTGATAAATTCAGCCAAACAGTGCCCATGTTTTGATAGAAAGCACATACATGTTTCTAGCTGAAAGTGTGCCATTGTCACATTTAGAAAGACATGATAGGCAGATTTTGACCAGAATGTTTTCAACTTTCTCAAAAGGTTTGATTCCTAGTCAGTTAATGGAACATGACAACCGATCTCAGCATCTCTGGGCTGGACTGAGTCACCTCGAAATGTCAACCTCCAGTGACGAACTGAAAGCATCATCTGGTAATAAAATGCACAAATCTCCTGGTCCATCCTTCCTCTGCCTTGCACTGATGCTCTGATTTCCAAAATTACATCAGGGCATTAGAGCTTAGGGATTTTAAAAAAAAGAAATCAGCAAGTCCTGCTATAGTTCAGACTGGAAAAGCTATCTCCATGGAAACACAGAAAACCACTTAGAATCAAAAGGTCAAAGGACAAGAGCTTGCACCATAAAGAGGGTAGATATGGCAAAGATGGCTTGGGGCTAGACACTGGAGGGATTTAAAGATGAGGAGCAAGATCTTAAATTTAGTAACTTAAGGGAGCAAATTGATAGATCAGTGAGAACATGATGAATGTAATCTGGAATTTGTGCACCCAAGATTTAGACAATTGGGAGCTGACGGAGAGTGGAGTGTAGAAGAACAAGAAAGAGTTTCTTGAACTGATTGAGTCTCAGGTGTCAAAAGCACATCTGAGGATTTTAATGGAGTGAGACTAGAGGGAGTGGCGAAATCCAGCAAAGTGGAAGTAAACAAGCTCAGCAACAGATTGGCCGTGAGGGTTAGTCTCTGGCTAAATGCTTCGGACCGGAATAAATTTAAGTTGCATGTTTCCAAAAGGAATCTTGCTAAACAGTGTCAGTGAGAACTTCTGCATTCTTGTCAGTAGCTGAAATTCCCAGCTGGCTTACATATAAATAGTCTTCAACTAAATTTCATTTCATGATCTTAATTCCAATTTAATAGGAAACAACTAATCAAAATAATAAACAGAATGATTGCATGTTCACTTTTAATTTATGGACATTGTTATATTCTGTTTAAACTATTTTCCAACTAAATGTAGAAAATGACAGTTAATTAAATACTGTTGACAGCTAGGGATTTCAAAGATTGAGTATAATTTTTTTTAAATTATACAATTTACCTGTCCCACCTCTCTGAGCAGATTCATCAGCAGGCAAAC